ACCGCGCGTGCCTGTCGGCGCAGGACGCGCCGCGCAAGGAGCGAAAGGTGTGGAAGGACGAGGTGGAGCGCCTGGCGCTGCAGAAGATGATGCGGCAGGATGCGGCCGCCCGCCGCTCGAGCGGGGCGGGCATCGTGCAGGGCAACGGCAACGGCAAGGCGCTGCGACGAATCGAGACGCACGACGCCAGGCTGAGGTGGGAGCCCTCGACGGCAACCGCGGCCTCGCCGCAGTCGCCCACCAGCGACGATGCGACGGCCAGCCCCACGGCCCGGGGCGATCGGCCTGCGCTGCAGAGGAGGGCGAGCGAGAAGCAGGCAAAGAGGCGCAGAAGCGTCGACGTCGCCGCACGGTAGCCCGCCCGATCCTCACCTTGGGACGTGCCCCCCTTTGCTCAAGATCTCATCCAATCTGTGCTCCGTCTCAGCCCTCGCCTTTCGTCTTCACACCATCTATACCCCGGCCTCGCTTGCTTCACTGAGCCTTTGCCTCTGTCATCCTACCTCTCTTTCTCTCCGTCTCTTCCTTTCTGCTTTTCCGCGCTCTTGCCGCCTTTCGGGTGAGGGATACCCAAAGTGAACTGCTTGTAAATGTGAAAGAAAGATTGTCGAAGCAGCGAGTGGAAGATGGGACGCGATGGTGGTCAAAGGGTGAAGGAGGCGGAGGCGGAGCGGCGCCATGCAATTCTGCAGAAGCCTGCAGGCGCAGCCAGAGAGAGAGAGGGCCAGGGCCAGCCGCGCCAGTTGGAAGAAAGTCGGAAATCGCACCGCACCGCACCGCTCCCCACCTCTTTGGACGGCCACCACCACCTAGCCTGCCGCCATCACCGACCTCGTCATCGCCACCACCAGCACCACCACCCGGTCTGGCCTGAACTGCATATACACCCCAACATCAACATCGACATCGACATGCTCTCACCAGCTACAGCATCCAGCGCCCTCTCTGCGCTGCGCACCGTTTCCCGCCGCTCGGCCAAGGTCGTGGCACCCAGCAGCCGCACCTTTTCCTCGACAGCGACATCCTCCCTCGTCCAGCCAATGCCGACAGCGACGCCGATGCTGGTGCGATGTGCGAGCGCCAGCAGCTCCGCCCTGACACGGCCGCAGCACCGTGGGCAGAGACGGCCGTATGCCACCTCGCCGTCCGCCACGTCGTCTCCCAACGATCCGGCCGAGGAAGAGTCGCAGCGCTTCCTAGAGGAGGGCACCACCCACCTCGAGAGCGGCGACCTCGAAAAGGCAAAGGCGGCGTACAAGCGCAGCCTCGAGATCAAGCGGAACTCGTCGGCCCTCTTCAACCTCGGCGTGTGCCACTACCACGATCGTGAGTAGTGCCGTCTCGTCCTCTCCGTCAGCCCCGGGAGCGATGTCATGTGCAAATGAGTGTCCATTCTAACGTCTTGGCCCTTTGTTCTTTTGGCCCCCACTGCATTGCTGTTGCTGCTCCTTTGCTGCGCATCGCCCTTTCGCCCCACGCAGGCGACCTCGCCGCGGCGATTGAGGCGTGGAACGAGTCGCTGCGCCTCTCGCCGGAGTCGGCGGATGCGCACACCAACCTGGCGTCGGCCTACGTGCTGAGCAAGCCGTCGCGGCCCGACCTGGCGGTCGACCACCTCAAGACGGCGGCGACCATTACGCCCGATGACCCCGAGATCCAGTACAACCTGGCTGCGGTGCTCGAGGCGTGCGAGCAGCTCGAGGAGGCGCTGACGGCCTACAAGCGCGCGCTCGACGGCGGCATCCAGCGGGCCGAGCAAAACATCCGCAACTGCTCGGCCAAGATCCTCGGCGCCAAGGTGGCCATCCAGCAGCAGCAGGAGGCCGAGGAGGAGGAGAGGAAGAGGAAGGAGCGGCACGGGGGCGGAAACTGAGCGAGGGGCGCGCGCTTGAGGCATTCGACTGCTGGTGGCAGGAGGCAGGCCGGCCGAAATGTTCAAGAGTGCTGGTGCTTTCCGTCCGATGCCGTTGTGCCTGGCTGCAGACCTGCTAGACGGTGGATCGTGGGAGGGGAGCAGTTGCCTGATCTCGCCCTGTTGGCGATGCGACTTGGAGAGCGTGGCGGGCTTAGCATCGGCTATGATTCCGACGAGGGCGATGTTGCGTGCTCTGCGATGTTGGTGGCGTTCTTTTTGCCGCCGCGGCTGTAGGATTCGATGACGGTCTTCATGCGCACCTGCTCTGCCTTTCTCGAGCGGCGGCACGTCTCCCACGAGGCAAGTGAGACGAAGCAAAAGGAGCCGACGCCCCAGTTGAGGCCGCGCCGCATGCCTTGTGGGAGATGGGGAGAGGGAGGGTTGAATGTGAAGGATGGGAAGGGAGAGGGTAGTTGGTTCAGAGGCTGACGTCGTCGGGATGGAGGGTGGGGGTTTGCGCCTGCGTACTCACCTCTGCCTGCAATGAGGCTGATTCCGGCGACGCCTGCTGCGGATGCCATGCCCATGAGTAGGCTGCTGCGTGCGCAGGGGATGGAGCCTATGCGGGTAAAGTCGCGGATGGGGTCGAGCATGGAGAGGGCGGCGCGCACCTTTGTCGCCTCGGCCTGCGAGTCGAGTCGAGTGCGGTGCGGTGCAGTGGGTCAGCCTGGGTGCCTCGAGAGTGGGGAGAATGGGGCAGCCTCACCTTGTCTCCATGCGCTGCGTCTGCGGACGAGGATGGTGGTGCTTCGTGTAACCGTGACATTGTCGGTGTTGGTGTGGCGAGGATGGAGGGTGGAGGGAGAGATGGGGTGGGCTGGGTGGTGGTGCTTTGATCAAAGGGAGAGTTGCTTGGGGTAGTCGGTGAAAGGGCCTTTGGGTTGGCCCCGGCTGTGGCTGGAAGAATCAGGAATAATAAGACTCGAGACGCGCTCGGCCCTCGGCGGGCGGCAGTGGATGACGATGACAAAGCAGCCGGCCGAGTGTCCCTCCACATCCCCGCTCCCTCGTATCCTCACCGCTGCGTTTGGTCTCGGCGACGACCGGCCTCCGCTGCGGGAGGGGCCGTCTTTTAGCTAACCACCTGGCGACCCTCTCTCCCCTCTCTCTCGCACACCACCTTCTTGTAGCATCACGGCTGCCACCACTGCCACCACCAACCAACAACCAGCAACACCATCCAACATGCGCGCACACCTTCTCCAACGCACCATCCGCGCCGCAGCCCACGCCGGCGCCACTGCACCTCGGTCCGCTATCGTTGCCCTGCCCCGCCTCGCCCCACCTCGCCACTTCAACTCGTCGTCGTCGTCGTCGTCGTCGTCGTCGTCGCCGTCGCACGGCAGCGCAGCCAACCGGCCTTCGCCGCTCAAGACCGACCAGGGCGCAACGGGCCCGGACCAGCGCACCTCCAACGCAGCGGGCCCCTCGGGCGTCGCACCAGACGCAGTCCTCTCGGACCCCTACCCGCTCCCGCTCTCGCCCGACGTCGTCGACCTCAACAATGCAGACTCGGGCCCCGAGTCCAAGTGGGCCGGCGTCAACCTCGCATCCGACCGACAGAACATCGACGGCGTAGACGCACCCATGCGCGTACCCGGCCGCGACGGCGAGGAGCGCAACGTCAAAATCGCCCGCCTCATCTACCAGTGCAGAAAGAGGGGCACCCTCGAGACCGACCTCATCCTCAGCACTTTTGCACAAAAGGAGCTCCAGGCACTCCCCGATCAGGAGCTCGACGAGTTTGACCGCGTGAGTGTCCCCCGCCCCAGCCATGCTTCACCTCCCCCGTCCGACCCCGTCGACTGTCCCACATCACCATCCTGACACCCGCCTCCTCGCCTTCTTTCCGCCATCGAGACAGCTCCTCGACGAGCCCGATTGGGACATCTTCTACTGGTGCACCCGCCGCAAGCCCTTCCCGGAGCGCTGGCAGCACTCGTTCCAGACCGAGGGCAAGCTCGGCTGGAGGCTCCTAAAGCACACAAAGAACGAGGAAAAGGCCGTCCGCTGGATGCCCGAACTCAAGGACCTCGACGCAAAGCAGTAGATAGATGCATGCCCAGGTTATCGGCGCGTGCCTCGAGTTCTAGAGCAATAGATGGGCCCAGTGCTGGCCGCACCGCACCGCGCCTCAGAACGTCATCCTCTGCCCGTCGCAGAATAGGACGGGTCGGTCGGCCCGTCCAGCGACGAGGGAGCGCTTCCACCGCAGATCCATCCTTCCAGCCAGCAGCCCGCGCGGTCCCGCCACGCCCTCGTTCCACACGATGGCCTGGCACCGTTCCAGCAGCGACTTGGCCCCCATCGCCGGCGGCTGCTGCCCCGATGAGCTACCTGCCGGTTCGGCCTGCTGCTCGACGTGGAGCAGCATCATGGGAAACGCGCTCGACCTGGCCTGCATCAGCGCCTGCTTGCTGAAGCCGGAAGACGAGAGGATGATGCCCACGACGGGCGACGTCGAGGCCGAATCGTCGTCGCTCCCTTCTGATGGTGTTGATGACGACGGCGAGGCCGTCCTGGACGAAGAGTGGGCACGATGCAGGACCCCCTCGACCTCTCGGACGAGGACGGGTCCCATCTTCTTGCCGCCCACATCCTGGCACTTGCACTGCGCCACGACCCGGATCCTCGCCCCGCCCTCGCTCGTCGAATCCTCTGTCCCTGCCGATCCAGTTGTAGCGTTGGGGACAGGTGGCCGAGGAATGCGCCACCAGCCCTTGAGGTCGATGCCCTTGTCCCCGGCTCCGCCGCAGCGTTCCAGCTCCATGCCAAACACGCGGGCCAGCACCTCGATGCACAGGTTCTCAAAGTCGGTCCCGCGCGCCACCGAGCTGCGCAGCTGCACCGTCGATGGCGGCGGCGATGTTGCGCTCGGCGATGCTGGGGCGTCAGAGGGGCCGTCGTCCTGTATCGCGGCCTTTTTTGCCCTTTTGGTGCGTGTCTTGGTCTCCTTGCCCTTGCCGCCGTCTTTGGCTTCTGGCACCGTCGAGGCGGCTGCTTTTGCGCGTGCCTTTTTCGCCTTTGTCGCGGGTGGGGGCTGCGGCGACGGCGGTCGTTCCTCCCCTTTCGTCGTGGAAACGATCTTGCTCGCCCTTGCGCGGTGCACAGCAGAGGTGGAAATGGTGCAGCATGGTGGCGGTGGCTGCCAGGCGAAGCGTGCTGCGTCTCTGGAGGTCGAGGTCGGGAGCGAGTGGTAGAGGAGCCGCGCGACGGCACGAGTGCGGCTCGACATCGTGCAAGGCAGACCAAAGATGCTCCAGGACCGGCAGGATTCCAAGGGTGTTTCGTGTAGATTACGTCGGACGCCTAGGCATGCTGAAGGGTGGTCGTAGGTGAGGGGGTGATGGTAGGAGGGAAGAGGGAGGGGAAGGGTGGCATCGTGTTCCTTCCGAGTCGTTTCGTCCTTCTCGGAACTCGGAACTCGGACCGAGGTAAGCTGACGCCTCCACCTTTGTAGCCGCGGGACGCTCCTCAATCTTGATGGCAGGGCAAGGTTCTTCAGTGGCTCGGGTCTATCGAGCGGTCAAGCTACTACAATACAGCGTTTAAGGGACAGGGAAAGGGATACAGCGCGTGAGGGGCAAGGTACAGATCTATGATGCACGAAACAAGGTCACCGGAGAGTGGTAGGGCAGGGCCGCGGCGGGCAACTACATGGACATCGCCATGGCCACCCACACCGCGATCCACGCCATGGCGACGCTCGAGCGGGCCCACGGCAGGACGTGCTTGACGCCACTGTTCGACGACGAAGAGGAAGACGACGAAGACGTGGTCGGCGCCGAGGTGATAACGACCATGTCCGACTCGGGCGTGCTCTCCAGACCGGGCGCCAGCGCCGCAAAGCCGACGCGCGCCTGGCCGTCGGCCGTGGTAAAGACGGTGTAGACGTTTTTGAGAAAGGCGTCTCCCACAATCCACTGCAGGTTGTCCTTGGCCGTCGAGCCGGCGCCAAACACGGCGCCCATGCACACGTCGCCCGACGAGCTCAGCGAGCCCGCCGAAAAGTCGGCGTCCGGGATCGAGTACTGGCGCTGCCCGAACGAGATCGTCGCGTTGATCGGCGTCGAGCACGGGTACGAGTAGTACCCGGGACTCTCGGCCAGCTCCGACGAGCCTGGCACCTGGGCGTACAGCTCGCGCACCACGTCGTCCGGCCCGCCGATCAACGTCGTCCCCGTGTCGATCGCAGCCCGAGTCGTCGTCCCGAGCGCCACGCTCTCGCCCGACGTCGAGAGCCCCTCGAGCTTCAGCATCCAGTACTGCTGCTCGATCAGGGGCACGTAGTCAATGTCGCCCTGGTACAACGTGCTGTTGGTGCCGCCAAGCGTAAAGACGCCGCCGTCGGCCTTGTCGCCCTTTGCGCTCTTGCTGTTGGCCGTTCGTCGCTCCAGGTAGACTGCGATCGGCGGGATGGGTGGCGGTTAGCCTCGCTGTCGCTGCGCTGTTCGAAGTCCGAGACCGCCCGAAACACGGGGCAAAGTCCTGCTACTCACAGGAAAACGTATCGAAGTTCATCTGCCGCCAAAAGGGGTCGGCATCGGCGCTCGAGAGGGCACGGAAGCCCATGCCCATGATGCCATTGATGTTGGAGTCGGCCAGGTCCGAGGAAACGTCGTCGGCGACGGCGAGGACGACATTGTTGCCCGTGGCCCCGGCCAGGGTAACGGTGTCCTTGCCGAGGTAGCCGGCCACGTCGCCGCTACCGTAGGTGAGGTCAAAAGCCGTGGTGCTGTTGGTGAAGCTCGAGCTGGCCGCCGGGTCGAATGAGCCCTTGTCGAGCCAAAAGTCGGCGCTGCCCGTGTCCAGCACCACGGCGTACGTCTTGGCGGGCGTGCCCACGTCGATGTCGGCGAGCCAGGTGCTGTCATACTCGAGGTTGGTCAGCGGCTCGGACGTGGCCTCCCGCCGCGACTTGGCCGCACGCCGTCCGGACAGGCCGTACTTGCGTTGCAGGCGGTCCCGATGCGACTTGGACCACTCGACCAGCTTGGCCGGGTCCGATCGGATCGGCGCCCGACGCCGAAGGAAGTGCGAATGCGGCGACGGCGGCGTGGCTCGGTCACTTGGCGATACCGGAGCGGCGAGGGTGCTGCTCGCTGCAGCGAGGAGCAGGCTGGAAACCAGCAGCGTGCTACTTGATGCCTTCATCTTGAGAAGCGGTGGAAGGACTCAGATCCGTCTTGATGGGTGCCTGTGTGATGGGCGTTGGGTGATGGGCGACGGCGAGAAGGGCTTGGAAGACGCCGCTTCGAAGAGAGCCACTAGGGCCAAGCGTCTATATAGAAGACAAGGTGAGTGAGACGTCGACTTGGGCAGGATCGAAGAGGCCAAGACCTGATGACGGCCGGATCGAAGAGGGGCATGAGGTAACTCCATTATTGCGGGGGGAGCGGGACGAAGGGATCTATCGGCAGAGGCGGTGTCTCAGCGTCGAAGGGGGCGGTGACGAAAGACGGCAGAGGACCTCGTTGCCTCGTTGGCCATATGTATGTGCTCGTCGACAACGTCTCGGTGAGGCTGCCCGCCTCTTACCCTGCCGCTCCAGGCCGGTTGGTTGCACAGCGTACGGCCGGCCGACCGGCCTGGCCTGCCGTGGCTGTCCTTGCGAACGCCGAGGCCGGAGCCCGGAAGAGGCAAGCGGCTCAGGAACACCTCCGAAAGGCCCTGCTTGTCCTGCCCGGCTGCGTGCTGTAAGCGCAGAGAGGTGCCGCTGGGACAAAGGCACGTCGACGAGAGAACCCTGGACCAGGGTCCGGCGGCAAGGGCAGGCAGCTGTCGAGCTAGAGGCAGCTTGGCTAACGGACAGAGAGCCAGGCGAGAGCCTGCCTCGGGCCTGCCCTGTGCTTGCCGGAAGGAGCAGGCAGGGCGGCCAGGCGACGTCAGGGGCAGGGCTCGTGGTCGTGGCCGCAACCGGGCGCAAGAGGAGCGCGGGACTGGAGCCAGGCACGAGGCTCAGGGGGACCATGCGGGACGACCTGCCTTCCGGCTGCATCGGCACGGGTCATCGCATCGGCCGCAAGGCGATGCCCCGGCGAGGCAGGCCGGGCGAGGTGAGGCGATGCGCAGGCAGCACACATCCGCTCCGACCTTCCCGCCCTCTGTCCGCCAATTTCTTCGATCGGCCATGGTCCTTTCCCCTCTAGAGGTCCTACGTTGCGAACGATGCCATCATTTGCTTTCATTTTCATCATTCCGTTGTCATTGAGTTTGCTACTTTGACAAGCAGGGTGTCTGTCCCGGAAAGACCAAGGATGTGCGAAGATCGACGAGAAGAGCAGCCCTTGGTATCCACGCACGAAGGGTTCAGCGACGATCTACGTGGCTGATCATGGCCATCTACCTCGTGCTGCGTGCGTCATCCCCTTTTCGTTCTGGATTCCCCAGTCCCGCGGGCATCGGCTTCGTACATCGGGCACCACCATGCATGCTCGTCGGTCTGGGCAACGAGCGGATCGCTCGGCATCCTGTTTGCAACAGGCGCACCGCATCCTCGGCGCCAACACGGTCGGTGCGCTCCACCCGGCATCTTTGCTCTGCTCAGCCGCGTGATGGTACCGCACTTCGGCATCCACCCGCACGCCGCCGGCTTGGCATCGGCCAGGCCTTCCGTGTAGCACACCCCTTCACGTCGTTGTCATGTATGTAGCCTCTGCAGCGGTTCGGGCTGCGCCATCTGCACTGCCGCCTCGTCCCCCTTCATCTTGCAGGCTGCAGCAACGCCCAACGCCCGCCATTCAGTAGCACATGGTCGACAGGGTGACGATGCCGAACGATGCTGCTTGAGGGCACAGCAGTGCATGTGTCTCGAGCTCGTCACCATCTACGCACTCGGTCCTAGCTTCTTGAGGATGTCTGAACAGGAACAACCTGCCTCGTACCCATACACGCCTTTGGTCCATGCCCTCAGGCCGGACCAGCGTGTCGGTCGGCCCGACCGTTTTTCCACCTCAGATCGACAGAGAGACAAGCACAGACAGGGGTTGCACGCACACGCATGCTTGCACGCACGCAAGGCAAAAGCGAGTATCCGTGAGGTGTGTTTGAGAAACGAAGACGGGAGGCGGAAATCCCCAGAGACATGCTTAGCTTTACAAGGCGGCTCAAAGGGAGGCATCGCTGGACTGATCCGGGGGAGACGAGGAACGAGGCGGCATCGCCCTGAAGAAGATTACATCCTATCGAGGGCGGCGGTTCCGTTTGTCGGGGCAGCAATAATGTGCCATACGCGACCAAAGAGGATAGAGTAGCGAAAGCAGGGAGAATCGGGGGCGGTGGGGCAACCCATGAGCAAGAAGGTGGGCAAAGAGAGACACAGCGTGGCAGAAAGAGTGACCGTGGACCGGGAGGACAGAGGTTGGAGACCTTTTGGGAGACGAGAGAGAGGGAGGGGAGGGGAGGGGAGGGGAGGGGAGGGGAGGGGAGGGGAGGGGAGAGAGATGGGGAGGTCGTGACGTAAAGACTGTTGGATATATGTATAAGTCGCTCGGGATCGAGCGTCCAGGAAGGGGAGGTCGTCGTGGTGGGTTGACGGGGTAAGGATGGGAAGAAAGCCGAGCTTCGCCGTGGATCCGCGCGTCGAGGAGGGTGAAGTGCTGTCGTCGTGATGCAGGCAGAGTGGCAGAGCTACCTAGTAGGCTCCTCGCTCGCTGTACCTGCGAGAGCGACCGCCGCGGTAGGGCGCGCCGGCCGGAGGGGCCAGCGAGGTGCGGCTACCGTAGGCGTCGCCCGCGTAGCTCCTCCTCGCGGGCCGGTCCTCGTAGCTGATCCTCCTGTCGCGGTCGTAGCCGTAGCCGCCTCCGCTCCGCCTGTCCATGCTGCGTCCGCTCTCGCGCCGGCTGTCGCGGCGGCCGACGTTGCCGTAGACGCGCTCGTCGTCCTCGTAGTAGTCGTCGGGCGCGTAGCGGGAACGCCTGCTCTGACGCGACGGGACGCGGGCGGGCGGAGGGGCGGGCTGGTAGTAGTAGTCGTCCTTGTCCTGGACGTAGCTGGGCCTGGCGGGCTCGTAGTCGTCCTGGTAGTGCGAGTTGTAGCGGGAGCGCTTGAGCCACCAGCCGGCGGCGAGCATCATGAAGCCAAAGAAGCAGGGAGGAAGCGCAGCGACCTGCATCCAGATGGCAGGGCCGAGCTCCGACTTGATGGGGATCGAGCCGGTGCCCTGGACACCGTCAAAGCTGCGGTACTTGTTGCGCGCCAGGATGAACAGGACCAGCTCGATGACGAGCGCCGCCATCGTGAGGAACGAGGCCCAGATGGCGGCGAGAGGCCAGAGGATGGTGTTGGTGCACAGGTGGAGGAACGCGGCGCCGGCGGCGAGACCGGTGAAGCCGGCAGCGACGGGCTGGACGACGAGGGCATAGGGCAGCTTGTTGACAAAGAAGGGAGCGATGACGTTCGAGTAGGCGGCCTGCTGGTAGCCAAGCCCAGTCGAGGTGCAGCTCTTTACGCCGTCAGAGGCGAGGCACTGGGCCCAGATGCCGAACTGGATGGTGGGCGAGGAGCAGAGACAGACAGCGATAGATATGAGCATCGGCCGGGCGGGCATCGCGGGATTTTCAAGAGAGGAAAGCGGCCAGGCAGTACTTACCGTGAGCCTCAGCGTCGACGAGCCATTGCTGAAGTCGGTGTAGAGGAAGTAGATGCCCTTGATGTAGGGCAGGCCGAGGGCGACGAGCAGCTGGAGGATAAAGGAAGCTCCCAGGCTCAAGAAGCCCACAAAAATGACGAGCGCAGCAGGGAGGCCCATGCTGTCAGAGTCGGCGGTAGGTCGAAGTGGGTGCGATTAAGATGAAACGCCAATCGGACCGCGTCCCCCCTCGATGTCGACGATGGACTACGAGTGGGCGAATTGGTGGCAGGCGTCGAACAGGCCGTGTATGTCGGTGTTCGCGCTGGTTGCCGGGAGGGTCGGATGAACTGCAATCCGACTTGTGCCTAGCACAACGGCGGGCGACACAGGCGACGACGGGCGGTCGGGGGCGAGGAATGGATGGGTGGATGGGCGAGGAGGGATGAGGAGGGAGGGAGAGGGCGACGGAGAAGCGTGGATGGCGGGGGGTTGGTGGTGGTGATGGTGGTGGTGTTGGTGGCCGCGACGGGCGTAGATCGACGACGAAACGGGCAAGGGTCAGGGACGAAGCCGATGTCGGTAACTTGACCCGCGATTGTCAGTCGAGGCACAGATCGAGGGATGCGCGCAAGCGGCGCAGCGGCTGAAGTTTAAGGCGGCGGGGGAGGAAGGGTTAGGCGAGAGGGAGGGGAAAGGAGAGAGGTCTGGGAGAGAGGTCTGGGAGAGGAGGGGAGAGGAGAGGGACGAGGAGAGGGACGAGGAGAGGGACGAGGAGGGGAGGCGGAGTATCGATGGACGGGAGGAGGACAAGGGCGGAGGGCGGAGAGATGGTGCAGTGATGAAAACACTCAGCCAGGCGCAGCGTGCCCTCCCAGCCTGTCTCTATGGTGTCTGTTGCGAGACGCCTGTACTCCAAACTTGCTCGCCGATGTCGACGAGCGGGGAGCCAGAGGGCGAGATGCAAACGAGCGAGCGAGACGAGAGGTCACACACCCAACCCTGCCCAACTTACCGTACCGCCGCGCCCTCAAAGGTGTACGGCCCTCGAGGGCGTCGATACCTAGGTAAGGCTGAGGTGGTCCTTGAATAGAACTAGCCGAACTCAGCTCGCAGCTCGTCCCTCGTCCCTCGTCTCTCCCTCTCTTCCCCGACCGACCCCCCTCTCTCTCGGCGCTCTTCGATCCAAATCGCTCCTGGCAGACACACAAAATGTACGAGAGAAAGAGACACGGGCCCGCTCGGTCCCATGGTGGTGAGATTTGGCTTCATCATGGCATCGTCACCTCTCGAGCCTAAGCCATGCAGCTAGCGTCACCCGACCTGAGCCACCGCTGTAACACCTGGGCGTCGGGACGACTGATGTCGATGTCGCCGTCGCCGCCTGGCTCGTCGAGGATCCGGCTGCGCTGCGACGGCTGCACAAAGGGGGCTGCCATCGGCTGGGGGGTCGAAGCAGGGAGAGGCGGGTCGGGAGACGCCCTGCTCATCTGCGGCTCTGCACTCGACTGCTCTGGCTGAGATTCTGGCTGCCTGCGGCCTGGCTGTGGGATCTGCGGCTGTCATGCTCTGCTGCGACCGGTGCATTTCAGCAGCGAAAATCGCAAATGGAGCAACGACCAGCAGCAGCAAGAGCAGCAGCAGCAGCGCAGACAGGCAGAGCTAGAAAAGCAGATGGAGCGAGCGGGGGCGCAGAGGCCCCGCCCGGTGCCCGGAGACAGGTCTCGGGGTCCAAGGCTCAGGCAGGCCAAGCAAGGCGCGCGCTGAGCCCGCCTCCTGTCGGTCCGACCTCCCGCGGGTTGCACCCGTTTGACCAGCCATCCCCGAACAACAAAGTGCAACGTCGCCAGGCAGCGCCACGATACGGGCGCTCGTACGCGGCACGACAGCCGAATAGACTCTACCCGGCTGTCGAGACCAGGCCGAGCGGGTGATGGCTTCAACAGATGCTCATCCCTCTGTCGCAGGGGAGGCAAGGCGGCACGTCGCCTTCCTCGTCGTCGTCGTCGTTCCCGCCCGGCCAGGCAGCGCATGCCTCTGGTCTCCTGGCCTCTGCCTGGGGTCGGCTGCCTGAACCGAGGCAGGACGCCGATCTGGGGAAGGGCGGGAAACAAAGCACGCGCCCGCGCGTCTGGTCGATGGGCTGCGTCAAAAGGTAGGCCAGCAGCCCTCGCGTGCTGCAGCTGCCTGCCCGTCCCTCAATTTCAAACGGCGGGGCAGGCCAGCCGACTGACCGTCGGTCGGTCTCGCTCCAACCGCAGCCCGGCAGCTGGCTGGTCAAGTGCAGATTTCAGGTCTGCATGCATGCAAGAGAAAGCTTCTCGTGCAGCCCGCTTTCTGAAATCCGACTCTGGACGAGCGAGCGCCTCGCCCGAATTGCCTCACTTCCACGGCTTTCGAGCTCCGTTTGTTTTCCAATTCAAGATGGCCGAGCGAGCAAAGAGGCGACGCCCTCGGTCGGGTCCGAGCGAGTCGCTCCTAAACTGCTGCGGTCACATTCCGGTGTTCGTCGGGCGGGACGTCACGCACTGCGGTGCTGACCCCCATCGAAAGCCCTACTGTAGCTAGATCTGATCAGAAGCGCACCAAGCCACGCGCACAACCATGGCGTCCAACGAGATCCAGCGGGACAGGACGGTAACTGATGCGAAATTCAACAGATTGACCTGACGGACTTCGCACCAGCACACGATTCAACATCGACCCCATCCATTGCGAACGTCGCGCGATGGTGGTCAGACTGATCAACAGGGGACGAGCTCATGAGCTCATCACGAGCCTAAGACTGGCCCGACTGTGAGCTGCTGTCGGCGTATCGCCTTTCGCAGTAGTCATGCATCGACGCCTCTTCTTGTATCGACTTTGTGCGCCGCAGACATGATATAACTGCGGGCAGCGCCACGGAGGGCGTCGTGCTCACCGTCACTTTCTTCGCGTGCACTCGGAAGAGCAGCCGTTCGGACCCATCCGCCGCCGCGCCATGTCGGGCGTATTGGTGTGCAGGTCCGCGTATCGGGGCTCGCTCCCGCAGATGAAGGGTCGAGAACGGCCCGGACAGGACAGATCAAACGTCGGTCCGACACGCGCTCGACCTGGAGAGAATCGGAAAGGTCCCGGCTTTGAGAGAAGGATCCAATGATACAGCAGGGAGAAATCGAGGGCCCGACAGCGAAGATGGTATGTATGTACAGGCGGCAACGGCGCGTCCCGATCTGAAGACGCCACCGGCCGGATTCCGAGGGGGCCGCTCGACGAAAGGAATGATACAGCAGGTCGCTCGTCATCGTCGTCGTCGTGGCGGGTTCAGAGAACTGCCAGGGTGGGAAAATGATATCTTGGAGGGCGTTCCTAGACCTTGTTCTCGTGGTTCGAGGGCTGGTAGGCCGGTGGCGGGGGTCCGACGGGGGGAGCGTAGAAGCCGGCATCGCCCGTCTCTGCGCGGCTGGCATCGGCGGGCGGCATGCCGGGCGGGGGTGCGTAGCTGCCGCCGTGGCCCTGGTTGGGCGACTGGGCGTACGGGCTGGCCTGCGGGTTGTTGCCGTAGTAGGACTGCTGCTGCGGATAGCCTTGTTGCTGATAGGTTTGCTGCGGATAGCCGCCGTAGGCGCCAGCACCGGCGCCGCCTGAGTTGACGGTGCTCATGGCGTGCTGGTGTTGGGTGGCGAAACGCCTCTGCCTAGCGCGTCGGGTAAGCGCGCCGACAACAAGACAGAGTGCGATGACTCCCACGGCCACGGCGATGCCTGCAGTGCGAGGGCGTTAAGGAGGATGAGAGGGCAGTGCCGGGCTGTCAGATGGGTCGCATGGCGGGACGACGTAGCTACGAGTCTAGGGTGCAAAGAGGTTCACTACTCACCGATGCCGATGCGAGCGCCGCGGCTGAGGCCTGTGTCGCACCTCCGTCGGTAGAATCCGTAGCCGCAGTACTGAGTCGACATGCTGCTCGAAGCGTGGGTGGCGTCTTGGCTGGAAGGGTGCAGTCTAGGCGGGCGCTGGTGCTGCAGGCGGGGTCGGGATTGATCTCTCTTGCAAGAATACCGTTGAAGCTGAGGATGTCTCTTGGTTGATGATGGTGGTGGTGGTGGCGGGAAGGGAACGAGGCCACGGCGACTTGCTCATGAACCAGTCCTCGGTTCTCACGAGAGAAGTCAGGCCAGACCAGGTCAGTCGAAGCGATGCCGGCCACTGGCATCCTCTGGGCGTGCGTACGTACGTGGAGGCTACCGTAGGTGGAGCCGGCCGGCCTGCCTCTCTGCTGCCTGTCAGCGTTTGCTTGGCAAGCCGCCGCTTGCTTGCCGGCCAAACGGGGCTTGGCACGCGGCAGGGCTACCGCTCGCTAGCCCTAGGGCCCTGACCACTTTCGTTCCACCTGCCGCATCGGATGCCCGGCCTAGCCTGCCCCAAACGCCGCCTGGGCCCTCGCGCTCATGACGTAACCTCCAGCAGCGCTTGGCACAGCCGCACAGCCCTTCGCTGCTTGATCGGATCGGGCCGCCTCCTTTGCTCGGATCGGGAGAAAGCCAAGGGGGGGCCTCGCACACACTCTTCCACAGACTCAGCAACAGGCCGGGGACAACTTCGTTCCGTTACAGCAGCCGCCGCTGCCGCTGTCGAGGCATCACAGCCGGCTCTTAAACACCCTCGAGTCGGCCTGCTCGCCCACCTTGCCCAGCAGGTGCCGCTCAATGTATGGGTTGACAAAGATCTGGTCCGGGTCGTAGGCGTCGCGCGTGGCCAGAAAGTCGCCCCAGTGCGGGTAGAGCTGCGCCAGCTCGGCGGGCGAGCACGTGTGCGCCTTGGCCCAGTGCGGCCGCCCGGCATAGTGGCGCATCAGCGTCTCGAACTTGGCAAACAGCCGGCGGTAGCGCACCGGCCGGTTGTACGGGCGGTACTGGACCAGACCAATGTAGCACGTCTTGCGCCCCTGGGCGTGGCTCAGCCAGACGCCGTCGCCGTCGGTGAAGCGGATCTCGATGGGGAAGTGGATGCGCTCGCCCTCGTTGTTGGCCTCCTCCTCGTCGAGCCAGTCGCGCATCGCCCGGATCACGGCAGCCGCCCGCGAAAACGGAATCGCCCACTCGTCGGTGTACTGCGGGAAGAGGCAGTCCATGTTGAAGATCCGGTCCGAGCGACCCACCACCGCCGACACGGGATGGTGGCCGCCAAGCGGCTGCGGCGCCGGCGGGTCCAGCGCAAACGTCTGTCCGAGGCCCGTCGACGACGACGACGCACGGGGAGCGCCGCCTCCGACGGCCTCGGTCGTCCAGCCAACGCTCGCCGCGCCAGCATCGAGGTCCAGTCCCCGCCCGAGCTCCTTGACGAGCTCCGCAGCGCTGTTCTGCGCCGAGCTTGCGCCGTCCGACTCGTCCTGCTGACGAGCGTTCGTGTTCGCTCTCGGCAGCACCGCGGGTGCCTCGGTCGTCGCTGAAACCTTGGCCCTCGGCTGCTCGCCTGCCTCGACAGCCTTGGGCATCGTCGGGTGGGTGAGGTAGTGGATCCATCGCACAGCCGTCGGCGTCAGGCGGCCATCGAAGCGTCCAAGGTAGAGCAGAAGCTCAGTCAGGCGGTGACCGATGAGCGACGCCTTCAGCCTGGTCGGAAGCGATGGAGCTGGTGTGGCGGGCTGTGCAAAGGGGACAGAAGGGCAAGTCTCATCTCGTCAGCCGGCCGGTGAGGCAGCGTGGAAAACGTCGCAACGCATTCGGCGCTCTCACCTCTGTCGAGCGGTTGGCCTGCAGCATGGTGATCATGCCCACCTGCGGGAACCACATCAGCCTGACGTGCTGCGCCGAGTCGACGACCGCCTCGAGCTTGGCCTGGGCGGCCCTTGTAGCCTCGTCATCTTCAGGATCGGAGCGGGACAGTCGGTCCGCCGCGGCGTAGGCGTCGGCCGGCAGCGGGTAGATGTGCGAGGGATCTGCGCTTCTGTACGCCGGCAGATACTCTGGGCGGACGGGAGGCAGCTTCTTGCCCTGAAAGAGGAGCTTGCCTACCGCACCCGAGTTCTTCGAGCCGGCGGCGGTGGCAGGGAACCCATTCTTGGGTCCGAATATCGTGTCAAAGGGAACCTCCTCCGAGTACTGCTTGAGGTTGAACGCCTTCTCAACCCGCAGTGTGACAGTGGTAATCAGGCCCGTCGTACCAAGTCCGCATAGACTTGCGTTGAAGAGCTCGGGCAGCTCGTCGCGGCTGCAGGTGAGGTGGACCGTCCCCTGGCCGACAGGGCACAGGATCGTGAGGCGCTCGACGTAGGCGGACACGATAGGGAACGCGATGCCGGTTCCGTGGGTGGCGGTCGAGACCAGCCCGCCAATGGTCTGCTCCGAGATGGAGCCGACGTTGCACATGGCGAGCCGAGGGCTGGCGGCGTCAAGGGCCTCGTGGATGTCCGAGATGTAGGTTCCTGCCAGCGCAGTGACCGATGGTGCCGCGGAATCGATCTGCCTCGGAGCAAAAGGAAGTGCCAGCGAGCATTAGCACTGTACGAGAGCGTGCGAGAAGACGCTGCGTCCTCGTCGGGTCGGACCGACTCACCGAAAGGATGCCGCTGAGGCCCTCCATGCGCATCGCCCAGGCCTTGGTGAGCTGAAGATCGCTCGGGCTGTGTGAGCGTCCAATGGGTCGCAGCTGTACGCCCTCTCTCCGTGCCAGCTCGACAATCGCAGCGCATTGGGCTATCGTCGTGGGGGCAAAGACGCGAGCGGGCTTGCAGGAAAAGGAGCGGCCCCAGTTGGAGAAGGATGCCTTGGGAGACGAGGCGGGCACCACGGTTGCGGCGACGAGCTGCTGGAGCGTCTCGGTCGATTGCTGGGCGAAGCCTGGATCTAGGTGGGTGGCTCCAGCCGCCGTAGCCGAAGACGGCGAAGAAGCTGAGCGGGATGAGCTTGCCATGTTGTGGGTTGCCGCGTCGCCGTGCGAAGTCGTGGTGGCGGGTGGCGCCATGCGTGCTTGTTTGTGGATGAGATGTCGTCGCCTTTGCGAGTGTGAGCCTGCTTGAGAGTGGATGCGCTGCTGAAGGAGGTTTGCGTGGTGGAAGGAGGATAAGCAAGGAGCTGAATCGATAGAAGGAGGACCAGGGTGGATTAAGGTTGCAGAACGCGGCCGCCGTCGGAAGCAACGAGCGAGGTGGCTGACCAGGCTGGGCAGGCAGCTGGCTGCTGCGCCTGCTCTTACGAGATCCACATCGTCTGTCGATCTTGGGCAGGACCCTGGCTCGCCCCTGCCTGCTGGCCTGCTGCCTGGCCTTTGCTGGCCGCCAGAAGAAATTTGCGTAAGCGCGCTGCAGCCCGCAGCGAACACAGCCCGAAGCCCACGCACGCTTGCACGCACGTTTTGGCGAACCCTGGCGTTGCGGCACACCTCCACCCGGCCGAGCTGACCAAGGCTTACGTGGCCAGTGGCCCCATCGGAATCTGATAACAGCGGACCGCCGAATCACGTCATCCAGCTGCCAGCGATCTTCCTTCTTTCGGAACCGAGAAAAGACCCTTATCGCCGTGACGGTGCGGGGAAGGCCAGGGCCCAACCTGCAGCTGATTGGCTCGAGATATCGCTGGGCGCGTGGCACGGCACGGCACGGCACGGATGGCTGGCACAGACCCCGGCCTCGACCATCACTTGACCTGCTGCCTCTGATGCTCTCCGCCAACCGCGCCACCTTTGCCCGTCTGACGTCGCGCGTACCTGCGCCATAGCGCAACGGCCCCGCGAAGCGCGAGCAGAAGCTGGTCCTGTAGGGGAAGGCCCCAGGAGAAAGCAAGCCCAGGCAGGGACGCTGCCGTTGCACGAGCAGGCGCCAAGAAGGCCGCGAGGACGCCGTCGTCGGCCACTTGGTCGGCCCGAATTGGATTCTTTTTTCGCCTCGCCTCGCCAGGCCGTCCGTGCCTTGCCCCATCGCCTTTCACGACCGCGCGGGCGAATGAGGTGGCTGGCTTGGCCTGGCCTGCTGGCCTGCAGCCCGTTGCTTCCTTCGGATCACGTCGTCGTCGTCGTCTGCCCGCCCTGCTTGACTGCTGACTGACCCCACATTGCCGTCCGTCGTCGCTTCCCTCTTGACCACCACCGCCCGCAACCGTCTCCTCTTTCGTCCCTCTCCTCGCCTCGCCTTGCTGTCAGCTCGTCCATCCCCGGTCACACCTACGTCGCTCGCTCGAGACAGGCAACAGACACCTTCGCGCCATCTCACAGCACCACCCACGACACGACTTCAAAGATGGTCATGACCGCGGCGCTTCTCCGTGGCCGTGGCGCCAGCATGGTGGCCAGCACCAGCGCCTGTATCCTCTCGTCGCCCGCCCTCCCGCGAGCCTTTGCCACGTCGGCTCCCTCTCGCCTTGCCTCGGTCGCCGGAAGCAAATCGAGCGGCTCTTCGCTCGGTCCCTGGGCTGAGCCTCTGTCGGCCCCTCGCCTCAACCGCTACCTCGTCGTCGCCGAAGACTACCCCGACGCCAGCGCCAACGCCCGAAGGCTCGAGGTGCGCGAGAGGCACCTCGAGCACGCGCAGAAGGGCAAGCAGGCCGGAAGGATCGAGCTCGGCGGCGCACTGCTCAAGCGCGACTTCCATGAGCTCGACGAGGAGCTTGGACCAGGCGTTTACATGGGCGGCAGCGTGCTCGTCGTGCTTGGCGAGGTGAGTGCAGCGGCGGCCAGGGGAAAGCGGTGAATCTAGGTCATCATGGCAAACGCAGGCTGACCACAACTGACCGCGTCCCCGTCACAACTCGTCTTGCTGCAGAGCATCGCCGACGTGCGAGCCCGTGTCATGGAGGACGAGTATGTCAAGGCACAGGTGTGGGACGCCTCGAGGCTCAAGATCTTCCCCTTCCTCCAGGCGCCCCTGCGGACCCCGGCTCCCGAGGCGTCCGAGGCGGTTGCTGAGCAGGACCAGCCCGAGAACCGCAACGTGAGCCTGGGACAGCTGAGGCAGGACATGGCGTCTGGCAAGGGCCACACGATGGTGACGCTCGGTGCGCTGAGGAAGATGCACAAGAGGGCCGGCCCGGTGACCAACTGAGGCCGCGGGCCGCTCAGCCACGCCAGCATCCCGTTCCGTTTCCGTTCTCGGCGCCATTTCGAGCGTACTCTGGTCTGATCTCGACCCGCGATTCCGCACGACTGTGCGATGATGCTCTGACGACTCGTCGACGCCCACGACTTTGATCGGTCTGCTATCCGTTCCGCCGTGACGCACACCCTCGTTCGGTCTCGTTCCCGTTGCGAAATGGTTGCCGCCCGCTCGACGCTCTCCGATTCCCAAAAGGCAAAGGCCACGCAGCCTGTCGCTGCCACCATATGAAATACCGACGTCGTTGGATACCCTCTAGCTCTCGACACCCAGGGTTGCGCGGCGCGGATGTGGGTGCGGTGTCGAGCTTGTGTGCAGCCTATCTCTATCTCATTCTTTCACTCTTGCCCATGTCCGATCGGCGCGCTTGGATGGCGGCCATGCTTTAGGTTCGAAGGCTCCTGTCTACCGACGCCCCGATGGGGACCTTGTGCTGCGGCTGCGCGAGCAGAGGGAGAGGCAGGCCGACAGACGAGGAAGGGCGTGGCTGGTGGCGCCCAGGAGCCCAAAGGCTGGCTGGCGCGGATGCCATCCGATGAACTCTGGCGGATGGCAGTTCATCGGATGGCGACCCGGTCATCGTCGGCGTTGCCTCGACGGTGATGCAGCAGCAGGTTGGGCTGGATTTGGCAGCGCAGGGATGGGGGTTTGAGGATGGAGCCGAGAAGAAAGCCTTGAGGTCAACGGCGGCGGCCAAAAAGCCGGACTGACCGGCGGCCTTTGGCCCCAACACCTCCACCACGACTCGGGCAGCGGCGTTTGGCGGCGCGGAGGTAAGAGGACACCGAGGAGGAAGCCTCTTCCTCGATGGCCACGCCTTGTTGGCACCTCCGAGCACTACCTCCGCCCCAGAAAAGAGAGTAAAGAGTAGTACCACCTCGTCGTGCCAAACAACGACGTCCTGCTCGCCATATAAGCCCCCTCTCCAGGGACATGCTCCGTCGTACTGCTCGCTGGCCACCCTTGACCACACCCGTCTGCCTCACCACCACCACTTGCTACACGCCTACTCGCAGCCGCATCCTGCCCCCCCTGACCTCGTCTCCGTCCCCTCGTCACGCCCTCAACCGCCTCCTCTCCACCGCCCCGCAAACCCCTTCCGTCACCATGTCCAACACGAGCGGCACAAAGGTGGCCAGCCTGCCCAATGGCGAAATGGCCGCCTCCAACTTTGTCTCTGGCTTGACGCAGCCCGACACCCACGGACCCATCTCGGCCCTCGCCCTCGACAACTTTGCCGCCGTCCGCACCGGTCACCCGCCCCCGGGCACGTTGCCGGACGCCATCCTGCCCGAGGGCGTCGACAACCCCCGCCTCTTCACCTCGGTCACGCTGCCCTTCGTCGAGCAGCGGTACAAGAACCGCGTCATCGTCTCGCCCATGTGCCAGTACTCTGCCAACAACGGCATGCCCTCGCCCTACCACATCGCCCACCTCGGCTCCTTTGCGCTGCACGGCGTGGGCAACATCATGGTCGAGGCATCGGGCGTCGTCCCCGAGGGCAGGATCACGCCACAGTGCCTCGGCATCTGGTCCGAGGCCCACCGCGACGCCCACCGCGCCCTCGTCGCCTCGCTCAAGTCCTTCACCGACGGCCTCGCCGTGGGCATCCAGCTGGCCCACGCCGGCCGCAAGGCGTCGACCTGGTCACCCTTCCACCGCGGCGACAAGAAGTTCAAGAACTACGTCACCGAAGCCGAGGGAGGGTGGCCCGAACGCGTCGTCGGGCCCTCGGCCATCGCCTACGACGAGGGCCACATCACGCCCAAGGCCCTCACCGTCGACGAGATCCGCGAGCTGCAGGCGCGCTTCCTCCAGTCGGCGCGCTGGGCCTTTGAGGCCGGCTACGACTACGTCGAGCTGCACGGCGCCCACGGCTACCTCTTCCACAACTTCCTTAGCCCGCTCAGCAACCAGCGCACCGACGAGTACGGCGGCTCGTTCGAGGGGCGCACCAAGTTCCTCGTCGACACGGCGCGCCAGATCCGCGCCGAGTTTCCGGACAAGGGGCTGTGGGTGCGCATCTCCTCGACCGACTTTGCAGACGAGGCGGGCAAGGGTGACAGCTGGACCGTCGACCAGTCGGTCCGTCTGGCCCTGATCCTCAATGACCTCCACGTAGACCTGATCGACGTCTCGGGAGGCGGCCTGGTGCCCTTCCAGAAGATCAATGTCGGCCCGGGCTACCAGCTGTTCGGCGCGCGCGCCATCCGAAATGCCCTCGTCGAAAAGGCCGGCAGCGGCGGCGGCGCCGGACGAGAAGAGGCAAAGAGGATGCTCGTCGGCGCCGTCGGCATGATGGAGGGCTCGCCCGACGCCGACAACGCCCATGACCCGTCAGTGACGGGCACGCTGGCGGAAAAGTCGCTGCGCGAGGGCGACTCGGACGTCATCCTGCTCGCGCGTGGGATGATGGCCAACCCAAAGTGGGCAGAGGACGCCGCCGTCGCCCTCACGGGCATCCGATGCGCGGGCAACCCGCAGTACCACCGCGTCCACCCGGCCAAGCGCCCGCAGCACTAGAGTAACTAGACGGTCACGGCGAGCGAGTGTCCCCCCATCTCCCTTGCTAGATGCTCGAATCCGCACATCTGCTTGCCATTGTTTCTCTTCTTCTATGCGACGAGCGGCGACCCCAGAGATCTACGTAAGTACACCTCAACCTCTAGCGCTCAGAGCTTGTTCTTGCCCCTGGGCGGGTGCTCTGGGTCGGCGCGGATGCGGACAATGGCCTTGCCCCACGTCTTGCGGTCGCCGAGGTCCTTGAGGCCCTGAGGCATGCTCTCGAGGCCCTCGTAGATGTGCTCAAAGACAGTGGGCGTGATCTTCTTCTGGGCAAACATGGCCATGAGGCCTTCCCACGTCTCTGGGATCTTGTCGACCTCGTTTTTGCTGTAGGCGCCCCAGTGGCAGCCCGTGACGGCGATGTTCTTGAGCAGGATGAGGTTGGCGGGGATCTTTTCAATCGTACCCGCCGCAAAGCCAACGACAATCAGGCGGCCGTTCCAGGCAATGACCTTGAGCGAGGGGATAATCATGCCGACGGGGTCGTAGACGACGTCGACGCCGTGGCCCTCGGTGATCTCTGCCGGGGCGAGGGTCGGAAAGGGGGAACCGGGAGCGATTCAGCGAGCGCCTCATCGGCCAGCAGGGACTCGAGGCCGGCAGTCGGCCATAGCGGCCCCTAACAGCCATACTCACGCTTGACCTGCTTCTGCCAGTCGTTGTCGCGGTAGCTGATTGCGTAGTCTGCGCCTCCGACTTCCTTGCAAACCTTGAGCTTGTCGGGGCTGCCGGCGGTGGCGATGACCTTTGCGCCCATGGCCTTTGCGATCTGGATGGCGCAGATGCCGACGCCGCCTGCGCCCGCGTGGACGAGGACCCACTCTCCCGGCTGCACGTCTGCGCGGAACTTGAGAGCGGCGTACGAGGTGGGCCAGGTGACAAAGAGGCCCGAGGCGGCCTCGAGCGACATGCCGTCGGGGACGACCATGAGCTGCCAGAAGTCGGCCTTTGCCTTTTCGCCGTAGGCGCCCTGGACTGCGCCAAAGACGCGCGTCTTTCCGGGGACAAAGTCGCAGCCCTCGGGGATGGGCGAGTCCTTGGAGATGATGCCAGCCATTTCGACGCCGGGCACGTAGGGGTGCGGGGTCTTGTTCTGGTACTTGCCCTGGACGGCGAGGATGTCGAAAAAGTTGAGGGCGGCCGAGTGGACGTCGACGAGGACCTGGGTGGAGCCGGGGTCGCACTTTGGCTCGGGGACGTCGCTCGAGAGCGTCGAGGGCAGCTCCGAGGGGTGGATGTCCTTGTGAAGGTAAAAGGCACGCATGGTGGGCAGGGGTCGGTCGGGGGATGAGGGTGGTGGTGGTGGCGGCGGTGGTGGCGGTGGTGGCGGTGATGCAGCAAGTGGTATCTAGAAGGTGGTGCGAAGGAGGAAGCGGTGCTGGCGGTGGTGGTGACAAGGGACGGCGGGCGAGGTGTTGGTTGCCAGGGTCGAGGTGGGTCAAGAAGAGGCGGGAGGCCGCGCAGTCCGAGTGTGGGGTAAGTTCCAGCCAGAAGGAGGGCCTAGGCGGGCGCCCTTGGGTCGGCCGCGGGTGGCGCGGGTAGCCGGCCTGGGCTCGGCTTCTACCGAGATTCTGAGCCGGGTGGACCGGACCAAGGCGCAGCAGAGACTCGGCCGAAAGAGCCAGCCAGGCCAATCAGCACGTGTCAAAGTGGAGGCGCCCACGCGCTGCTCCGTGCGCCCAGCGTCAGCCTGGCAGCACTTTTTGACTGCCTGGCCTTCTGGCCTGCCCGTGCCAAGCCCAAGCCCTGGTTGCCGCATTTCTTCTCGTTCCGATTTCCTCCCTTCCTTCGCTCCCTCATCGTCCCGTCGATTGCCCTCCCTCGCTGCGTAGTCTTGCCTCTCGATAGCCACCGCGAACTCCCATGTCGGCCCTCGCTCATCTAGCCAGCCGCAACACCGAAAAGTATCCCGACCTCATCGAGGGAGGCAACCGCATCCTACAACTCCCGGACGGCACCCCTTTTGCCGTTGATGTCATCGTCTCGCACGCACCTGCTGGACAGGTCGGATACGACATCCAGGGGGGAGACCTCAACGCAGATCTAGTCAGCCTCAAGATCATGCGCCACCACCCGTCCAAGCCGCTCTCGAACGACGACGACGACGACGACGACCACGATGAGGAGCACGACTTTCTCGACTACGCAAAGGCCGTCTTTGAGCTGGCACCCCCCTGCCCTCCGTACCCCAACCCGGCCTCCGAGCCAGACGACAACACCCTCGCCACACGATCAAAGCGCTTCGCATACGCCAACCTCCACAAGGCGAGCCACCTCAACGCCGCCAAGGTCTGGTCCTTCATCTACGCCTTCTTCCAGCTGTGGCCAGCGCAGGAATACTTCAGTCTCTGCACGCTGGACCTCAAACCGGGTGTCGTCGCGCATCTCGTTGACAGCGGGCTCGCCACCGTGCACCCGCTCTTCAAGAGCGCCGACGGAGGCAAGCTCGACTACCTCCTCGTCTCGCGCGCCGCATTCTGGCAGGGTCGTGGCCTGACCGCCAACCTGGCGCACTGGGTCCTGCCCAAGGCCGCCCCCTTGGCCCGCTCCAAGCTCCTCTCGTCCAACGCCTCACTCGGATCCCTGCCTCCCACCAAACCATCGCCCGAGGACGGCCCGCTCTACTCGCGCTACATCCCCGACCTCCAGCAAACGCTCACCTTCCGCGTCGTCTCATCCAAGAATGCGCGCGACATTGACCTCATCACCCAGTGGCACGACTCGGACCGCGTCAACGAGGGCTGGAGGCAGCGCGGCTCGAGGGAGGACCAGCTCAAGGACGTCCAGAAGATGGAGGCCAACCCGTACAGCCTTGGCCTGATCGGAGAGTGGGATGGCGAGCCCTGGGGCTATGTCGAGGTGTACTACGCAAAGGTGGGCAAAGGTCTGGCGATCGACTCGTGACACATTGTCAAGTTCGCTCACCGCCCGTCCTTGTACCTCTTCCTCGCCACTGACCACACAGCAAAGTAACCTCAGGGACCAGTACGATGCCTCGATCCGCGACCGAGGCTTCCATGCGCTCGTGGGCAACGAAAAGTTCAGGGGCCCGCACCGCGTTCGCTCCTGGATGGGCAGTCTTGTGCACGTGCGTCGTCATGCCCGCTGCACCGCCGCCGCGCGCCCTTCGAAGCCGTCTAGCTGATTGCCCCCCTTTTCCTCCCATCCCTCTCTCGTCATTCCGTCGCTGTCCTCAACGCTCTGCAGCTCATGTTCTTGCTGGACCCGCAGACCGACCTCTGCGTCTCCGAACCGCGCCTGAGCAACACCAAGATGGTCGAGTACGAATGCATGGTGGGCGGACACGTCGAAAAGGTGTGTCTCTTTCGCCCGAGTCGAGTCGAGTCCGAGTCGAGCTGTCTCAACGATCGATGCTGTGTGCTGATATCGGTGCTGCTCTTGGATGGACGATTGACGGGACGCAACGCAGTTCATCGACTTTCCGCACAAGCGCGCCGCCCTCGTCTTTTTCCCGCGCCACCGCTTCTTCCAGCTCTGCCCGCTCCAGCCTCTACCCGAACACCTCCGCTCCCCCGTGAGCAAGTAGACGTCCCTCGCAGCTTGCGCCCCATAGATGCCATCCGCCGGGAACAGAAAACACGGACTTGCAAACCAATGCGCGGAGTAGGTTGTGCGTCTCTAGGCTTTGTCTTGCATTTCTCGTCAGGATGGTCGTGAGATCATCGAGAGCGTCGAGCAGCTAAAACGTGTCTGCGACGTGGAGGATGCGTGCGAGCGTGACTCGGGTTTTGGGCTATTGTACAGATGCAGCGGGCGAGAGAAGAGGAGAGAGAGAGAGCGTGGTGAAGGGGTATTGACAACGAGATGCCTTTGGCTCTGTCTTGCTGTGGCCCACACGGGGGGCGAGACCGCGCGGCAGGGGGACCAAAGGATGGATGAAGGAGGATGGGGCTGTATGTACGTCGGAGGGATGCTGATGCAGTGAGGCTGGGAAGAGGAGGCAAATTGTCCATCGATGCGTGGCAACCCCTGGCTGGCTGGCGTCGGCGCCGAGCCGGGCCGGGCCCTCTAGGGATGCCCGACGCTGCTGTGGTTGCAGCTCGAGTTGACGTTGGTGATGGCGCCGTCGCCGGGCATGACGTCGGCGTGGGAGGTGTACTGCCTCAGCAGCTCCGGGTCGTCTGCGACATCGCCGTCGTAGCCCGAAGCCTCGTTGGGCTCGGCGACGGGGCTAGGCTTGCCATCGGGCCCGGGCTGCGAGGTGCCGCGCAGCTGCTCCAGGAAGGCGGCCGCCTCGGACGAGTACTTGCACTTGGCGCGGATCTTTGCTCCGTACTTTGCAAACACAAAGGGGAAGGGGAGGCAGATGAGGGCGAGGAAGCCGGCGATGGCCGGGCCCCAGTGGATGCCGTTGGCGCCGCCGATCTGGTACATGTTCTTGGTGAAGAGCGGGAAGGCGAAACCAAAGAGGGATCGGATCACCGAGTTGGCGGCGAGGACCGAGGCGGCGTAGATGAGGTAGCTGTCGGTGAGGTAGTTCATGAGCGAGAGGAAGATGAGGACCATGCCGAAGCCGAACGGCGCCGAGCCAATGATGGGCGCGATCCAGTGGATGCTGGGCGAGTCGGTGGCGGCAAAGATGGCGAGGCCGACGACAATGGCAACGGCTCCCACCATGCACGAGGGCAGGCGGACCTCGGGAGGGGCGACGCCGCCGAGCGACTTGGCGATGCGGACGTAGCGCGGGTTCTCGTAAAAGACGATGTAGCCGACGGCGATGATCATGCCGACCAGGACGCCGCAGAAGGCGAGACCGCCGATGCCCGGGCTCCAGCCGCGCTCCTGCTGGAAGACGATGGGGAAGGCACCGAAGAGCGAGTAGAGGATGCCGTAGACGATGGCAACGTAGATGGAGAGGATGAGGACAATGGGCTCGTGGAAAAGGAGCAGCCAGGGACGGCTGAGGGCGACCGAGAACATCGTCTTGAGGCGCAGGTCCTTGCCCTTGTCGAGCTTGCAGATGTAGTGCTTGCCGGTGACCTTGGACAGCCTCTGGGCGCGCTTGCGGAGGAGGTAAGGCGCGTAGGTCTCGGGCAGGGTCAAGATGCCGACGGCCGTGACGACGGCGGCAAAGATGGCGACGTAGCCCAGCACCCACTTCCAGCCGCCGGACTCGCCGAGGAAGCCGCCGGTGATGGGGCCGAGGGCAGGGCCGAGGAAGGGCGCCGCCGCGAAGAGGGCCATGGCGAGGCCGCGCTGGTTGGCGCTGAACATGTCGGCCAGGGTGCCGCCCGAGTTGACGAGGGGCGACGCGCCAAACAGGCCCGAGAGGAAGCGGAAGACGAGGAGCGACTCAATGTTGGGCGATGCGACGGCGACGCCCTGCCAGAGGGTGTACATGAGGTTGGCGAAGATGAAGAGGTTGCGTCGGCCGAGAACCTCGGAGAGAGGAGCCCAGATGAGCGGGCCAAAGGCGAAGCCAAGGACGAAGAGCGAGACGCCGAGGGTGATGATGAGCTGGTCGACCTGGAACGTCTCGCGGAGCGAGATGGCGGCGCCCGTGTACGCGCTCGACGAGAGCGAGACGCAGAGCGTGGCGATGGCGACCTGGACCGTGATGATCCACTTGTAGGTCTGCGAGTAGGTCATGGGGTTCTCTGGGTCGTTGGGGAGCCACTCGACCATGAACGGGTCCTCCTGGGTGCCCGATCCGGCGTACTTGTGGTCGAGGATCTCGGAGAAGGGCGTCGACCTGACGCGGTAGGGGCGCTTTCGCAGCGTGTGCTGGTTGGGGTTGACGGCCGTGGCCGATGACCCGGTGTCGACCTTTTCGAGATGCGACATGGCGGAGGTGGGGGGTCGGTGGGCGAGTTGCGACGCGAACGGCGAGGGAGGGGTAGGCGCCTAGGATACGGTGAGGTAGCGAATGGATACGGGGAGAGGGAATGGCGACCGGATGGTTGCCAAGCCAGCGACCACTTTATACTCTGCCGATCATCACGGCCAGAGAAAGAGCAAGAGAGGCGTGCGCGGGCAAATGGCAGCAGGGGGGGTGGGTGAGTGAGTAAGAGAGTTTGGCTCAAAAGACAGCGGACCGCAGGACCGAAGAGAGCCGACAGTGTGGGCCCATCTTGGGCGGGCGCAGGCAGGCCAGGGGACCCCTGCGACGGAGCTAAGCACGACGAAGGCAGGCAGGCATCTGTCGGGGCGGAGGCCATCACGTCGGCCAGGATGCGCAGCCGCCACCAAAGCCAACGCCAGAACGTTTTCGACCAGCGCACAAAGGGAGGGGGAGGGGGGAGAGGGGGAGAGGGGGCGAGGCAGGCGGGAAGGCAGCAAGCCCCCTCGTCAAGTTTGCCGTTGCCCAACTGCACCGGCACGGCGCTGCTCCGGCTCAAAGGAAAAGCCGAGCGAGTTGGCGTCGCGTAATTTTCCCTAGCCCTGCCTGGCTCCCGTCCCCAAGCGCCCGCGCCGGCCTCTTTGCTGGCAGCAAGCAAAGCATCAATGTCGACGCCTGCCTGGACACAGAGAGTATCCCTAGCCTCGCTCCCGACACCCCTCCGTATCTCCGTTGGCAGAAAGAGTACTCTGTCCCATGCTGGGCCAGGACCATGCTGCTGAGAGCCACAGCGTGCAAGCGTCGCTCTCGTCGTCAAGGGGGGGACGGGCGCGATCCAAATCCTTCGCCTAGCCATCGGCTGGCCCGAATTTGCAGCATCAGCCTTAAGCTTCCCCTTGCGGCGCAGGCTGTCCGACTCGGGAGACGCAAGGGGGGGCCGGGCGGATCAGCCGTCGACCGACCAAATCCGAAACGTCAATCGCCGCGGATGTCCACGCTGAGCGGGCGGCATGCCCGAGTGCCTGAACTTGCGTCACCTTGTTCCGCATGTGCGTCAGCCGCGTCGGGTGAACCGTTGGTCCGCACCAACCCAGCCGGCGGGGCGGTCACCTCGCCATTGCTCGCCATCACCCTCGACGCCATGGAGGCACCATGGTACGTTCGGTCTGCTCGCCGCCACCACGTCGAGCGTCGCTGGCATCGATAGGCTTCTTGTCATCTCCTATAGCCGGTGTTGGTTCAGGGCACGTGGAAGGCTGTCATCGCCGGGCTGCATTCAGGAACCGTCACTGTCCCGAGTGCATCGTCCTCTCTCCATACCTGCTGGCCAAGGCCCGACTGGGTGATGTTGCTGTCACAATACCAAACCAGACGCCCGACGCCGTGTCGAGCATTTGGGTCAGCATTCCAGCGGCCGCCGTCGCGTGGCGTACTGACGCTGCGATGCCATTCGCTCGTCGAGCGCGCCTTTCCGGTGTCTTCGTAGACATCGGCGCGATCTCAGGCGGCAGCCGCCGCACTGCTGCTGCTGGCTGAGCCTTCTCTTGCCGCTTGGCTTGCTTGCTTGCCTGCTTTCCGGCGGGTGGTCCCTGAGCTGCATGATCATCCCTGCAGCAAGCAAGGCTCGGAGCGTTCCGATACGGCGGAGCGATACGTACCTACGTACGATGGAGCCGCGAGAAAACCGAAAGATGCTGCTTGCGTCTGAGCCCGAGCCTCCACCAGCCTGCTCCCAACGGCAACGACTACCGCTATCATACCTGTCATGTGCTCCTTGCCACCTCCACAAAGGAGGGCTGGCATGTAGTCTTAGAGTGGAGGATGGCGAGGGGAGACCAAGGGAGGTGGAGGTGGACAGGCCGTGGTGATGCTCCTCGTGCTCGTCGAATGCGGCCCACCGTGTGGCCTGAGGCTAGGCCGGCTGGTGTCAGCAGCCCCTTGCCAGCACGGGCTGGCCCAGCGCGGTCCTCCACGCCAGGCAGGCAGGCCAGCCCGACGCATGCAAAATTTTCCGACTCGGACTTTTTTTTTCTCGGCGTCCGGCTAAATCGACGGACCGGCCCGACCCGCGGGACTGCACAGCTCGACGAATCTTCGAGGATCTTCGTGCAGCATGCAAGCAAGCTGGGCAGGGGCGTTTGCGCGTGGCGCGCCTCGTGGCGACGCAATGGCGGTGGCGTACCGGCCCGAATCCTATCCACTAGTAGTTGTCCACCGAGCCAACCAGACGGCGATCTCTGCATGCTGCGATGTTTGGATGATTCGGCCGACGATCCATGGAGCCACGAAGCCACGTACCTGCGGTAACTTCCGTTAGCTGCACAGCTTCAGCTTGGCATCGACGACAAAGGCCGCCTGGAATACGGAAGTCGGTCACGGTCCAAGCTCCGGCTCGAGGGGCGTTGCTCTCCCGGACCCTCAACGACACAGAGTAGCGTGGAAGTTGCCACAGCCACATCTGTGGCAGCGCCTGTCCGACTCGGTCTGGCCACCAAGGCGTCGGCCCGGACGTGTCCGCGCCTCCGGTCAACGCGCAGCCTCGAGTTGAGTGCTCGGATGGAACCTGCTCTCCTCGACCTTGTCCATCTCTTCTCGCTTTGCGCTCATCAGGCACGACCTACAAGCTCAACATATCTCGCCCACGTCTGCTCCGGACTACAGTAGCCCGGGTCGTTCGCCGCCGTTCCGATCTCTCGTGTAGGTGATGGTGGCACCAATCGAGCAGCCGCGTGCGAGGTCCACGTCAATTGGTCGCTCCTCCTCGACAAGGTCGTCTACCGCAAGTCTACAGGTGAGTGCCTCTCATCCGCTAACAGTACAGTGGCACGTGTGCAAACGGACGAGCCTAGAATGGCGATCCAAAATGAATGAATATTGGGGCAACTGCGACTACGACAAGCCGAGACGATGGTGCCCGTGGTACTGATGAAGATGAGGCTCGTAGTCGTGGAAGGTGTGGCAGCGCTGCTCCGCCTCGAACGCCGGGGGCTGCACCTCCTCGTCCTCGTCGACAAACTCGGTCTCGGTGATCCCGAGCGCGATGCTGGCGTAGTCCAGCGAGATCTCCCCATCGTAAGCTGCCAAAGCAGGTGCGTCGCCGGCCATCGCACGGCGCTCGTCGACGCCGCCGCGGCCCGAAGACCTGTTCGATGAAGACCGTGAGACCGTCTCGAGCCTCTCGGTGTCGGTGAAGCTATTGAACTGGTACGGATGCGGGATCCGCGTGGGTGTTGGCGGCAGCTCCTTCGTTGCGGCCGTTGCCCTCTCGGCCCACGAGGTGAGCCCGCGAATAGCTTCGTTATAGTCCTGCGAGGCGGCGGTCGCGGCCGGCTCCTCGAAGGTCTTGCTCGGAGCATTGTGCTGGACCAGCGTGTCCATCCACCACTCCTCGAGGTCCGGGGTGGGCGCGCGGTACCTGGTGCCCCAGACACCGGACGTGTCCTCGTCGTCGCTCTCTGCATCCTTGTCGGTGCCGACGAGCGTCTTGGCCAGGTTGCGCAGCTTGCCGCCAAACGTCTGGCTCACGGTGCGGAAGGTGCTCGAGCGCGAACGCCGGATCTCGGGCCGCTGTGGCGTCGGTGTGACGAGCAGGTTGCTGGCCGAGGCGACGGGCTGCAGGTTGCGGGTGCCCGAAGGCCCTGGTGCAGTGCGCGGCCTGCTGCCCGCGGGCGCCGCAGTCGATCTGCTCCTCATCCTCGCCCCTTCTCCTTGCGTCTCTCCATGTCCGAGGTAGTCCTCAGCCTCTCCGTAAGGGAAGGGGACCCGTCCTAGAGGTGTTGCGGATCCCGGCGTCCTCGGCATGGGCGTCAGAGGCGTGATGGGCGATGGCAGGGCGGGACATTCGCGCGAGGAGCGGTTGGACTGTAGCTGTCCCTCGGCAAGCCCACGCGACGAGCGCGACGAGAGCGAGGCGGTGCGAGGGCGGACTGCGGCTTGGCGCGACGGTCCAGCCTCGGCGCTGCCTGCCTTGTTGGCGGCGTACGGGTCGGGCAACGGCAAGCGCGGAGGTGGCGTGGCTCTCGGACGTGCCGAGAGACGACGGGCCTGTGCATCGGTGGTCTTTGAACGAGGCTCGTCCATGGTAAGAGACCGTGGCGGGGCCGGGGCGGGATCGAAGCCTAAAGAAGACGCCAGCCTCGGCGACGAGGTGCGCTGGGGCGGCGTCGAGCCGCTCGAAGACTTCCTAGACCGCGAGCTCAGGGGCTCTCCAATGGTCATATTGCCAAGACTAATCAAACGGTGGTGCGAGGAAGAGGTCGAGAACTGGCTGTCGGTCGATGCGGATCGCTGCAAGGCATCGCTAGTATGGGGCCGCCGCCGGGGAGGCGAGGTCCGAATCGGTGAGCTGCGAGATGGATATTGAGAAGAGCTGGTGCCGTGGTAAGGCACTGTCCTTCCGTCCCTAGGGATTGATGGCCCGGGCGCATTGTCCTCGCTATCCTCGGCGAGGATGCCGAGCCTGCTCGAACCCGATGGCACTTCGATGCCCGTCTTGATGTTGCGCGCAGCGGCAGTCGCATTCGTCTGGGGAGGCTTGGAGATGGCCTCGGGCTCGAGGGCATTTCGTGTAGGAGGAAGCGGGAACAGGCCGCAGTCGAGGTTGAGGTCGGATTCGTACGACCTGCTGAGCGTCATATCGGACCCGCTCTGGAGCAGCACGAGCCTCTTGGGTTCGAAGGCGGGGATCGGCGGTCGCGGCGCGGTCGAAGGGAAGATGGCATAGGCGATCGAAGGAGGTGTGTCGACGTCGGTGAACTGGCTAGAGCTGCGGTCCGAACCGTCCATGCTGTAGTGGGGATCGGTCGACGCCCGGCTCCAGTCCTCGAGACACTGGGCCAATGTCGGGGAGCGGAAGCCTGAGACGGGCCTCATACCGGCAAGGTCGACTGGATAGTGAAAGGCGGGGTGTGGGTGGTGGATGGGTAGCGTGGAACAGGCGGGATCCGGTCTGCCTCTGTGCCAGTCGTACTCTTATAACCCCAGGGGAATGCGGGGTGGACCAGCTGACGTTGATGGTCGGCGGTGGCTGGGAGGCCACGAGGAGCGTTGGTGAGAGCTTCTTGTGCTGGAGCAGGTCACGCTCCTGCCTGAATCCTGTCTGGTGACAAGAACAAGCCTCAGGGTCAGGTAGACAGGATGGGAAAAGTGCAACGGTGTGATGGCGGGGACGGTGGGGATGGTGGGGATGGTGGGGATGGTGGGGACGGCTGCGAGGTCGAAGTTGTTCAAGGGAGACCCGACGAGCGGCAACAAGCGGTCCATGTCGCCACGTACATATGCCTGTTGAGCTCCGAACGGCCCGTAACCGCACGGCGCTGTACTCTACTGTACAGTAGCCGCCGTACAGTCCGACCTACGCATCTGCGGGGAGCGTCGTACCGGTCAAGAAATCATTCTGGGGCTCTGCCATGACCATCGCCAACAGACGATCGATGGGAGGGCAATGGAGCCCGAGGAAGAGCCGAAGGAAGAAGTGCGAGTGCGGTCGAAGGGCTTCCGAACCGAGCGCCTGGGAAGGAAGACTCGCCAGGCGGGCATGAAGGCGGAGCAGGCCGGGGAGGGGAGCGCTGAAGAGGACGACGAGAGGAGGGCCAGTAGTGAGATGCGGAATTGATGAGGTCCGGCAGAGCCAAGCCCTCGGCGTTCCGTATGGAAATAGAATCCGGCCGAGGCTGCAGGACCGAGGCCGCGGGTCTCACGATGGACCTGGCCTGGCCTGGCCTGCCAGCCTGGTTACAGCCGTCGTCGCCGCCGTCGAAGCCCGTTTGGCTTTCATGCTTGGAGCCCTTTGTGTCGCGAGTCGAGCCGTGGTGGAACAAAGTGCCAGATGTCCCTCTCGATGTCGAGGTCCTGGAGGGTAGCGGTAGGTTTCGCTGCCATGCGGCTGATGCCTGTTTGCAACTCAGGAACCGTCGAAGCAGGAAGCTTTGATAGAGGACGGCATCGTGTCGATGTCGCGTCTTGAATGGAAGAAAGGGAGGGGCAAGCAAGGCGATGTGGGTCTCTGCGTCCGCTGCTGCTGCTGCAATCGAAGGGATGCGGTGGCAGCGCGCGTAAAAGGGCACCCTCGATTGGCGGTTCCTGCGTACTGCCGCACAGGCATCCACCGTCGATGCAGGTCAAGGTACGTAGGCAGGCGGGCAGAGAGAAGGCGGATGGCCTGGTTGGACGTCTGACCCGCACAAACCGCTCGGTGAATGCAGTCTCGCCATGAGGACAATGGAAGGACTTTGAAACCGGAGCGTGGCCGCCGCGCCTTGACGAGCCGCCTGGCCTGGCCGGTCGTCGACGAGATGCTGTGGGAAGCCAGGGTAGTTAGGGTAGGGTTCGGGGAGGTCCAAGGTCAAACGCACGAGTGTCCCGACTCAGGGTCCTGTCTCGTCTCGACGGCCGTTCCCTTGACTCGGAGACTCGTTGGCCGCGCCGCCACCGAAACGGGGTTCAGCCAGCCAGCCGCCTGGCCTGGCCTGCCTCCCGAACGCGACATTCACCGACGGCCTGCCACACTTCGACTAGCGGGGCGGGCCAGGGCGGGACGCACGACAAGCCTGCCTGCTCGCCACGATCCTGAGCGACCGCAGCAGCCTCGGCCTGGCGATGGGGGCTTCGTGGACCATGCGTGGCCCGAGAACTGAAATAGAGCTCAAAGATTTCGCAAGCAGGGCGGGCCAGGCTGCCGCCCTGCACGCGTGGGCAGGCCGACATGTATGTATGTAGGCAGGCGGTAGGAGTAGTTGGCCGACGACTCCGCCGCGCCGCTGCCCGTTCAATCAATCCAATCGATGGCGCGGCAGCAGGCCACGACAACGTCGCGCTCGACGAGTCCGAATTCCTGGAGTGCAGCTGCGAGCACCTCGATATGAAAACACGTCGTGCAGGCCCTCGTAGACTCCGCTTCGGTCGTCGCGCACAGCCTCTCGCTCGAGGCGATGCCCGCCCCATCCTTTCGATTTCGCCCGACCATCTCTCGCCCGGAGAGGCCGCAGACCTGGGAAAGACCGGGCATGCTCTCCGGCCAGGGCTTGCCTACGTAAGTCTGCCTGTCGGTCCTTCGCTCGACTTTCACCCGTGCGTGGCCTTTCGGCGCTCACATGGACGGACAGCAACTTGCTGCGACAGCGCCGACAGCTCGTCCGACAGCCGAGCCGCGCTGCATCCACGGTCATCGTGCCTCGGCCTTTGCACCCTCTCCCCTCGACCCGGCCCCGAAAGACCGGATAGGGAGCGATATACCTTCGAAGTGTCACATTGCGACCATCGGGCTGTTCTGCAGCGAGGGCTCGTTCGCTGGGGAACTCGCAGCAAGCTATCGACGGTGCGAAGAACTCGCGCGAGAGAGATCATACCGCCGAGCTCGTCCTGCGATGACATGGTATGGTATGGGTGAGAGGTGTGGTATGCGCCCCGAAGCGCCATCAGCAAGAAGATATGGTCTGGCTGTCGATGCTGCAGCGGCTCGGTCGGCGTGCGGTTCCGCGGCAGAGTGGGGGGGGTGCGCCGAACTGGGCGCAATCGGAACGTATGGAAGGATGCCGATCCTAGGCCCGCGCAAGGATATCGTCAAGCACGCCGGACCACTCGTTTGATCCGAGGATCTCGTTGAGGATCGACTCAATCGACTGGTGGTCCTGCGGCGTGGCCGCCTGGGCCGCATCGGCGCTGGGCATGGGGAAGAGCTTGGCAATCTGATCCTCTGCCATCCAATCGACGCCGGCATCTTGCGAGAACAGGTCGACTCCTCCCGGCATCCCGGCAAAGCTTTGAGGCGGCGGCAGGGGAGATTTCCTCGTCGTCGACGGCCCGAGGTACTGCGCGTAGGTGTCGAGCTGCCCGCCGCCCATCGCGGGGTCATCGAAGGGATACGCTCGTGGCCACGGTTCGGCCAGTGCGCCGCCGTTCTGGCCCGCCTCGAAGAGGGATGCGGTGAGGCTGGGAGCCACGACCTGGGTGGTGGGCGCGAGCGTCCCCGTGACGGGGGGCAAGGGCCCATGTCGAGAGTGGAGTCCGCTTGCCGCAAACGTGGTCATGTTGAGACGATAGTTGAGGTCTCCCTCGTCGAGCGGGCCGGGATGGTTCTTGAGCGGGTCTTGGAGTACCAGCCCGACGCCCTTGGCCCGCGGGGGCAGGCCGCAGCATCCGACGTCTTCGGCTCCCAAGCTCATCGGCGCATTCTGCGCGGCGCACCGCTTGCTAAAGACGGTCCACATCGTCAAGACCTCGAGCATCCCCTTGATGATAAAGGCGCCCGTCGCGGGGATGCTGCCGTTCTCGACGGTGCCCTGCGAGTCGACCGACTCGAGCCCCCGGATGACGGCCTGGAAGGCCGACTGCCACGACTCGGACCGAGCGGGCAGCTTGCGCCACGCCTTGATGACCTTGGCGTGCATCTCGACAGCGGTCAATGCGGCCTCGAAGGCGTAGCCGACCACATTGACCATGGGTACCGGCAGCCTCTGATTTGAGCGGCCCTCGGACGCGTTGCTGAGGGGTGAGCTCGACGTGGCAGACGCCGTGGTGGCGCCTCGCGAAAGCACGGGCGTGTCGAGTTCGGCGTAGTCGCGCTGCGTCAGCTTGGCGGTGGTCCGGAGCACCGACTCGGCCGCATCCAGCCTTCGTTCGGCGTGGACGGCCAGGAACTGAAATGTGACCGGGTTGAGCTGCTTCTCCCTCATAAGGCGCATCATGGCCGCCACCCTCGTTGCCGGGTCCGGCTCGATGCCAAGGGTCTTCAGGCAACCCAGACCTGTGATGGTGAGGTCCAGGTTGGCGGCCTCGACTGCGAGCCAGTCGGCGATCAGGGCCGAGCTGGGATCGCTCTCGGGTAGCTCGCGCGCCCTCTCCGCTTCGATGGCCGCAAAGTCGTTACGCCACTGTCGCTGGATGGCGTCGACAAGGTGGACGCGCTCATGGTCGTCGAGGGTGTTCGGGATTGCTTTGATCTCGCCCATGCTGACCATGGCCCGCTCCAGCAGGATGCCGCGCATGATGACGCCGACGGTGCCCGCGTCCCGCTTGCTCAAGGGGGACCCGCCGCTCGCGTGCAGAGGCAGACCGGGCATCCCATATGCGCTTGCGTAGCCATCGGAAGGCGGGGCGCGGGGCAGCAAGGATCGCATCCAGTTGGCGTCGGCAAAGTTGCCGCTGACGGATTCGAACAGCTCATCGTCGCCTAGCGTGAAGCAGGTATGCCAGGCCTTGATGCTCAGCCACTCAACGGCTCTTCTCGACGTGTCCAGACTGTCGATGTTGCCGGATGATGAGCCTGCAATCGGTGGCTGCGGTGCGCCACCTCCAAGGGCTAGTCGGTCGATGCGGAGCGAGCGGGCGAGACGCTCGGCGACGGTCATGAGGCCATCGGTCCTGATGCGATTCTTGGAGGGACCGGCGAGCACCGACACGTCGATGGGGAAGATGGCGAGCAGCTCGAGCGCCTCGAGCGCTCTTGCCTCGCGAGGCGCCGAGAGCATGACCCTTCCGAGGTCGCGGACGACGAGGCGGGCCACGCTGAAACGCAGCACGTCGTCCTCGGGGGTGCGCGGCAGGTGCTGCAGGGCTACGAGATAGAGGGCGGCCTCGAGCAGCTGCGAGGCGACAGACTGATGGCCCCCCTGATTGGCCTGGCGGATCGACTGCGCGTTCGAGAGATGCGGCATCCACAGCGTGAGGTGCTCCTCGCACCATTCGGACAGAATCGCGCTCTTGTCATCGTCGACCACATCGCGGATGTCGGCCTCGGCGCCGAACTCTTCCGAGATGAGCCGCGAGGTTCGGCTGGCGAAGCCGCGCTGCCGAGGGATGAGCTCCGTGAGCAGGGTGTAGGGTCGGCTGCGGATCGAGTACTTTTCCCAGCCGTCGATGTCGAGGGGCTGCGAGGCCGACATGCCCGAGATGGACCGGATGGCCTTGACGTGGCGGACCTCTGCTTCCAGTGCGGTGGGCGAGCCCGGGTCCATGCCAGATGGAGACGGGGTCCGAGAGACGAGTCGGGGTCGCGAGAGGCGTCTGTCGCGGTCACGGCTACGGGCGTCGTCTGCTGTCCCGAGGCCCTCGGCTTCGTCGCCTCCAGCGAGGCTGATCCTCTTGGCTCTGATGGTCAGCTCGCCAGTGGTCGCGGCGCGGTCGAGGGTGGGCCGCGCTGGTGTTTCGTGGGTGCCCTTGGACTCTGTAAGTTTCCTGCCGCGCTTCTTGTTGGAGTCGTCGACGATGCACGAGATCTGCAGAGTCTTGCAACGATGGCATGCCAGGTGGTCTGCGAGCGGACCGGGACCGGAGGGCACCGTGAGATCTGGCAGCTCGCACCTCGCCTTGCGTTGCTGGCACATCTGGCAGGAGCGCCGCGCATGGGTGCGACGGGGGCGCTTGCGGATGGCAGGCGCCTCGCTGCCTTCGCCTCCGCCTCCGTGCTCTTCGGACATCTGGGGCAGGGGCAGCCGCCGGGCCCGGTCGATGTGGTTGGGCGCGTGTATGCTGGCCGGGGTCAGGGTGGGCAGGGTGCTCTGCACGGACGGAAGGTCGGTGTTGAGCCTAGGGCGAGGACGGATCTACGGGGTGAGGGTGTTGCGCAGCCGGCGATCGGCAATGCCAGCAAGAGATCCTTCGCTTTGGAGGGAGGTCGGCAGTACACGGCCTGATGGAGCGCAGACCAGAGGCGCCAAGTTTGGCCGGGTGCGGGAGGTCCCGCTTCGAAGAAAGACAAAAGGATCGACGGTCTCGAAGCAGGCCGAGAGCGCTCAGGAGTTGGTGACGGCGGTCGGACAAGGTCTTATTGCGGAGGGCAAGGACACCACAACGTCGAGCTGAAGGGAGCAAGACGATGGTAACGTGTGTGCGTGCGATGCGCAAGCTGTGCCCAAAGAGGTAGAAGAAGATGGCAGGGAGGGGAGGGGGAAAGGGCCTCGATACTCGGGTGACGCCGTTGGGCTCGGTGGTGGTTTTTATCTGATCTGGCGACCGGAGCGGCGGCAGAGGGCGGCTGAGCGGTTTCAGAGAGTAGTGCTGGTGAGGGTGGTGGAGAGCCAGCGACCGGGTAGGGGGGTATTGCGTGGCCCCCCGTTCCCGTGCGTGCGGATGATCGTGAGAGAGGAGCGTGCAAAGGCGCCGACACACAGGCAGGCGGGTAGGGATGCTGCGCCCCTGCCTCTGCTTGGCCATCACGGTAGCACCAGCCCAGCAACAGATCGACGTACGTGGATGTAACCGTTCGCCTCTCGGCGCGGGGCTGTGGGACGGCTGTCCTCTGTTGCTTGGCCTTGCCGGCTAGGAGGAGGTGCCTACCTGTTCGAGGTTTTGGGTGTGCCAAATCTTCCTCTCTCTCTCCATCTCGCCGCCTGGCTGCTGCTGCTGCTGCTGCTGCTGCGAGCTTGCTTGTCTTTTCATGGACGCGCATCAGGGCCGAAGGGCAACATCCGACCCTGATGCCGTACAGGCGCCCACAGAACCGAAGAGAACGCTACCGACCGAGCGCGACGTTGGGCCCTCCCCTTCGGCCGTCGAGGCCAAGGGCCGAAGAGATAGGCAGGGTTGCGGTAACCTAGCGGTCCAGCCCTGCCCAGCCTGCCTGGGGCCAGCGCCCGCGCGTGCATGCAGGCAGGCGTGGACGGCCACGTCAGGCAGCCAAGAGGGTGCGCAGGGAATGCGGATGGCAGCGCCCGCGTTCCGTGGACGAGGCTTCCAACGGAAAGCGAGCGCCGGCCTGGCAGCGAGTGCGAGGTGGTGGTCGACAGGCAGGTCGACGGGCAGGTCAGCCGGGTGGGGTTTGGAGCCCCTCGGAACGCGGGTCGACGTATGTCGGAGCGAGGCCATGGTTCGGCTACGGAGTTACAGATACGGCTCTCGGGAGCTATGTAGGGTCGAGGACCCTAGCCGTTTGGGGCTCTAGACCCATCTCGCTCCCGGGGGCGACGACATCGATAGAGAGGAGATCAGACAGAGACTCAGCACCCTCGTCCCGTTCGAGGCACATACGGTGACACGCCGCTAACGTACTGTACAGTACAGTAGGTGGGCAGGCCTCTTCCCCACGCGCACGCATTGGTATCTCTGCCCCCTGGGTTCGAAGACCGCTGCCCTTGCCTCGTCGTCAGCGCCGCCCCCGCCCTGATCTTCGTCGATGGGCAGGCATCACAAACCTAGAACAAGGTCGAGCGCGGGCGTGGCGTGGCACGTTCCAACCTCGGTCGGTGGTACGGGCTGGAACACGGTCTTACACAGCGCTGCGGCAGGTAGCCAAAGCAGGGTCGGTACAGACACGACGCATCGACCGACCACCTCCGCTCCGCATGACTCGTGTCTGACTCTGAAAGCGCGGTTTGTTGACTCGCAAGGACGCAGCCCCATCGTAGACGCACGCAGACCAGCCGGGCAGAGCCTTGATCGCGATCGAGCTGGATGTCTTCTTCTGTGCGGCGTGTCGCGCCGGCCAGACAGGCCTGGCCATGTAGGCTGTGTAGGTAGCAGCTAGGAGGCAAGGAAGGATCTGCTTGCCGAATCTATGTGCATCTCCATGTCGGGGCCCTGGCCCTGGCCCTGGCCTGCTGCTTGCTTCGCACGCCTGATCCCGAATGCGCGGCACAGGGGGGGGCTTGCAGCGATCCGGACAGCCACCGCCGCCTTCGGTCGAAGCGCCGCACATCCGGAAGCCTGCCTTCATGCCACGTTCTCTCTCGGTCGTCGTCTCTCTGCCCGTTCGTTGGTCATGAAGCTCTCCTGTCGGAAAAACACAGCTGCTCCAATGCCCTGGCGCGCTCCTGCGTCCTCGACCGCCGAATGCCACGCACAGCCACCTTGCCCGGCCAGTCAGAAGTCTCTCTCCCTTTTGCGATCTGTAGGTCCCTAGCAAAGTGAGAGCGAGTTGCAGAGGACGTCGAAGTTCCCCGGAAGAGCGACTTCCGCACAGCGAAGCCACGCGCACACGCGCGCTGGCGCTGCCTGGCCTGACCTTCCACTCCCGAAGCCCAAGCGTGCCGACGGCGGTGACGGCGAAAAGGAAGTCGTCGGCACAGCGCCCGGCCTGCTGACGGCGAGTCGTGATCACCTGAAGACTGCAGCCACCCACATGCCTCCGCACCCGCCGCCGATATCCCGCAACTGCTGCGCTGCGAACGTACGAGCTCGTCTTGCTCTCGAGGCTCTTGGGTCGCTCGTCGGTCGTCGGTACGGTCTGCAACCGCGGCAGCCAACTACCGCAGGCTACCCTGCCACCTGTCTATCGTCGCGCCTCCTCTTTGTCTCCTTGGCCAGGCCGTGCTCGCAAGATGGCACGGCGAGGGTGCCCGGCAAGCTGGCTGGCGAACTCAAGACTGTCGTGCCGTGCAAGCCGCAAGATTGAGATATATTGTTGGGACAGGCACCCTTCTTCCGAGCTTCGGCCCGGGCGCGACTCTCACCAGGAAAGAGACGAGATCCTTGCTGCAGGCCATTGTCGAGGGCATACACCGAGGTTGGGGACTGGGACGCCCTTCTGAACCTGCGCTGATCTAACCTCGGCCCCTTGGTGTCTGTTGTACATGTACGGTATCCTTGGCTCGAGTCTGGCCTCGCACCGTCGTCGAGCCTTCGCTCCGAAGAGTACGTGCGCGGCCGTTGATATGACCACGCAGGTCCCTCTCGCCGCGAGGGTCTCGCCTTGCAGTCGGTGGCAGTCGTCGTGGCAAGCGTCCATTGCTGGGCTCCGACGTTTGGCATCAAGGCGCGACTGTCTGTGATGAGGACCAGCTCGAGGGCTGCTCGGCGGTAGGTAGGACCCGCGTTGGGCGCAAGCCTGGATTTTCCTGTGCCTTTTTCGGGCGCCTTTTCCTGCCCTGCACCGCTTCAGGGTCTTGCCTTGTTGTCGGGCCGCCTGCCCGGTGGCCAATGTTCGGAGCCGAGGATAAAGCGCGACGGGACGCGCCTCCACATGTAGCATCTCGCCTTCTCTCTCGCACGGCTCCGAGGCACGCTGGCCAGGGTCTCTGGCGATGCCAGGCAGCCCCGGCTACTCCCCACCGCGGGGATCGACCTGGAATGTGGCGTGGGTGGTCGTCAGGGAACCCGCCTAGCCTTCTCTACCTTTATAAACGCTCCTCGATGTCGGCGGCTCTCGCGTCCACTGCATAGGGGCCGACGTATGCTCTGGCACCATCACAGCGACCATCCTTTCGCCTGCATCCGCCGACCTGCGAGGCACTGGAACGAGAGCACCCCTGGACCGAGCAACATCCCGGCCTACGAGATCGCCCTGCGCACGTCGCTCTGACCTGAATTGCCGACGAAACGGAGAGAATGCTGAGCCTTCACCTGCCTCAAAGCAACGGAGAATGCACTTCCCGGAGGGATGCGAGATCGAGAGCACAGACGGGCTGGATGTCGACGATGAAGAAGCATTCGGAGCATGCCGGCCCAGTCGCCGAGCAACCACCTGATGGGCCAGCCTCGATCCCTGCCCAGACGACGAGGCAAGCGCACACGTCCAAGACTGCGCTGCTGCTGTGATGCCACTCTGTTGACACGGTTCCATGCCGAAAGGAGGCGCCAGCCTCGTAGCAGACCGACACCGCCATGCCCCAGGTCGACTGCGCTGTCCGGCCCATGAATCGCCAGCCTCGGCCTCGGCCTCAGAGAAGGTGATGCCGGCGAGCCGATCCGCCCATCGAGCGAGCTGCTCGAGCTTCGACGAGCTTCGAGGAGCACCGTCGGACGTGCAACGAGTTGGAGGCAGTAGAGTGGAATAGTGATGCGCTCGAGAGAGGTGCGGCCGGTGTCGTCGACGCTAGACCTGGCGACGAGGCCGAGGGGTGAGCGACGGAGGCAGGTGCGGGCTGGGCTATGCTGGGATTCGCGGGGCTGGATTGGGCGGGGGGGCGGAGGCTGGCGACGGGTCGGAAACGGGAGTTTTTTTAGAGCTTTGGCCACGGGCGAACGGGCGAGCGAGGCAAAAGGCGGAGGCGGAGGCAGAGGCAGGGCCAGAAAGGCAGCCAGGTGGCTGGGCTACTCTTCTGTAGGCGGGCAGGCAGGCAGGCAGGCAGCGATGATGACCGGTGGGCAGGGCAGAGCAGGCCACAGGCAAGCAGGCAGACAGACCCACGGCGCCTTTGGCCGGTTGGGCCGGGGAGCTGCAAGCGAACCCTGCCTGCCTGCCTGCCTTGCTCGCCTTGCCAGGCCTAGCCTGCCTGCTTGCTGCTGGGCGGCGTGCAGGCCGGCCGGCCCTCCCGCTCTGGCTGGTGCTGTTGGTGCTGGTCCCCTCGAACCCAAGCATCAGCCAGCCAGCAAGCCAGCCATGCTGATCCTCGTCGCTGCCGCCACCACCACTGCCGCCACCACCCTCACCACCACCACCTAGACCCACGACAGAGCGGAGGAGCAGCAGCAACAACCCCCTGTCTGCGTAGCCGGCCCCCCACCTACCTCGAAGCTTCTTTCTTCCCCTCTCACTCACTGCCCCTTCCCACCTCCTTCCCTACCCCGTCGTCTCCCCATCGCACCGTCCCCGAGCTCTCCTAGACGACCTCGGCACGCTCGGTCGGCTCTCCTTCTTCCTCGTCCTCGCCCTCGCGGATCATGCTCCACCCCCTCTCCAGTCGCCCATCACCCTATCTCGCCTTCGCTCCGAGCTCCTGACCCTCCCAAGGAAACCCCTGCCAGCATCAGCGCGACCAACCCAGCGCCTGTCGACACCCTCAGCAAGCACTCCCACAAGCGCCGCCAAAGTGACACTCGGCACCCACAAATACACCGCGACATGACCTCTACCTTGAGCTCGTCCTCTCGCGGCTTCCGTCCGCTCTCGGCCTCATCACCCGCTAGCCGGACCTCGCAGCCGCTCCCAGGTCCGCTGGCCAAGATTGCCGAGGCCGCCCGCCAGAACCAGATCCTGGCGCTGCAGGCGTTTCAGGCAGCCGCAGCTGCCTCTGCGGCATCGTCGTCGTCGTCGTCGTCGCCGCCGGGCTCCCCACCCTTTGCAGCGTCCACGTCGGCCATCTACCCCTCGATCGCCAGCGCCTCCTCCAAGCGCAGCCGCAAGTTCCAGGCGGTCCGGGCTCCTGGCTCGTCGACGACGGCATCCAGCAGCTCCTCGGGCTCCAACTCTCCCACCGGCGGCCGCAGCTCGGCCAAGCTGGTCCCGCTCATCACCACCACGGTGCCCCACTGGGCTCCAGAAGGCTCCCATCCGCTCATCGACCCGGCCTCGGGACGTCGTTCAGAGATTTACTCGCTCACAAACGATCGCTACCCAGGCGCCCCCGGCACCGCCCTCGCCAAGGCCCGCGAAGCACAGCAGAAGGCCATCGCGGCCGCCAAGAAGGAGGCCGCCAAGAAGCTGGCGTCCAAGGCAGAGCTCGAGCATCTCGGCGTCAAGGGCCTCGGCAAGAAGCGCAAGAGCAGCAGCCCCTATGCCAGCATCAACGCTGCCGGCACCTCTGCCGGCACCTCGTCCGCGGCCCACGAACGGGGCGGCGCCGCCATGAGCCGGGAGTCGTCTGCGACCTCCCGCGGCCGGACCACCAGGGCCGCCAACAACGCTGCCAGCTCGTCTGCCGCAGCCACAGAGTTGGCTTCGGGGTCTGCCTCCCGGTCCCGTCGACCGGCGTCTCGCAGCAACTCGCCTGTCCCTCTGACGTCGAACGCAGGCTCGGGCAAGAGGGGCGGCGCACGCAACACTGCCAGCTCGACGGTCGACGAAGGTGCCCACGGCAAGCCGACCTCGCAGGCAGCATCCCGACACTCGCCATCTCGCGGCAACAGCCCGCCAGAAGCGACTCTGAAGCCATCCCACAGCGCCCTCAGCTCCACTGCGCCTTTCCAGAGCAGCCCCCTGGCCGCCGGAAGCCTAACGATGGAGCCGTCTCAAGACGCCGAACCGAGTGCTGCTGCTGACGCCGCCGCCGCTCCCGAAGGCACCGCCAAGAAGGCGTCGACGAGGGCCTCTGTCGAGCCGTCCTCCGGCAACCTGCCAGGGCCCCGCGGAGCCTCTCTCAAGCGCAAGGCCAGCGCGCTCAGCCAAGAAATCTTTGCCGATGGCGAGACGGGCGAGGACGCCGCGACGGCAAAGGCAGTCGCCGAGAGCCTCGACGCTGCCGACGACGTCGATGCGTCCAAGAGGGCGAGGCTCGAACTGGATACCGACAAGGCTGCCGAACGCCCCCAACGCAAGGCGTCGCCGCCCTCGTCGTCGTCGTCGAGCCGCCGCACCTCGCCGCGCACGAAGGACCAGAAGCTGGCTCCGCTGGCCGACGGTGCGGATGCCGCGCTCAACAAGTACGGTGCGCTGGCCGCCGAATCCGCGGATGCGACCAAGTCGAGGCTGTCGGCTCTGGCGCTCGAGCACGCGAATGCCTCGGCCGATCCGGCACAGAGCGGCAACGGCGCCAAGCGGAGCGGTCGCCCGCGCCGGGGCGGAGCCAAGAGCGACGTCGACGCCGAAGAGGTGAGGGACGAGGATCTCGGCGCCGCCTCGACCAAGACGTAGCGTGATCCCACACCGGCCGCCATCTACCGCCATGATCTCGTCTCGCTCCCTGCATATCCCCCCGCCCAGCACTCCCGCTCCTCACTGCACCATCCGCTTCGCCACCAAGATACCTGCTCGCCTCGTCTCGCCTCGTCTGTCCGTCTTCGCCCCACCTCCATAGCGACGATGTCCGGCTCCCAGCTCCCGGCTCCCTGCTGCTCGCCGGGCTGGGATGCTTGCCGTCTCTCTGGCCCCGTCTGCCCCTCTTGTGGGGGGCCTTCCGATCTAGGCTCCGCCGGCCCCCAGCCGCCTTTGGGCCCGCCTCTTCTGCTTTGGTCTGGTCGTAGAGCCTGTGATCTCGTTCTAGCTGGCAGCTTCCCCCTGTCCCCACCTTTGATAGACGCAGCGAATCGTACCGTACCCTGCGAGGAGAAGAGAGGACGAGAGCGGCCGTGTCTACTACCTGCGGGCATCTGCTGTGCAAGCACGCCAATTGGCCTGCCCCGCTCTTCGGGTCGGTCGCTCGGTCGGGTGAGAGCGCGGTCGAGGGCGGGCCTGCGTGCGAGCCAGGGTCCAACCCGGCTGACGCGAGAAAAAGAAAAAAATCAAACGGCGAGGCCAGGGCTGGGCCCTTTTGAACGCCGGGCTGAGGCCGAGGAGAGCAGAAGTGGGCCCGAGCGCACGCTCGGCGCTTCCGGTGCGGTGCCGGCCGGGCCCTGGCCTGGCTGCCTGGCCTGTTGGACGTGGGCGGAGCGCTGCCGGCCGGCGAGAGTGTGGGGAAGCCGCCTGGCTCGACTGTTGACGTGGGGGGAACGCCCGAAGCCTCGCCCTTGTCCTCCTCGCCCCCCGGGCCCCTCCTCAATTCTTCTGCCTTTCCCCCTCGAAGCTCGCACCTCTGAGGTCTCCTTTCCCCCCGACGACAACCATTCTTTTCCTACTCTCAAGTACGAGTCACCTCAGCTCACGCCTGCCTCACCGCTCGAGCGTTGGACATCTCACCTTCTCCAACTCCACAAGCGCCCTGCTCGCCAGCACCTTCCACAGTGCCACAGCCGCCCGCAACTCCGCCACCCTCTCGACGACGCCTGGCCCAACATGGTCTTCGGCACGCTGGCATGCTCCGCCACACCAAGGGGCGCCGCCCTATCCAACATCCCAAGAGCCGCTCGCAATGCACATGCGCAGGGGGCAAGGTGGGCCACCGCACCAGCGCGGCGCACCTTCTCGACGTCCTCTGACGGACGCAGGGCGGGTGGCGTCAACGGCAAGGTGCTCGGCGCCTTCCTGGGTGGTATTGCCGCCGCTGCGCTCATGTCGGACCTGATCAAGGGCACCGTGCACGCCGAGGCTCGCCACCCTCCCGTCGAGGTCACGCCCAAGGCGGCCGGCGACCCATCCCGGAAGATGATTTCGATGGACGAGGTCGAGAAGCACAACGCTCTCCCCGAAAAGGGCGGGCAGGGCCTCTGGGTCGTCATCAAGGGAGAGGTCTATGAGTGAGTCCCAGGCCCTGCCACCGCCGGCCGTCGCATGCGTGGAACGCTCCACAGCTGACGGAGCCCATCCGGCCAACTGCCTCTTGCTCTTGGCCCCGCCAGCGTGACCAACTTTGTCGACAACCACCCTGGTGGACGGAACATCATTCTGAAGAACGCAGGCAAGGACGTGACGTGAGTGTGGCTGTGGCTGCTCCAAAGTCGTAGCGAGGTCGAGCGCCCGTTCGACAGAGCTCTGGAGACTCACCCTCAACCTCCATCCCTGTCGCCGCCTCAGTGATCTCTACGAGCCCGTGCACCCGCCGAATGCGCTCGAGGAGAACCTCGATCCTTCGGCGCACCTCGGCATCGTCGACCCGGCCACGGTCAGGGTGAAGCAGCCCGGCGAGGAGTCAGAAAAGGACCGCAAGCGGAGAGAGGCGAGGGAGAACCTGCCCCCGATCGGGACGCTGCTCAACCTCGACGACTTTGAGGTGAGTGCCCGGCAATGTTCATGACGCCGGCCTGCTGCTGCAGCAGCTGACTCTTGCCGCCTTCGGTGATGTCGATTGCAACCACCTCAGAAAGTGGCAAGGTCGATTCTGAGCGACCAGGCGTGGGCGTACTACTCTTCTGCTGGCGACGACGAGATCAGTGAGTTGCCTTTAACGAACGGCGGACGTCTTCCCCTTGGCCTGGCACGACGACTGATCTCCCGTTGCCTCGCTTTGGCCTCGCCTCGCAGCCATGGCACAGAACCGGGCGGCCTTCAATCGCGTCTGGTTCCGTCCGAGGATCCTGCGCAAGATCGGCAGTGTCGACTCGTCGGCCACGCTGATCAAGACGAGCGACAGCGCTGGCTTCTCGTCGTCTCTTCCCGTCTACATCTCGCCGGCGGCCATGGCCAAGCTGGGCCACCCGGACGGCGAGCTGAACCTGACGCGGGGCGCGGGCAAGGCGGGCATCATCCAGGGCATCTCTGCCAACGCCTCGGTCGGCCTCGACGAGATGCTCGACGCGCGCCGCGAGGGGCAGCCGACCATCTACCAGCTCTACGTCAACAAGGACCGCTCGGCCTCGGAGCGCATCCTGAAAAAGGTCGAGTCCAAGGGCTGCAATGCCGTCTTCCTCACCGTCGACGCGCCGGTCATGGGCAAGCGCGAGCGCGACATGCGGACAAAGGAGGAGGAGGTCGAGATGGGCATGGACCACGGCAAGGACGTCAAGGCTGCAGGTGGCGGCGTGGCCCAGGCCATCTCTGGCTACATTGAGCCCGATCTGGTGAGTGCCGATGCGGTTCAGATGGGCGGCCGGGCGATCTTGGTGGCGACCGGCGCTGACATGCGAGCACCTCCCGTACGCCCTCACAGTCGTGGGAAGACATCGCTTGGTACCGCAAGGTGTGCAAGCTGCCGCTCTACCTCAAGGGCATCCAGACGGTCGAGGATGTCGAGCTGGCGGTCAAGCACGGCGTCGATGGCGTCGTGCTGTCCAACCACGGCGGCCGTTCGCTCGACTTTTCGCCGCCGGCCATCGACGTCCTGATTGAGCTGCGGCAGCGTCGGCCGGACCTGTTTGACAAGATCGAGGTGTTCATGGACGGCGGCGTCCGACGGGGCACCGACGTGCTCAAGGCAGTGGCGCTCGGTGAGTCGCCGGGCTGATACCGAGTGGATCGCCACTTGCGGTGGCAGACGAAAGGCTGACCGAGGACATTCCACCCTCTGCTATTGTCGACGCTGCCGCTACTCAGGCGCCAAGGCTGTCGGCCTGGGTCGGCCCTTCCTGGTGAGGAGCGACAGACGCTTGCCCGAGCCACTCTCGCCGATGTGAATACTGACTCCTCCCTCCCTCTTTCCCTCTTGCCTTGTCGGGCCAGTATGCGCAAAGCGGCTTTGGCGAGGCGGGCGTGACGCGCGCCATCCAGATCCTCGAGGATGAGATCCACCGCGGCATGCGCCTGCTGGGCGTCACGTCGCTCGACCAGCTGACGCCCGAGATGGTCGACATCCTGCCGCGCACCTACATCCCCGTGCAGCCCAAGTCCAACGAGCGCGAGGAGCAGTGAATTATCGCTGGGCCGGCACCCTCGCTCTGTAGCCATGCCGTGCACTCTGACGGTTCTGCAATGTCATTGATAGAGAGATCCGAGTCTCGATCAGCTTGCGTCGTGGGAGAGCGAGGAGAAGAAGAAGAGGGTGGTGGTAGTTGCAAGGGCTGCCCGGGTCTTGCCGGACCGCGGCGGAAACGCGCCGTGACGTGCGTCGAAGGATGCAGGGTGCGATCACCCTCCACAAGGGAAGAGGACCCTGGTCTCGCTGTCTGACATGCTGCTGATGAACTATGTTGGCCGCAGGGGGCTCCCTCGTCTGCTCACTGAACCGAGCCCTCTCCGCACCACCACCACCACCACCATCCTCGACATCGATACGGGCTTGCTTCAGCCGATCAACACGAAAAGAAACAGCCAGGATGGATACCGTCGTGGTGAGTCGCGACGCGGCAGAGGGCGGGTTCCGACCGGCAAGGTGTGCTGACCGTCGTCGCTCTGCTGTGACCACCGTCAGGCGGGAGCCCTTGCGGCCTTTTCGGTCGACCTGCTCATCTACCCGCTCGACACGCTCAAGACCCGCCTCCAGGCCCCGGACTATGCGACACGCTTCCCCGCCGGCCGCGGGCTCTACTCGGGCCTCTACCAGGGCGTCGGGAGCGTCATTGTGGCCACGCTGCCAGCGGGTGAGCAGGCGACCTTGTTGCTGTCGAGCGGCTGCAGTCTCCGGTGGCTGACCACCCTTCGCTGTGCGCCTGGCCCACGATCGACCAGCCGGCATCTTTTTCACGACCTACGAACACTCCAAGAGCGCTCTGGCGGGCCCGTCGTCGCCCCTGCACAATGCACCGGCCGGGTTGTCGCACCTGCTGGCGAGCTCGACGGCCGAGCTGGTCTCGTGCCTCGTCCTCACACCCGCCGAGGTCATCAAGCAGCGTGCGCAGGTGACCAACCGGCAGAACAAGGCGGCTGCGGCAACATCCTCGTCTTCTTCGTCATCCAAGGGGTGCCCAGCGACGACGGCAGCAGAGGCGGTCAAGGAGACGGTCCAGAGGGCGCCCAGCGATGCGTCCAAGGCCGAGGTAGCCAAGGAAGCGGCCAAAAACGCGGCCGACAAGGTGACAAAACGGGCGCCTCCCGGCAGCGCAGCGGCGACGGCGAGGCAGGTGGCCGAAGACGTGCGGAGCGGCGTGGACAAACTGGGTTCCTCGTCGGCCTCGGCGGCGAGGACGGGCGGCGGCGGGGCGTCGGCGGCCGTGTTGCGGCCAATGGCCAGCACGTTTGCCCGATCGTACATGGCGCTGGCGGGGAGGAACCTGCCGTTTACGGCGCTCCAGTTCCCGCTCTACGAGTCGATCCGGCAGCGGCTGTCGGAGCACGTGGGGCTGGCGGCGGGGACGCACGCGAGCGACGGCGAGGTCGACGACGTGCGCGAGTCGGAGTCGTTCCAGGCCAAGGCGCGGCGCGAGGGTGCGCGGGTCGAGGTCGAGTTCATCAAGGCGGGCCTGGTGAGCGCCGGGAGCGCGGCGGTTGCCGGATCGACGGCGGCGCTGGTGACGACGCCCATTGACGTGGCCAAGACGCGGATCATGCTATCGACGAGCGGCGGGGAAGCGGGCGGCGTGGTCGAGACGATGCGCGGTATCGCCGCCAAGGAAGGGTGGCGTGCCCTGTTCCGAGGGGGTGCGCTGCGGAGCGCGTGGACAGCGCTGGGCGCCGCCATCTACCTTGGCAGCTACGAGTCCGGCAGGCTCTGGTGGCGAGACCGCCAGGCGCGCAAGCAGGAATAATAAGGATAGGCAGGCCAGGCTGGGCAAGCCGAGGCTAGGCGAGGGAGATCCGGCGTTGGCGTTTCGGGATCGCTCGCCTTTGATCGTCTACGGGGGCAAAGGAGAGGGCTGCGACTGCTGCGGACGCCAAGGCCCGAGGCCAAGGCCTGGCGCCAAGAGAGGCAGCCGCGTGGCGTCGAAGATTTTCGACAGAGGTAGGGCTGCCAGCCCTCGCCCCTTGTGCTGCGGCTTTCACGAAGATGACAATCGATCTGTAGCTGCTGCTTTGCCCTTGTGCGATGCGACGGGCGCGATGCCCTACAACGTAACCTGCCTTGTGCCTTGATGTCGGCGTCGAGGAGTGTCCTAGGGTCGAGGCTGGCGGCGTCGGCGTCGTGGTTGTCCCAGGGCGGACTGTCGGGGCTTGGGTCACCGTGGTGCGCCGAATGCCGAGGCCAGGCCAGGCCGGGCGGGCTCTGCGGGATGGGCTCCGGTGCGGCTTGCCTCAGCCTCCAAGCCTCGCCGAGGCGGAGAGGCGGGGAAGGCCAGAGAGAGGCAGCCAGGAGAAAGTCTAAAATTCCAATTGCGGGCGGGCGGGCAAGCAGGTGAGTTAGGCGGGGCACGGCAGGCATGGCCAGGCATGGCTTGACCAACCGGTCGCGCTTTCCGGCGAGGGCCATCGAAAAAGGTGAAGTCATCGACGGCCGCGCATGGCATCCACCGCGTCGATACCAAATGCCAGGCCAGGCCAGGCCAGGCCAGGCCATGCTGCTGACACGATAGCATGCTCCTGGCACACGACGGCGCCTACGCTACGGGCCCACGCAACCAGTCGTCGGTGGCTTGCAAGCGCAGGTAGAGAAGCGGCAACCACCTGCCCGGATCGAGGCAGCTAGGCAGGCCCTCGGTCGGTCAGTCGGCTGGCTCGGATGCCAAGCAATCCGCTCCGCCAGCCTGCGTTGCGGGCTTGCGGCACCGCGCTACGCTGACTTCCCGCAAGGCCGCTTCCTTTGTCCCCCACCTTCCCCTCGATACCCCATCCCTCCGTGCCCTTCCCTTCCCTGCCATCTTGCCTCGTCTGCTTCTTTGCGGCTGCCTGCCCGGCTTCTAGACTGCCAAAAGGGCTGCCAGGCTGTCTGCTCCAGGTCACTCCACCACCACCACCACCACGGCCGCCCACCATGGCCTTCTCGCTGGTCATCGACGACCTCTCGCTGGCGCTGCTTCTCGGCATCGTCGTGGCGCTCTCGGCATCCATCTACACTGCCCGCGCCTACCAGCCCCTCATCCACCCGCTCATCCTCTCGCGCCAGGCCGACGTCTCCAAGGTCAGGCAGACCAACGAATCCGCAATCTACCGCAACGCCAACTCGCCCTCCGGATTCGACCTCGCCGAAAAGCCCAGAAAAGAAGCTACCAGCATCGCCGCCCTCGTCGCTGCAGGTGCAAAGGGCACCGAAGCACAGCACTCTCGCCAGATCTACGACCGGCAGGCCACCAATGCGCACATCGCCCGAGACAGCGCAGCCTTTGCCGCTGGCCTCGTCAAGCTCTCGTCGGCACCCGCCTCCCAGATCTGCGCAGCCATCACCGTCGAGATGGACAGCTACGAGAGCCTCGTAGCCCTCCTCGCCGGAGCCCACTCCGCCTCCTCCTCGCCCTTCCACACGCTGGTCCTGGCGCCCTCGTCAATCTCGGACAAGCCACCGTCGTCGGTCCCCCCCAAGGTCGCGTCAGCCGGTGCTCGCGCCATCTCGGCCATCTTCACCACCCCCACTGCGCTCCGCGACGTCCTGTCCCTCGGCCCGCTAGACCCGTCTGCTCTCGTCATCCTGCCCACCCAGCAGGACGTGGCGCAGGCCAGCAATGACGGCGGCTCCCACCGTCTGCGCTTCGTCTCGTTCCAAGACGTCCTCGATGCCGGCTCCGCTGGCAGCGACGGCGGTGACAAGGCTGGCTCTGCCGACCTCGCAGCGATTCACTCCCACTACTGGCGTGGCAAGCAGGGCTGGACCGCCGTCTCGCACGGCAGCCTCATCTCGGGCGTCACCACCCACCTCTCGTTCTACCCCGCCGACAAGATCCCATCGACGTCCGACCGGATCTATGTCGAGGCTTCGGCGTCCAAGACGTCGCTGACGCCCCCGATGATGGCGACTGTGACGCCGTCCGGACTGGCTATCGCCCTGCTGGCTCTCTACACCGGTGCGGGCCTGGCCGCGTCCACCCTGACAAACAGCTGGGAAGACGCCAACCCGGCCGTCACCAAGAAGCTGTTCGACTTTGCGCCCACGCTCATCTACGCCACGGCCGAGGGCGCGTCGTCGCTGGCGTGCGCCCTCACCACCGTCAGCCGGCGCGCCTCGCTGTCCGGTCTGGCCACCAGGAGCAGGCTCTACACGCTCCGCAACGGCACCTACGGCAGGCACGGCCTGTTCGACGCGCTCGTCTACCGTAGGAGCCGCGAGGCCACCGGCTGCCTCTACGTACGCAACGTCGTCATCGTCGGCCAAGGCTCCTCCGTGCTGCAGGGCCTCCTCGACTCGCTGCGCATCCACCTCGGTTGCGCCGTACAGAACACCTACCTGCCGTCTTCGCTCTCGTCGACTGCCGACGTGGCCAACGCGGATGAGGACGCCTACTGTGCCACTGCCCCGATCAGCGCCACCCACAGCTTCGACCTCCAGGCGTTTGCGGACAAGGACGACGAGGGCAACCAGCTGCCGGCCCACGTCGGTCCTCCGGCCGTCTCGGTCGAGATCAAGGTGGTGCAGACGCCGAGGGCATCGACACTGGGCCTGACGATCGATGGCAACAAGCCCGAGGGCTTCCAGGACGACCCCATGGGCGAGGTCTACGTCCGCGGCAAGACGCTCACCGGCAGCGTCGACGGAGCGCAACAGTGGCTCAAGACGGGCGACCTGGCCGGCTTCCGCGCCAATGGCACCCTGGTCGTCTTCCAGGATGCCGCCGAGTCGGCCCCCGTCGGCGTGCCGACGCTGAGCTCGCGTCACCCCGTGTCTCGCCGACGCCGCTCCAGGGCGCTGTTCGGGCCGAGCAAGGGATTGACGGCCGCCGCCGTCTCGCTGCTCGCCATGGTTGGCCTGCTCGGGCTGAGCGCGCCGCTGGTCCAGGCAGCCGACAGCAACAGCACGCTGGTCGAGGTGGCGCGGACGGGCATGCTGGCCGGCCAGCGCGCTAGCTGGGAGCAGGGGACGGGGCAGTCGGCCTTGCTCGAGCTCGACTATCCTGCATGGTCCGTCTTCACGTCCAAGTCGGGCGGTCCTCCTTACAAGCCGAGCAACGTGCGGTCGGACGCCGGCAACCTGCCCTACTCGGTGCTGAGCATGGCGTACCACTCTGCGGCGCGCCAGGACCGGCTCGGGCGGCTCGCCTTCCGGATCAGCGGCGACGAGAACATCACCGCAGGCAGCGCCCTCGATGGCACCAGCGCCGGCGAGCACGTGCTGCTGGCCGCCTGGATCGATGGCGAGCTGGACCGCACGACGGGCGAGCTGGGCTCGGGCATGTACGCCGACGCCGCGCGGAGGGCGCTCAACTACATTCTCGAGGACGTGCCGCGATCCCAGACGGGCGCCATCAGCCACCGCGCCACGTACGCGTCGCTGTGGAGCGACGCCGTCTACATGGGCCCGCCTTTCATCGCCTACTACGGTTTGATGACGCGCAACGACAGCCTGCTGCAGCTGGCATACGACCAGGTGCGCCTGTACCGCGACGGGCTGCGGTACACCGAGGGCAACGGCGCCAACCTGTGGGGCCACATCCGGTTCGCCGACAACGCCACCTGGACCGACGCCGGCACCTGGGTGACGGGCAACGGGTGGGTGACGGCGGGCATGCTGCGGGTGCTTGCGACGATTGAGCAGAGCGCGGCGTCGAACCGCATGACGAGCCAGAAGACGGACCTGGTCAACTGGATCGGCGAGGTCCTCGACGCCGCCTACCCGTTCCTCGACGAGCAGTCGCTGCTGTTTCACAACTACCTCAACCAAACCGACAGCTTTCTCGACTCGGCGGGCACGGCGCTGATGGTCTACTCGACCTTCCGGCTGGCGTCGGTGACGGGGCGCGACCGGCACGTTGACGTGGCCGAGCGCATCTACGGCCGGCTGCAGACGGCGCTGTCGCGCGAGGGCATCTTCCGGTCGGGCTTCCCGACCGTCGACGTGCTCGGCTTTACGCACCAGGGCGACACGAGCTCCGAGAGCCTGTCGTTCATGATGCTCATGGACGCGGCGCGGCGAGACTACCGGGCCGGCGGCATCGCGCGCGTGACGGGCACCGACGTGGCCGACTCGAACGGTGCCTTGGGCGGTGGCCTGTTGCCTGCTGCGTCGGCCCGCACCGCTGCGGTGGCGCTGGCGGCCGGCGTGGTGGCCGTGGTGCTGGTCGGGCTCTGACGAGGGCCTCGCCTGCGTATCAAGAGCAGGCCGATGCGCCCCATTCCCGTCTTATCGTGCTCCCCCACCTTGCCGCTCCTGTAGACGCTGCTGAGCGAGCCTGGGGGCGATGCTACATCGCTGCTTTGAATAGACTCCGTTGTCAATCGCATCGCATGGCATCGCATGGCATCGCAGCCAGCCAGTGCGCCGATCAGCACCGCCAACGGCCGCAGCGAGAGGTGGAGTGCGAGAGCGTGGTGCTGACGCAGACGCTCCCGGGGCTGCGGTAGGCTCTTGCGCCGCCATGCGCCCAGCGGCCGAGGCTGTGGTCGTGGCTGTGATGTGGCGGTTGCGGCTGCGGCTGCGGCTACGGCGAGGCTCGGTGGGTGGGTCGGGTCGGGCAGTCGTTATCTACCACCCACTCGCCCCCACCTCGGCAGGAAATGAGATCCGAAGACTGAGCTCTGCTGAGTCGATTCGAGATGGCTCGATGGCGAGGCCGGGTGGTGGTACCGTACCACCGCCGTAGTCATCAGGGCCGCGCAGGGATCGAGGGCAACGACGAGCGAGGGAAGCTTAGGAGCGAGCTTGAGCCAGAGGCTACGGCTAAGGCCGGCTAAGGAGCCGTGCCACACCGCCCCCCGCTGGCCTAGAGGCAGGCTAGGCCGAGTAGCCGCGTGGACCCCTGCCTGCCTGCTGAGCTGCTGCTTGGGTTGCGTACTGTAGCCGATGTCCTACCTGGCCGGCTAAGCGGGGCAGGGTGGGACCCCTCGGTCTGTGAGCGACCTCAAGCGCAAGCTCGCTCGCTGCCTTGCCACGCGCACAAGGGCATCGCCTCGGCTTGGGCCCTCGATGCCGGCAACCTTAACCGTCGTTTGCCTTTGCACCCTCGCCCGCTCCTCTGCACCACCATCCTCGTCGCGCCCCACCCCGTCACCATACCCGTTCCGTCCGATTCTCTGTCGGGCATGACGCCCAACCCCCGTCAGACCTCGATCCGTGCCGCCTGCCTGATGCCAGGACCCACCATCCAACATGCCTCTATCCCTCTTTCGCTCGGCTGGCACTGAGCCGTATCCCTCGTCAGCCCCGCCCTCGCCAGCCAGCCTCGGCGCCATGCTCGCAATCGACATGGGCCACGGCACCGCTGGGTACATAACCTCGACCCCCTCGTCTAGCAACTTGTCGCCGCCACGCCACCACCACCGTCACCGCCATCACCACGACCATCGCATCAGCCCCTTGACCGACGCTGCCACCCTACCAGCCTCCTCCTCCTCCTCCTGAGCAGACGACAAGCGCACACCCGAGCATCACCGCGCCTCCTCCTCATCCAGCCGCATCGACACGATGGCGCCCATCTCGACCCAGACTATCATCACCCCGGAAAGCGTCCTCGGCCAGCCCGCCTCGGCAGCCAACCCGTCCTACCTCAAGGGCGACGCCCGCGACAACCTCAACGCCTTCCGTGAGCATTAGACGTGGCGGGCCACCCGGCCCTCCTCTCCTCTGCGCAATCTCACGCCGGGCCGTTTTGCAATGTGACTGACCCCCACCCTACACCAACCCCTTCTTTGACCTCGCAGACCACGTCGAGTGGTACGTCGGCAACGCCAAGCAGGCCGCCTCGTACTTTGTCACCCGCTTCGGCTTTGAGCGCGTCGCCTACCGCGGCCTCGAGACGGGCTGCCGCACCCGCGCCTCACACGTCGTCCGCCAGGGCGACATCTTCTTTGTCCTCACCTCGCCCATCAACGGTCCGGGCGCCTACCAGACCGACGTCGCCTCCGAGGTCCAGGAGCTCGACGAGATGCACCAGCACCTCACGGCCCACGGCGACGCCGTCAAGGACGTCGCCTTCACCGTCGACGACGCCAGGGGCATCTACGACGCCGCCATCAAGAACGGCGGCAGGCCCTACCGCGAGCCCTACGAGGTCGAGGACGCCGACGGCAAGGTCATCTGCGCCGCCATCAAGACCTATGGCGACACTGTGAGTTGGCCGGCTCGAGCTGTCCCAATGGTTCCGGACCTGGTCCTCCTTTGAGCTGTCTGCTGATCCGCGACGTATCCGCCCGCCATGCGCGCCCTGCTTGCGTCCGTCCCACCCAGATCCACACCTTCATCCAGCGCGACGGCTACCGCGGCGCGTTCCTGCCCGGCTTCAAGGCCATTTCGGAGCGGGACCCGATCAACGCGCTGCTGCCCGACGTCCGGCTGGGCTTCCTGGACCACTGCGTGGGCAACCAGGACTGGGACGAGATGGAGGAGGCGTGCGACTACTATGAGCGCGCGCTGGGCTTCCACCGGTTCTGGTCGGTCGACGACAAGGACATTTCGACCGAGTTCTCGGCGCTCAAGTCGATTGTCATGGCATCGGCCAACGAGCGCGTCAAGATGCCCATCAACGAGCCCGCGGTGGGCAAGAAGAAGAGCCAGATTGAGGAGTACGTGCAGTACTTTGGCGGCGCCGGCGTGCAGCACATTGCGCTGCGCACCGACAACATCATCCAGGCCGTCTCGTCGCTGCAGGCGCGCGGCATCGAGTTTATCAAGGTGCCCGACACCTACTACACGGCCATCAAGAAGCGGCTGGCGGCGACGGGCCTCAAGCTCAAGGAGGACTTTGAGACGATCCAGCGCCTCAACATCCTGATTGACTTTGACGAGGGCGGCTACCTGCTGCAGCTCTTTACCAAGAACCTCCTCGACCGCCCCACGGTCTTTATCGAGATTATCCAGAGGCACAACTTTGAAGGCTTTGGCGCCGGCAACTTCAAGAGCCTCTTTGAGGCCATCGAGAGGGACCAGGCCGAGCGCGGCAACCTCTGAGTCGGCTTCGCGTCGCCGTCTTGCCGATCTCGATGCGTATCCAGCCTTTTTGTTGTCGTCGTCATCGTCATCGTTCTCCTCTTCGCCGACCGCCGACCCGACCCGCCTCGGCGTGGACGGTCGCTGTACTTGTAGCCACCATGTTTGTCGTTTTCGCATAGCATCCTAGCATTGTCGTGGGTCCTCTTCCATCCTCATCCTCTGAAAGCAGAAGTCGGCGACAGTCTGTCGGACTCCGCCGGGGCTTGCTCATTTGTCCTTTGCTGTGCCGCCCGGCCGGATCTGCATCGGGCGTGCTCGCCGCCGCCCCGATTAGCAGGCGGGCTCTGGCTGCGGCGTGACGACAGAGGGACTTGTATACGCCGCGTGGAGGCCTGCCTGGCCCGCACTTGACACTCTCGCACTCTGGCACACACGCGCGGCTTGCTTGGGAGGTTGCGAGATCCGGGCTTCGACGCACGGCGCCCCTCCGACGATCCCGACCACGATCCCGAGTCGTCATGCCCCGCGTCCCTGCCAACCGGCGGGCCCGGCTCCATCCCTCTGGCCTCTCCTAAGAAGACTCTGTCCGATCCTGCGTGGGCATCGAGGGTGCACGACTGCACGCCGCCGCGTGGTCTCGCACGACCAGCGTGTGCTGTGCCTGATCCAGAACGCTCCTCTGCGCCAACTTGCGACGCGGAGCCACGTTGTCGTCCTCGACCCTTCTGAGCGGCCACCATCATCTCCTTCCGGCCTCGTCTTTTGACGGTGCTCATCTCCTTCGACCTCTTACCACTGCGGACCGCCGCCGCCGACAGCGTCGACAAGAGCAACCGACAGCCATGGGCCTGCCGCCTTACTCGGGTCCGTTCCAGGTGGGCGTCATCGATCTCGAGATCCCCGTCCGCCAGCCACGCAGCTTTTGCGACAACGTCGTCAAGCCCGACGAGCTCAACCGTCCCACTCGCAGGGCAAAGAGGGAGGCAAAGCGAGCCCAGGACCAGGCTACGAAGGCCAAAGGCGCAGACCCCACCGCCGCACACCAGCATAGCACGTCGCAGGGCTCGTCGCCGGCCCAGAGCTCGGGTCACAACGCGGCAGCGACAGAAGAGAACATCGGCCTCGACGAGGGGGACGGAGAGGGTGGTGTGCCCACCTGGTCTCCCTTTACGTCGGGTTCCAAGACGTCAACGCTGCACCTCGAGACTGTCCTGTTCGCCGTCTACTACCCGTGCAAGCCCCTCGCAAAGGCCGAGGCGAGGCGATATACCCAGGTGGCCTGGCTCGGTCGTCCCAAGCACACGGGCGTCGGCGCCCTCTTCAAGTACCTTGGCCAGTACGGGCCCTTTGCCATCCCCGCCTCGCCCGCCGTCTTTACGCTGCTGCGAGCCAAGATGCCCGCCCTCGCCGGCCCACCGCTCGCCGACCCGGACAAGCTGCGCAAGCGCGCCAAGCCTTCGAGCAGCCAGCAGCAGCAGGACCAGCAGCAGGGACGACAGGGGCAGCGGCAAAAGGGCGACCGCGCGACGGCGGGCAACTTTGGCCAGCTGCCGCCCCAACTGCCCGTCGTCATCTTCAGTCACGGCCTCGCGGGCAACCGGCTGAGCTACTCGCAGTTCTGCGGCGAGCTGGCGAGCTACGGACTCGTCGTCGTCGCCCTCGAGCACCGCGACGGATCGGGCGTCAGCAGCATCGTCCGCGGCGAAGAGGCGCCGTCCAAGTCGCAGCGCACCGATAGCCTCGGCGGCGGCGGCGGCGGCGACGAAAAGGGCAAGGCCAGGCCGTCTCACCCAAAGGCGCAGGTTCCCTACTTCAGCTTCGAAAAGATCGGGCTCAACTCGTTCTCGGACAGCCCGACGGACGACGAGGTCAACCTCCGCCGCGACCAGATCGAGATGCGCCACGCCGAGATCGAAGAGTGCCTCTACGTCCTCGACCAGATCAACCAGGGCCACGGCCCCGAGATTGTCCGCCGCTCGACGCGCAAGCTCTGCACCAAGCTGGCGGGCCGAGGCGTCGACGGGACGAGCGAACAGCTGCCGTCGGACTCGATTCTCAAGCAGGCCGAACCGCTCTCGGACTGGAAGGGTAAGCTGGACCTGCAGCTCCCGACGCTGTGCGGGCACAGCTTTGGCGGCGCCACTGTGCTCGAGATGATGAGGTGCGAGGACAAGTGCAGGCCCTTTCCGCTCGCCATCGTCCTCGACCCCTGGGTGGCCCCCGTCAGGGATCCGGACGAGGACCACGAGGCCAGGGGCAAGATGAAGAAGCCCGTCTACGTGCTCAACTCGGAGAGCTTCACAATGTGAGTGCGCTGCGCGCGCGGCCGGGGGGGCCGACGGGTTGCTCCTCAGTGACGCTGCACGCTTGATCGAGTTCTCCGTTGCCTGACCGCCTCCCGAATCTTGCCCGCTCTCGTCTGCACGACGACAGATGGGAAGACCACTTTGCCAAGCTCAAACGCATCTGCCTCGACGGCCGGCGGGCCAATGCCAACGCACGCGGCTGGCTCATGACGCTGTGCGGCTCCAAGCACACCGACTTTTCCGACTACCCGTTCCTCCTCCCGCGCGTATTTCGCTCGACGGTGGGCCCGCGCAAGACGATCGAGGTGTTTGTCAAGGCCACCTACGTCCAGATGGGGCTGATGCGACAGCGGCTGCGGGAAGAAGAGGACAGGCCGGGCGTCAAGGTGTACGGGGATGAAGCGATGCGGGATGAGAGCGGCAGCGTCGACGGCGGTGAACAGGAGGCAGGAGGAGTGGAGGCGATGCAGAACGGAGGCAGAGAGCAGCAACATGCCGAGTCGAGCGGCAGGGCGCTGGGATACGGTGGCAACCCGCCGCAGGCCGACGAGCAGCCTGCGGATCCGGCTTCGCCACGACCGATAGCACAGCATTCCGACGACGCCAGCCCGGCCCGCAGCGCCGCATCCGATGCCGACGAGCGACGGACGGCCAAGGAGCGCGGCTTCATCACCGACGGAAGGATGGTGCAGCTCATCGACGCCGACCGCGATGCTGAGGAGGTCCACGCCCAGCTCGAGCGCATCACGGCCGAGTGGAACTACGAGCGCGCGCGGCCAAAGTCGCTCATGTCGCTCTTTATGCTCTACTACGGCTTCCAGCCGGGCCTCGAGAAGCCGGGACGCGTCCTCATCCACCAGGTCTAGGTAGCCACCAGCCCACCATCCGTCATACCCCGCGCACACGCACGCTGGGCCTGGCCTTGACTTCGACATACGTCGGCATGTAGGGATGGCGTTTGGACGATTGCTTGTGGGCTCGCTCGACAAGGTAGAGTACAGCGGATTCTCGCTACAGAGATCGGCGAGGACGGTGAGGCATTGCAAGTGGGGCCGGCGGTGGTTGGCAAAACGAACGACGAGGACGGGTATGATGGCGGACGGTAGGCATATGAGTGGGAACGATCGGTGACTGTATGGGGGAAAGAGGGGGCCTGAAGGATGGGGCGAGAGGAACGAGGGGCACGGGAAGGGCATCCGCTAGAGTAGGTCGAAGAAGTGGACTGCGACGGGTTGCGGCCCGGCGGCGTTCTGCCAAGCTTTGGGTGGGACGGCGGAGCCGACAAAGTCGCGGGCTTCGCCGGCAAAGAGCTCCAGGGCTCTTCGCGGGCCCGGCTCGCTGGCCTGCTCGACGTGCACGGCGGCCGGCGTGGCGGTGGGGATGCGCTTGACGTCCTCGAGGCGCTTGAGCGTCTCCTCGGTCATGGGCAGCGGCGTGCGACGGTCCGGTGGCGTTGGGAACGAGCAGGTGAGGCCGAGAAAGTGGGGCGTGATGGGTGTCGGCGGCAGCGACGAAGACTCGATGCGCGCCTCTAAGTCGTCATCGCCGTCGTTTTTGCGGACGCTGTCATCGCGCTGCCCTTCGGGGATGATGATGAGCGAAGGCTGCAACGAGGCGGGAAAGGCGTCGACCAGCTCGCCAAACGTCGAGATGCCGCAGCTCGACGACGCCGAGTCCGACGACGAGTCCATGTAGAGCGATGGGCACTCGGACCGGTCCGTTTCCGAGGAGCCGTGGCGCGCCCTCGTCGCGGATGCCGCCGCGGCTGCTGCTGCGGCGGCGGCTTGGAGGCGATGGGTGCCGGGTACCAGCTCGAACACAGTCGGCGCTGCACCCGCCTGCGGACCGAAGGGGTTGGTAAACTCGGGCGACGCGGAGAGGCTCGACGAGGCGCTCGTCGCCGTATTCGAGGTGCGCGAGATGATGACGATGTCGTCGGGGATGTGCTTTGCCCGTCGCGAGGCGAACGAGCGGCCGCTGCTGGAGGACGGCGTCATTGTTGCCGTCGACGACGAGATTGAGGGCGTCCTCGACGCTGACGAAGATGATGACGGCGAGGGCGGGTACGAGGGGAGCGAGGGATGGCCAAAGAACGCGGAGCTCAGGCTCGAGGTACTGGCGAGGTGGCGGAGCGACGAGGAAGAGGGAGCGGGCGGTGCTGATGATGCTGATGCGTCTTGGAGCGATGGCTTTCTCCTCAGCCGACGAAAGGACCGAGATGCAAACGACGAGAACGAGGCGCCAGAGGACGAGGCGATGCTGTGCGACGACGACGAGGTGGCGCAGCGATCGAGGGCGAGGTCCTTCTTCTTATGCCCCGCCGCCTGCGACGGGGTGCTGGTGCGGGTCCAGGTCGATGGGAGGACAATGTGGCTGACCGACGCCGAGCGCTTCTGGTGGGCCGCTGCTGACGGCACTTGGTCCATCTGCCTTAGCTCGGCCAGGATCTCGGATGTCTTGCGGTAGTGGGGCATCGTCGGGGGAGAAGGGCCTGGAATGTCACCTGGCGTGGGATCTGTTTTCCTTGGGTCAGGCGTTGCCTGATGACGGCGCTACGCGTGCTAAATGGTGGGTGGGACCGCCGCCACAGGTACCAGGGCAGGATGAGCGTCGTGTGCCTTGTGTTGACCGGGAGGACCAATGTGGCACGAGGGACGAGGGATGTTGATACGAAAGGGGGAGGGGGATGGTGAATGAAGTCGCGAGACGATGATGGTCTCGTTTTTGTAGCTAGCCGCCCCAACGATGCTCAGGGCCGGACAACGGCGATGAGGTCGCTGCCTCTTGGAGGCTCTGCTCAACGGAGACGCATCGCTGGTGGACGCTGCGAGGATGACACCTCGACCTGCGGCTACGGCATCCCGTCCTCGTCAACGGCATGCGGGCGATGTCGCAGACAAATTGTGCATGCGACCCACGCACCCATGAGCAGCATGCACGCTTCTGCCACGCCCGGACCTGCCTGCTGGCCTCTCGAACGTCGAGGATCGGTGCAGATGCCGTCGAGGCCCTCGAGCCTTGCGGTGATTCTGCTGCCGAACCGCCCTGGACTGCCTCGACGACGACGACGCATCGAAGAGGGGGAGGCCGGCGCGGTCAACAAAAGCGTGCGGGCGTCAAGAATGAACAAGGACGTACATACGTCTGCTGCGCTCACGTTGGGCGCCCAGGTGCAGGCTGGCAGCAGGGCCTGCATGGGAATCCCGGAACGAGGACCGAGCAAGGCCAGGCCAGACGGCGGGCGGATACCGTACCTACAGGCGGCCCGCGAAGAAGGCTGAGATAGAGGCAGTCAGAAGGCAGGCAAGGAAATCTCTCTCTGGCTGGGCATCTCTCTCTCTCTCTCTCTCTCTCTTCTCTCTCTTGGGTCGTCGTTTGCCGACCGACGGGGCGGCCAAAGAACTGAAGTTGAGGTGTCGGGCAAGTCGGCTGGCTAAGCGAGGGCGCCGAGACCGGACCAACTCGGCGTCGCCGACACACAGGCCGCCCCAGCACAACATACAGAGGGGCTTCGCCTCTTTCCATCTTTAGACCAAGAGCAAGCGCAAGAACCTGTCTCAGCTTCATCTAGACTGCCGGCTTGCCCTCCAAGAAGAACACACCTTCTTGGGCTCCCACCATCGCAATCGGAAAGAGGTGCGCCGGTACATAGCTCGAACTAGAACTGCCCCGACTTCGAGCTGACGAGGCCCGCATCGTTGTCGTCGTCGTCGTCGTCCCCCACGCCATCATCGTGGGGCGTGGAGCGGCCCGAGCATCATCACGGCAGGCACCGTCCTCGGCGTGACAGCGCTCGGCCCACTGCTGCCGGCTGCCTTGCTGACGCGTCAGCGCAACGATCATCGCAGGCAAAGGCCCACGACGATACGCTCGAGAGGCCCGCCCGTCCTACAGCTATGGTAGCGTCCACGAACGGCTGCGGCGAGGTTTAAATGAAATGACACTAATTGTTTAGCTGCCATGACGCCCTACCAGGCGTGGTGTGGTGTGGCGTGGCGTCCAGAGCTAGGTATGTAAGTGCTGAAGGAGAAACGTAGCCAGAGCAATCAAAGCAATCGCTTGCCGTAAGAACCACTACTACTTGGCTTGGCGCGGCGCTCCACTGCGACTGTCGATGGGACTAGATTCCACTCGGCCAGCGCTAATCTGTGACACCCAAACATACGGTCAAACAGAAACCGCAACACGTACGTACCTGTCGAAGCAGACGAGGATCGGAAGTGTATTCAAACGTACCTTGGGCACCGCCTCGCCTTGCCCTGCGGTCTCGGGCGACCGTCGAGAGTCGCTGTACACGGTTGTTGGGGTCCCTCTGCCCCATCCCGCCACTCTGCATTGTGCTCCGACAGGAGTCCGGCGCAGGGCCAACGCACGCTGGGCCCTGTCCCTGCAGGCGTCGGCGGCGGCGGAGGCGACTGGCTCAGGGCTTGGGTGAGTGCTGCACCGGCAGCGGCAAAAGACTTTGACCGGACCTCATCATGGCTGCTGCGGATGGGCCCTTTGGCGCAGCGAGACCATGCAGCAGCAGCAGTACACATGAATGCGTAGCTTGGCAGGCAGGCAGCCCAATAATGGTTCCTACGGCAGCGATGGCATGGGAATCATCAGCAGGCAGCAGGAGGTCACGGCAGACAATCGGTCGATCTTGCAGCTCGCTCGGCAGGCTGGTTGGCGTGCGCCCAGAGGTCTGGGCGTACCGCGCAGGATGAAGAGGCCAGCTGGCTGGCAAGCGCGCTGTCAGATGGGAAGCAAACATGCAGGCAGAAGGAGTCGGAGCGGAGACACACGACAGCGTTCTCGAGCGTGCCATGCATGTTGCATCAGACGCCGCCCATATGCACCGGGACCGGCACCGTTCGTCGTGGCTGTCGCCGTCGCCGTCGCTGCTCCACGCGGCATTTGGCCATCATGCTGTCCTGCCTCCCGCTGCCCTCTGCGATCTGCCATGAAGGGGCGCAAAACGTCGCTCGACACGATTGCTCACTTCCATCGACCGGCCAAAGTCGGTCGACGGACCGCTGGCCGGCCGATGCTGCCTGCCCTGTCCGGTTTCTGTGGCTTCTCCCAAGCCTGCGCCGACGTACGCAACGGTAAGCAGATTGGTTTGAACGCCCGTCGACGCAGAGAAAGGTACCATGATTGCGCTCGGGCGGTCATGGACCGGGCCGGCCAACGATGGCCGATGATTTGCGTCTAGATCTTCGTCTCGGACTTCAACGTGATCAAGGTCCGCCGCGCCCGCCCGCGCCAAAGTCGTGCCCGAGGTAGAGTACCGTAGCACGGTTGCCGTGGGTCTGAGCGGGGCCCAACGTCGCAGCCAGGGCTGGGCTCCAGAGCGGCTTGCTGTCGTACAGGGTGTGCTTGCTTTCAGTAGCCTTCTATCAGAGCCGTGAGGTCGGGACGCTGGCAACCTGCGGATTCGGATGCCACGGACCATAACGATATCCTTCCAGCGATACCGAGCCCGCTGCATGGTGTCTCGGCGTTCGCACCGCCATGCCATGCCGGGCCAGGCCATGCTTTTCGAGTCGGCCTTCGCGTCTGCCAGCACGAGATTCTTAATTTGCCTTCGGCCCGTGTCTGGAACCAGGGCCAGGCCACGGCCCAACAGCGTGGTCTTGTCCCCGACACGACGGCCTCCCGATTTTTTTCCAGGGGGGGAAGCGCAGAGCCGCACGACAATTGGCGCTTGTTTTTTGTTTGCTTGTTGGGCGACACAAGGCCAGGTGGAATACATATGTGCACGTCATGCCCCGCACTCGCTCCATGGCGGACCGGCTTGTGTCACAATGCAGGTGGCTCTGTTGATTGCCTCGTTGAAAACTTCAAGGGGGGTTGGAGTTGTGGCGACGGAGCCGGCGGCTGGAAATCGGGCAGGACGCGGGAATGGTGGGTCCGGAGAGGTTGCCTCACTCGTGCGAGTCTGCCTGCCGCGCCAGAATGTGGAGTTTTTGGGGGGTCGCGTTGGCCAGGCCAGCTGAACCCTTTGGACGCCGGCCAGGCGCAGCCCACACGACCCACCGACCGACCCCCTTTGGAACAGGCCACCACCGCCGCCACCACCTACCGCCCGCTTGCTTGCCTGTCAGGATGTCGCAACCACCGCCGGCACCGGGTCCACCGCCAGGGCCACCGCCGGGCCCACCACCACCGCCACCGCCAGCAATACACAGCCACCTCCCGCCGCAACCACCACCACCACCGCCGCCGCCAGAAGCATCGACCTCTTCGCTCCCCGGCGCTCCCGGGCCACCATCCCCACCTCAAGCGTCCAACCCGGAGCCTGAGATCGATGCTGCAGAGGCAGAGAGGCTGCTCAGTGAGTGCAGCTTCGCAGCGGCATGTCACTCGTCGTCGTCTGTGCGCTGACTTTGCTGCCCTTGGCACGGATCCGCCAGACCGCGAACGCAACTCGCTCTTCCAGCAGCTCGAAATCGATCGCATCCTATCTGCATTCCGCCTCAACCCCTACGATGTGCTCGAGGTGCCGCTCGAGGCCGATGACAAAGAGATCAACAAGATCTACCGAAAAAAATCGCTCCTCATCCACCCCGACAAGGTCAAGCACGGTGAGTGCCCGAGTCTCGTGTCCAGGCCGTGCTGCACGCGCAGCCGGCAAGCCGACGTCTCGACGGACCTTGCTGACCATGCCTGGTCTCTCTCCACCCGCGTTCCTGCAGAGCGGGCCATCGAGGCATTCGACCTGCTCAAGAAGGCTTCTTCACACCTGCTAGACGAGGACAAGCGAAAGACGCTCGACGAGACGGTCATGGACGCGCGGATGATGGTGCTCAAGGAGCTCGGATTGCCCTTTACCACGCCCGGAGACGACGGCCGCCTCAGAAATCTCGTGCCGCCGTGGGAGGAGCGGGTACGGAAGGCGACAAAGGAGCTCATGGTCGACGACGAGCTACGGCGAAGAAAGTGAGTGGTCATCGTCGGTCTGCCGGTCGAAAGCAGCGCTGTGGCTGACCTTTCTGCCCCTTGCGATGACCCTGCAGAGCGATACGGATGCAGCACCAGGCCGAGGGAGAGGCGCAGAGGAAAAAGGAAGAGGCCATCAGCGAGCGGAAGCGCAAGGCCGAAGAGCAGACGGCCTGGGAAGCCAGCCGGGACAGCAGAGTCGCAGGTGAGCGAGTGCCCATAGGTCGTTCTTGAAGGTTCACTTCGGACGAGACGCTGACACGACTGTTCATCACCGCGTTTTGTCGTACGGCGTCAGGCTGGAGGACGTTTCAGAAGGGCGGCAAGAAGAAGAAGAAGAAGAGCAATGTACTGGGCTAGCGGCTGTGACCGGGCCATCCTGTCAACCTCGTTCATATCCATTCCGCTGCATTGCACCACGACCAGCACCAGCACCGGCAGCAGCCCTCGGAGTGATGCCGTGTGCAGCGCGACGGGCGGTGCGACATCTATCGTGCTTTGGTTAGATTGTGGACATGGTGGTGGCTGATGCCTGGCCAGGCGGGGAGCGCCATGGCGGAGCGCTCCCTTCCTGATGTGGTCCTGTGCCGAGGTTCTCTGTGCTCTTGCAGCCTTCGGCGGTCACTTTGCAGGGGAAAAAGGGGGGTCGGAAAAGCGAGCTGAAAATCGTTGTGTGGGGATCCCGCCCATCACAGCTGGCCTGCTCTCTCTTCCGCTGCTGCTGGTCTCCCGCTGCCGATCCTGCATGGCGAACCAGGCCAGGCCAGGCCAGGCCAGGGCCAGACTGTCCACGGCGGGAGCTCTAAATTGCCTCTCGGCTTGCTCCCGTACACCATCATCCTGCCATCGCATCTCGCTCCCGCTCCTTCTAGAGGCAACCACTGCTGTGCCGTCCACCCGTCCATTCCGCCACACGCCCTTTTGATACGTATACCCACCTCCGATGCCGGACCCGCATCTCCCGGCAAGCAGTTGATACCCTCCGCTCACGGCCCTCCTTACTCCACTTTGGCGTCCATTGGCGTGACCGCCGAGGTGCCGTCGCCTGTGAACCGCCAACGCCATGAGTTACCAAGCCTACCAGGAAACCTACTCGCCCGGTCCAGCTGCCGCGTTCCCGCAGCCACAGCATCAGCATCAGCATCAGCAGCAGCGGCAACAGCAGCAGCAGGATCACGGGCGTGGAACAATGGCCAACAATGGCCCGAGCTTCTACAACCCATTTCCACCCTCGCCGCATTCGTCCCGCCCGCCTACATCCCTGCTCAGCCCGGCAGCATCGAGTCTGAGGCCAGGATCGGCCGCTTCGGCCTACTTCACCCCGAGCGCCGACCCGGCTCCTGCCAACACCAACGGCTACATCGCCGATGCGCCCGCCGGCGGGTTCAACAGCGGAAGGCTGGCTTCGCCCATCCCGCCCATCATCACATCACCTGCCCCGCCGAGCGAGCCCCCCTCCGTACTGGCCAGCAACTCGATCCTTTCCCCGCGTCCGAACTCGTCGACCACCGCGCCGGCCTCGTCGGACCGTGATCGTGAAAAGGACGGCGGCCGCTCCATCACAAAGAGCTACGAGACCAAGGGATCCCGCCTGACCGGTAGCGATGCTCTGATTCGTGCACCCTCAAAGCGCGCCGGCGGCCTGCTCCTCACCGTCTCGATCGAGGCCGTTGTCGTCATCGTGCTGGCGGGCATCGTCTTTGGGCGGATCACCGCCGACATCAGCAATCAGGTGCAGGACATCAAGACCGTCTCGGTCTACCTGGCCATTTTCGTGTTCGGCATGATCTTTCAGGTCGCCATCACCCTCGACGCGGTGCGGCTCAAGAACTCGATCCAGGTCATTGGCGTCAGCATCTTCAACGTTGCCCTCGCCATCGCGGCCGGGCTCGAGATCATGCAGGTCCGGGATGCGATTCAGGCCCAGGACAGCTTCCGCCCCAGCATCCCGTGCCCCTTTGACGAGAACCGGCTCTGCCGCGCAGAGCGCGTCCTCTACCCGCAGGTGCATCGCCTCCTCATTGGCGTCACGGTCGTCTGCGCTGTGTTTGAGATCCCCATCCTGTTTTGGACCGCCAAGCTCTGGACCGAGTTTGGCTGGATCATCTATCAAAAGATCGGTGCCGACCTGCGCATCCGTAGCATGTTCATGTGGTACCAGACCTTCATCGTGCTGCTCAAGTTCACCTTCTTCTTTGGCGTGAGTTGCCGGGAGCGGAAGGAGAGCCACACGACACGGCTGTGCTGACGCTTTGTGCCTTTCCGCACCCCCTCTTGCAGGTCGGGTTCACCATCTTCTACCTGATCCTGGTCGCCGTGAGTGTGGCTCAAGACGGTCCCGTTGCAGCTATGCAGTGCGCCCGGCTGACCGTGATCTGCCCCGTGTGACTCTGCATTGCCCCGACAGGATACGACGGACTGGGAGTACGGCGTCACGATTGCCGCGGTGCCGATGGCGGTGGCGACGCTGTTTGCGGTGAGTCCGCAGCACTGTCGTCGAGCCCTTCCTTTATGGTGCGCGCATCTCGCTGACGGCCTGGATGCTCCCCGACCGATTCCATCCCTGTAGGCGGCCTTTGCGGTGCGGCGCGAGATCATGTCGCTCATGGCGCTGTCTCTCTTCCTGATGCTGGCCGGCCTCGTCTAGTGAGTGCATTGACGGGCCGCCGACGGGTATTGTAGACTCGCTGCTGACCTGCCATTCTTGCATTCGACTCGCCGTCTCAGCTTCGTCTACAAGCTCACGCAGGTCTGGGTGCCAGCCACGGCGGCGCAGTACCAATACGTGCGCCTGACGATCACCTTCATCTCCGCGTTCGCCATCGTGAGTGACGTCCGGCGGTCGCGGGCTTGGTCGAGACGAGTGCTGACTTCCCACGTCGACCCTGTATGGGGCACGGCCCGACGCGCTTGCAGCTCTCGCTCGGCCTCACGCTGGCCAATGGCATCGTGTGCCTGCTCAACTTCCGCGAGGGGCTCAAGCAGGCGCACGACAGCATCGGCCGCTTCGGCGGCGTCCGACGGCGGCGCGCGCGCGACTCGAGCAAGGGCGAGGTGCTCGATCTGGATCGACACATCGACCCGCCCACCGCTCGACCCGCCGTGGCCCCCGCCGCCGCTTCCCGTCCTGGCGCATACGCCGAAGACAGCCTGTACCTTCGGCCGCAGCACGACGGCGTCGCGTACAACGACGCCGCCGCGGCGCCCAACAGCCTGGGCATGGTGCCGCAGCAAAACGCGACCAGGGTGTCGCTCGACTAGAAGGCTTCATGACCCCCTACCCATATACCAATGCGGCCTGGCGCCGGCCAGCCCGCCTTTCGTAACGGATCTCGGAGTATCGGATTATCCTCTGACGATCGGACGGTGGCTGCGATCCTCTTCTATTCCTGATTCGGTCATCAACGTCGTGATGACCTTCTATGAGACGAAGCTGCCATCGGCTACGATAGGAAGCGGGGGGGGCGCGACTAGACGGCCGTGTAGCCGCCGTCGACGAGGAGGTCGGTTCCGGTGGTGAAGGCGCTGGCGTCGCTGGCGAGGTAGATGATGGCGCCCTTGAGGTCCTCTGGGTTGCCCATCCTGCCCATGGGGGTGAGGTTCTCCCAGGTCTGCTTGAGCTCCTTGCCCGTTGGGCTGCTGTCGAGGATGGTGCGGGTGAGCGAGGTGAGCATGTAGCCGGGCGAGAGCGAGTTGACGCGGATGCCGGCCTTGGCCCACTCGACGGCAAACGAGCCGGCCATGTGGCGCACGGCGGCCTTGGAGGCGTTGTAGGGCGCCTGCGGCTGCGGGATGTTTGTCACGGCGGCCGACATTGAGGCGACGAGGACGATGCTGCCGCGGATGCCGTCGGCGAGCATGTGCTTGGCGGCCTCGCGGGCGACAAAGTAGGAGCCGTGGACGTTGATGTCGTAGAGCTTGCGCATCTTTTCCGTCGGGTACTCGGTGGCGGGGAAGTTTTCGACGATGCCCGCCGAGTTGACGACGACGTCGATGCGGCCGTACTTTTGGCGGATGCGCTGGAACGTGTCCTGGACGGCCTGCTCGTTTGAGATGTCGCAGCCGTATCCCTCGACCGAGAGCTCGCCGGGCTGGGTCTGGCCGTGCTGGGTGAACCAGGCGTCGATGTCGTCGGCGGCCTGCTTGCACTCGTCGGGCTTGAGGTCGAGCACGGCGACGTGGTTGGCGCCGGACTCGACAAAGGTGCGGGCGATGAGGTTGCCCAGGCCTCGCGCCGCGCCGGTGACGACGCACACCTTGCCCTCCATGCTGAAGCTGGCGAGGGTGCGCTGCGTGTGCCGACCCACCTTGCCTCCCGTGGTGCTGTGACCGACGTCCTTGGACGGGTGGCGGGTCGAGTCGTCCGGGTAAGGGATGGTGACCTCGTCGACGGTGCGCGCAAAGGGCGGCTTGTCGAGCTTGGCCGCCGTCGCCGCCGTTGCCGCCTTGTCCTTTGCGTCTGGCTTGCGGTCGCTGCCGTTGTGCTTGGTGAGGAGGTTCGGGGTGGTGGAGAGGTTGCGTGCCAGGGCCGGTGCGAGGTGCGAGCGGCTGGCCACCTGGCGTGCCAGGCTTGGGAGGGCGGTGCGGGTGGCGAGCATGGCCGGTTGTGTTTTGGTGTTGGGCGAGTGACGGGGGATGGCGGTGGTGGTCGAGAGGTACAGTATGCCGTGGGTGGCTGGGTTCGCCACTCACCAATGGCCGAGGGCTGCTCCCCGCCATTCCCCCCACTGACCGAAGAAGTCGCCGAGGTTGTACACTGGCAGGGGGGCCAGGCGGGCAGCCCGCATGGCATGCTGCAATGCTGCAGATCCGCGGCCGACATTGTCATGCAGCCTCCGATCACCCCCGTCCCCCCTCGGCGCTCGGGCCAATCGACCTGGCAAACCACGGTTGCCCTTCACTACCCGACTGCCACCACCGCCATCACCATCATCATCACTGCCTCCGTCTCCATCTTTGACGCGTCGGTCGATCGACTTGCACTCTCAGCGATGCCGTACCGCAGTAACATCGAGGTGCAGCATGGCTGGCGCACTGCCGGCAGAGAACTAACGCGCCGCCTTCGTAGACAACCCTGGCCATTACGATCGACGTTGCCGGCCCCAGTCTTGGCACTGCAGGCAGGCCCAGACCGCAAGGTTCCCTTTCGCTCCATCTCTGCTGCCTACCATCACGGCAATTTCGCTTCTCCTCTATTCTGTCCTTTTCTCCTCTCCCTCCCCCACAGCCCTCACCATCGCCGTAGAAAGTCGATGACGCACACCGACGCTCGACCATGACCCAAATACTCAGCTTTGCCAACATCGCCGCCGGCGAGCACGTCTTCCATCGCCTTTTGCTCATCGAAGGCAGGGCTACTTCGCATCACTTTGGAGCACAGGCCGCGCTCACCGTCCTGCCCGACGATCACAGCGGCTTCGACGCCGTCGTGTGGCAGGTCAATCACGGCCACTTCAAGGCGCTCGTGCCGCTCACGCCCGGGCGCAACCGACTCACCTTCCTGCTGCACGCCGGGCCAGCCACCCGACCCACGACACCAAACGACCCCAGCGCAGAGAGCCAGAGCCTCGAAGTCGTCTTTGTCCAGCCGCGCAGCCCACCACTCCATCTCGCCATCATTGCAGCGGCAGACTCTCCCGTATGGCACAACGATGGCCGACAGGCGCCATCGGGCCCACCACCACCGCCGGCCCCGGACAGAAGCTCAAAACCCGCTGCCAAGTCGATGCGCGGATTCATGGCCAAGACGATGGACAAGCTCCGCGACCTCGACCTCGACAGACCTCGTCCCACAGCTCACGATGCCGCCATTGTCGACGCTCCGCCCGGTCCACGTCGAGAGGCCCTCAAGTCGGGCGGGCTCGCCGAGGTCAAGCGTCGCTTTGCCCTGCAGGCCTACCTTTGGCAGGCCTTTCACGCCGAGCAGATGCGCAGACACAACCTCGGCCGCCGCTCCTTCCAGCTCGACGACAGCGCATCCGACTCGTCCCCGCAGATCCGCAGAAGTATCGAGACGATGCCTCGCATCCACCTCCTCCGCTCCAGGCGGACGCTCAGGGAGTTCCGCGATCCTGAAAACGCCCAGCAAAAGGCCAATGCTCGCAACGGCGGAGCCATGTTCAACTTTGCCCACGAGGCGCTCATGGATCCCGCGACGCCGCGCGAGCTGCACTGGTCGCCCGTCGCCGTGCTGGTGCTCGACACGCAGTACGATCCGTCCATGCGCCTGATCCGCGCCCACGCCGCGGTGGGATCCGGCGGTCCCGGTCGCACCTCGCACGGTGTCATGGGAAGCCACTGGCTGTGGGCCGCCCCGTCGTCGCTCGACCAGGTCACAGCGGCGTTCCTGGACACGGAGAGGACCGACGAGCGGTGCTGCGTCAACGACCTTGACGAGTGCCCCACAGCCTGGCAGACGCTCAACATCGGCTCTGGCGCCTTCTTTCACGAGGCCGGCCACGCTCTCAACAACCCGCATTGGCCCTCTGGCCTGATGGCGAGGGGCTACGTCGAATTCAACCGTGCTTTCATGACGAGCGAGCCAGCCTGCCACCGCAACGGGCTTCGAGGTGGCAACGTGTTTGCGCCGATCCACGCCGGCAACGACGCGGCCCACTTCCACGTCCACCGCGCGCAGGCCTTGCGGGCGAGATGGCACCCATGCTTCTACATCTCTTCCGACCCGCCACTGCCCTTCCTCGGGTCCAACAGCCCAGAGGACTGGAAGGCTTGGAACGACGCGGAGCCACAGGCGGACGCGACAATGGAGGGATGCCTGATCAAGTGCCGCAGCGGAATCGCCTCGATCGAGATCGAGGTAAACGGCGAGTACCGCGACCATATCGAATGGACGGGCCTCGCCGGGCCGCCGCCGCCGCGTGAGACGATGATCACGCCCGAGTACCTGTGGGGCCGGATCTCGCCTCACACGCCTTTGGCCTCGCGGCCGCCAGACGCGCGCGTCAAGCTCAACATCGTCGCCTGCAACATGCGGCAGGTCGAGGTCGACGACTTCTTCAACAACGGCGTAGCCCAGCAGGTCCGCGTGCGGGGCGGCGGCGGGCAAGGCGAGATGCAGGTGGTCAAGGGGACGTTCCTGGGCAGGGAGAGCGACAACAAGTGGATGCACGCCTTCCTCCACGAGCAGCAGCAGGCGATGGGGCAGGCGCCGAGGATCGTCAAGATCAAGGTGGGTGCCGACGGCATGTCCCGAGCCAGGAAGCTCAAGAGGCTGCCCAGGTCCTCGTCTAACGATGTCCTTGTGTTTCCTTCTCTGTTCGCCCCTTTGGCGTCCTCAGATCCATGCCGGAGCCGCGTTCGATGGCCTCGCGCTGGTCTACAACAACGGAGCGGTGCAGACCTACGGTCCGATGGGTGGGAGCCCCTCGGACTTCGATGTCGGGCCCGACGATGAGATCGAGAGGCTCGAGGTGCGCTGCGGCGCGTGGATCGATGCCATCGAAGTCGTGCTCCGGAGCGGGAGAAGGAGCGGGATGAGAGGCAACGCTGGAGGTGGGAGTCTGAGGGTCCTCGGTGAGTCCGTCCCCGTTCCCGTCCCCGCTCGGCGCCGGATACAGCGGTCGGCGAGCTCGATCTGATCGAGGCCTGCGCCCGCCCTCCGTCCGCCGCGATCCGCCTCTGGTCAGAACCGCAAAGAGGACACCGCATCGTGGGACTGTATGGGTCCAACGGATCGTGGGTCGAGAGCATCGGCCTCCTCACCGCACCGAGACAGTGAATGCCTGCCCCCTTGGGATCCGGCTTCTCGTTGTCCGCGGTGCAGCCGGCGTTTGGGTCTCCGGAGACCGACCGACACTCGGACGTCGAAGGGCGCGCAGTTGCACTTGGGGGTCCCCTCGGCTCGGACGGGTGCGCCGATCATCGTCAATCTATTGCGGCAGATGTCGGTCGGCGTACTATACGAGACCTATGGTTGCGTCGATCGCAAAGTCGGCCGGATCGGCACGAGTCACACCTTGGCGTGGCTCGATGGACGTCGGTTGGTCGAGCGGGGCACCGTAGGTGACCGCTCGTCCCCGATGGGAGGCCCACAACGATCACTTGCAGTAAGAGTCGAGGACTGCTCATTGTCGAACGAAGCCCGTGTGGTGAGTGGTAGTGGTTCATATGTACCGAGCGCCGCGCCTTCCGCCACCCGTCGTGCAGTAGCCTGCCTGGCCTGACTGACCGTAACTTGCTCGATGGGCTCCGTTCCGTAAACGGAGACGATACGAGGTGCGTTACTGTACGGCTCCTTGATCCGACCTCCAACATCCTGGCATTGTATGTGTGTCTAACAGTCAGACCTTTTGTATGTACATATGTACATACGGCAGACATTCGAAGAAAGAGCTCCTCAAAGACCGCACCTACACGTACTACACACTAGCTCTATGTAGGTACGTATGTATGTACCCGCGCGCACTGGCCTGCACCGCTCGGACCTTCAGCGATACCCTGCGCGCAGCGAGGTGCGGTAGCCTGAGAACGTGGGGCGTGAGAGTAGAAGAAAGAACATGCTGATCGCCTTTGTCGTATTTCTTAACGTTCAACCCCAGCTGATCACGTACATTGGCTTGTGCAGCTCGAGCTACATGAAGCGCCGTCGAGGCCCAGCTCGCTGAAGAGGGACCAAGATCGCACCAACACTCGGCCACTCTCCGTTGCTTTGGTCCGAGACAGCGCACACGCATCGGGCTGAGTCGGTTTAGGAGGAGCAGCAGCTCGGAACCCGAACATGGACATCTCGGTGCTGTAGACGGGCCAACGCAGATCGAGGAGATGCTGGTGCCGAATGTACGGCAACGTGCGGGAAGCATTATATTGGGTGGGTTGACGCGCCGGCCGGTCGGCTGCCGTCAGCAGCACTGCCAGATGTTGCTTCGCCATAACGGCCAGATCGAGAGCCGAGCAGGGCGGGGCGCACTGCGAGGAAACGGGACAACAACGAACGGGCTGAATGACCACCGGGAGTCCGAGGACGGGGCGAGGCTGAGCGGGAACAGCTTTCGTCCTCGATTTCAACTCACACCGGCACAGCAGCCATCGCCGCCGAAGAAGGTCGACGTGCTTCTGGCCTGGCTGGGCGTCGGGCTACATACAGTCGTGATGTGCTGTGCAGTTCTGCTTCTATGCCGGCCAAGTCGAAGGGATGCATACGTACACAACGAAGCATTGTCCGTGACCACCGTTGGCATATGCCGTCTGTAGCAGGGCGTGACGGCGGCGGCACCTCGGATAAAGCGGTTGTGGCAATCCGCCCATCGAGATTCATTAAGGGTATCCGCCTGCCTGCCAGCCTGCCTGCCCGCTGCTGGGTGGGCGTTGGGCGTCGAACCCGTGAAGCGGCATCGAAGCAGCCCGAGCGGCAAGCGAGCGAACCGGGCGGGTACGGTTACGCCGCGCAAGCTGACTAGAGCACTGCAAGGCTTCCCGCTCGCTGCAGTACGTAGCCTGCGCCTATCTAGGCCACCATGTCGCACGGCTGCAGAGAAGTAGGCCAGGCTAGGGTGACGAGGAAGCCGCAACGCGGTTGCTCAGCAGGTCACGACAACCCGACGTCCAAGGCAGGCGGATCCCTCGGCCTGCATACCTGTCGGGCTTCTTGCTGGCGCAACGGCAAGGGGACGGTAGTAGCCACCTCGAGGACCTTCTCCTATCGTGCGCTGACACAGATTGATCGACCAAATGACAGATGCACGACCAGGCTTGAAGAAGTGTGCGACTCCGTGATCGTGGTCCGCACTGGTCTTGCCAAGCCGCGCGATATGGTCGATCCGTTCCAGATCCCACCTCCTTCCTGCCTGTCGAGAGGAGGAAGCGATGGGGATCAATTTGAGGCCGAGACAAGAAGGATCTTCGCCGTGCATGCGACGCGAGCGAGGGCGAAGCAAGAGGGCGCCAGATGGACCGACCGGCTGGGCGCTTGGCCTCATGCGAACACGCTGCACCCTTCCGCCCAGGCGCCAGTTGGCTGCACATAGGTACGCCGCCGCAGCCTTCCCAGGGGCCCTCGGCCCGCCGCCCGCCGCTCTTCCCCTGGATTCAGTCCTCATCTTCGTGTTCCGTCGACCACCGTCACCCAAGCCTTGGCCCCTCGCCCCTCGGGCCATGCCCTCGAGCCCCCGTGGCCCCGAGGCCTTGCAAAGGCGAGTGACCCTGGTTGTTCTTGAGGCGTGTTGCCCAGTCAATGAACCTTTCGAACGCGATGCACCAGTAGTAGCTCCGCGCCCTAGACCAAGACATCCCCGTACGTGGGCTTTCACTTACGGCGACTGAGACGGCCAGAGTCGAGGATCACGGGCGGCATCGGGCGCTCCATCATCCTCGTTCATGGCTTTGCCACTCCGCTCGTGCCTCTTCCTTCGCCTCGACCAACGCCCAGCCACCTCGTCCTGCCAGTCGACGCGGCCGAGCTGGGATCCCTGCACTCGTCCTCGCCTCCCCATTCATGCCATTGACCGCCCACATCCACCAAGCCCTCGCTTCGATCCCAGCAGGGCAAAATAGAGGCGGTCCGCCGATCCGGCAGAGGTTGCAACCGTCCGTGGCGCCGGAGGTCGCCGCGCTGACCATCCTCTCTCCCGAGCTCAACCCTGCAAGGCGTTTTCCATATAGCGCCCAGACATGGTCGTCGATCCTGCCAACGCTGATCGTTGCCCTGAAGCTCGAGTCAGAAGCTGGTCGACCAAAGGGGGTGTAGCCAAGTTGCCCGGGCTTGTTGCCAACAGTGTCCCCGCGCCCCTCCGCTCGTTCCGAGCGACAGAGACACGACCACTCCCGGCGGCAGTCTGGCATCCACAGACCGACATCTCCAGGCGCGATCGACTGCAAGTTTGGTATACGAACAGGGGCGGGAGCTTGACTGGCTGGCCTGCCAGACATAGAAGCGCCATTTGGCGAGTGCGCAGGGACCGCGTCCAAGTGGCAGCGTTACTTTGGCAGCGTGGGCCTGGCGCGTCGGCTTTCGACCAAGGACATGGGCCGACGGGATACTGTAAGAGACCGGAAGCCTAGTCGAGACGGAGTCGAGCCGCTCGACGCCATTGTTGCCTCCTTTCAGACACGTACATTGGAGGTAACTATGCCCGCCACCATGCAGCCAGCATTAATTGGCCTGCGCCCACCTTTTGACCGGCGCGCGCCATGTCTCTCTGCCTGCGAGCAGAAACGTCAAGCAGGTTCGCGCTCCGCACCCATCCTCTCGAGGAGCAATACGTGATGGATCGCTCCGTGCCGCCATCTCTTGGACGTCGATGCCAATGCCGCGGCTTGCGATGCGGCAGGGGAGTGGCACCTCTGACCTCGGCCTGTAGAGGGGCTTGTCCGGCTCGGAGCACGGGCGTCACTTCAGCAGCCTCGATATCGACGCGCGCGTATAAGATCCCTCCCCTCGAGCAAAAGTCCATCGCCGTCTCTCCATCCAACCTCCTCCTCCCGACAGGGACGCTAGCACTCCCCTCCCCTCTCTCCACTTTCTCAGTCTTGCCACGAGCGCTTGCGCCTCTCCTTTTATCTCACTCTCACTTACGCCGGTCGTTTGCAAATCTCCCTCTCTCTCTCTCTCTCTCTCTCTACGCGGCCTAGACGGTCTCATTCAACCAAGCATCCTTCAAGGACATCCTTTCCACACTTTCACACCCAAGCACGCAACGCAAAGATGGTCACCTTTACCAACTTTGTCGTCGCTGCAGTGGCGCTGGGCGCCCTGGCCAACTCGGTCGAGGCCTCGCCCGAGCCGCTTGGCCTCGATGAGCTCCTCGCCCACGCCGATGCCGGTCGCCTCGAGAAGCGCACCTTCAGCATCCGAGACGGCCTCCTCGAGCGTGACGAGGTCCTCAACCACAAGAGGACCTTCCTCCTCCCGTGAGTGTAGCATTGCGACGGGTCCACGGCGGTCGATGCGATCGACACGTCGCGACATCCAGCAACGAGGTCGCTGACGCTCCCCCTTCCAAAAAATATTTTTACAGTCTACTTGCCGCGGGTGCTCTTGGCGGTGTCGATGCCGGTCTTAGCGTCCACAAGGAGATCGGTGCCAGCATCGGAGGTGGCGTCGGAGCCGGCGTTGGCGGCGGCGTCGACATCGAACATCACGCCGGCATTGACGGCAGCATCGGCGTCAACCACGGCCACGGTGTCGAGGGTGGCGTCGACCCTGGTGTCGGAGGTGGCGCTGGACCTGGCGGTGGAGGCGACCCTAGCGCCCCTGGCGGTCCCGGCGGCCCCGGTGGATCTGGTGGCCCTGGCGGTCCTGGCGGCGATGACGGCGACAATGGCGACGATGGCAAGGATGGAAACGATGGCAAGGACGGCGAGTCTCCCAGCGGAGGCTCTGGTGGCGCTGGTGGCGCTGGAGGCGGCGGAGGCGGCGGAGGCGGTGGTGGCGCTGGTGGCGGTGGCGCTGGTGGCTCCGGTGGCAAGGGTGGCGCCGGAGGCCAGGGTGGCAAGGGTGGCTCTGGCGGCCACGGCGAGTCTGGCGGCACCAAGGGCCCCAACAGCTGGAGCAGCTGGAGCACCTGGACCAGCGGCGATGACGGCAAGTCTGGCGGAAGCAAGAGCGGCAGCGGCAACGGCTCCGCCGCTTCGGCCTCTTCGAGCGCCGCCGCTGGTGGAGGAGGCAGCGCTGCCTCTTCATCGTCGAGCGCTGCATCCGCCGTTGGACCTCGCGGAGACAAGATCCACACCGTCAAGGACACGCACACCTCGAGCAACTCGAGCAGCGCCTCTAGCAGCGCCAGCAGCTCCTCGTCTTCTTGGAACAACAACGACCACCAGGAGTGGTCCTCGTCCAGCTCGGGCAAGGACGGCAAGGCCTCGTCCGCTCACGGCAGCAAGGACTCCAAGAGCGGCGGCTCCAAGGGCGAAAGCAAGTTCAACAGCGACAGCAAGTCGGACAGCAGCTCGACCGACACTCACGAGGAGACCACCGGCCAGGGCGGAGGTGGCGCTGCCCCCAGTGGGCCCAAGGGACCCAAGGGACCCAAGCCCGGCAGCGATGCCCCCGGTGGGCCCAAGGCACACAAGCCCCACAAGGGCAAGCACGACAAGGACTGCGACAACGACAAGCCTAAGGGCTCGACTGGTGGCTCTGGTTCGACCGGTGGCTCTGGTTCGACTGGCGGCTCTGGCTCGACTGGCGGCTCTGGCTCGACTGGCGGCTCTGGTGGTGCCGGTGGCTCCGGTGGTGATGGTGGCTCTGGCTCGACTGGCAGCTCTGGCTCGACCGGTGGCTCTGGTTCGACTGGCGGCTCTGGCTCGACCGGTGGCTCTGGTGGTGCCGGTGGCTCTGGCTCGACTGGCAGCTCTGGCTCGACCGGTGGCTCTGGTTCGACTGGCGGCTCTGGCTCGACTGGCGGCTCTGGCTCGACCGGCGGCTCTGGTTCGACTGGCGGCTCTGGCTCGACTGGCGGCTCGGGCTCGACTGGCGGCTCGGGCTCGACTGGCGGCTCGGGCTCGACTGGCGGCTCCGGTGGTGCCGGTGGAGCTGGCGGTGCTGGTGGCGCCGGCAGCGGAACCGTCACCGTCGGTGGCGCGGGCGACGTCTGCAACGTCTTCAACAAGGTCAACCATGCTGGCAAGGACCGCGACCTGCTCGGCGGTCTGTTTGGCGCCAAGAAGGTCTCGAGCTGCGGCACCGTCGGCACCGTCTCGGCCAAGTCCGAGTCCGAGTGCGTCTCGCTCTGCAAGGCCAAGGAGGGCTGCAAGTTCGTCACTGCGTGCAAGTCGCACAGCCTTTTCAAGCGCGACAATGTCGTCGTGCGCAACCACGACAAGAGGACGTTCGGCCTGCTCTTCGGCGCCCAGTCCTTTACCTGCAAGTTCTACGACGCCTGCTTCGCCACCTCGGCGATTGGAGGCGGCGGCGGCATCAAGGGCGGAGCCGGTATCGGCATCCATGGCGGCGCCGGCATCGGCGGTGGAGTCGGTGGCGGCATCCACGGCGGCGCCGGCATCGGCGGTGGAGTTGGTGGCGGCATCGAGGGAGGTGCCGGCGCGGGCATCCACAAGGGCGCTATTATCGGTGGCGACATTGAGGGCGGTATCCACAAGAGCGCCAGCATCGGCGCCGGCGCTGGCATCAACGGTGGTGCCGGTACGGGCATCGAGGGCGGTATCCACAAGAGCGCCAGCATCGGCGCCGGCGCTGGCATCAACGGTGGTGCCGGTGCTGGCCTCCACGGCGGCGCCTCCCTCGACGCCTCTCTCGAGGCAGGTGCCGGCGTCGGCGGAGGTGTTCACCCTCGCTCGCAGCTCGAGGAGCGCACCTTTGGCAGGCTCCAGTGCACCGGCTTCTGCCTCGGCGCCTGCAAGTAGACGGTCAGCGTCGCCATCGCTCGTTTCCTCTCCTTCCATCCTGGATCTCCGCCATTCTCGGATCACTATCTGGAAAGCCCTCCTCGAAACCCGTCCTCCTCGCCAACGCGCCCAGGAGCCAACATACACTCGCCCTGCATCTCCTCTCGATTCGGATTCGTCTCGCTTTGTCTTTCTTGGATCTTGGTCTCCACCCCTCCCCAGTCTCCCTTCCCCCTGCCCCAGTGCTAGTGCTCCCATACTTTCCCTTGCTCGGCCACGGTCTTGTGTCGTCGGAATAGTCTCTCCGTGTTCCTCTCCCCTCCCCCTTTACCCCGATCCTGTATCCAACCACCGCGCCGGACCAGACTTTCTAGGCTTCTAGGTCCGAGGTGACAAGTCGCTCTCTACCCCTCTCCCCTCTCCCCTGCTCCGGCCCCTTCTCGTCCTTGTCTCGATCCCGTGCCCCTCAATGGACTCTGGAAATATTCCATCCTTCTTCCTACCGAGCGTGCGCGGGCTTCAGACGGGTGACCTTCATGCCCATGTCCTCTTGACTCGTGGTCATGGATTCCGTTGCGCGTCTGTAGCGAGAGGTGTCGGAGCGACTGCTTCCAGCAGACGGTCGACTCTCCTCGGAGAGACGTCGGGTCGTCGACCGCCTCACGCGTTCATCCGCGGGACGCATCACACTTGAGCTAGGCACACCGAAGCCGACTGTCTCAACACGAAAGGTTTTGGCAATTCCACGACGAGGGACGGCTTGGGACGTCCGTCGCATCGCGATCTCCAGTACTGGACAAACGAGGGAGAAATGCGGCAACCAGCTTGCGGCGTGCCAAGAGATGCCCGCACCCGTGCCGCGTCTACTGGCTCTTCTTGTCGCCGGTGATTGGGTCCTTCCTGACTCCGATCTGGTCGGGGACCTGGACAGTGGCCAGCTGGCCAATGACGACGAAGGTGGCGGGCACCAGCACTGCGAAGACGACGAGCAGGATGAGGATCTGTGCCGACGAAAAGAGCTGTTGGTGGACGAGGTCGCAGGGCGATGGCGGTCGAGGTCAGTGGCGCCGCTCGGCAGGCGCCGAAGGGAATCTTTCGGGACGAGTCGCCTCACCTGGTATCGAGCAAAGACGCTGCCTTCTGGTTCAGTCCACGTGCCGTTCTTGTCGTCCTTCTTGAGTTCGGTGAGGTCGCCGAGGTTGGGGAACTGGCGCTTGGAGAGGCGACGCGCGCTTGGGGCGGCAACGATGACGACGTTGCGCGGGTAAGCGGCATCGATCGCAGCCAGTGTGGTGAGCAGGGACGCCTCTGCAAGGACCAAGGGCGAGTGGCTGTCAGCACGGTGCGAGATCTTCACTGTACAGACAAGAGGCACGCGGCTCACCTTGTCCCTTGAGGTCTTGTACGTGGACCTTGATGACGCCACCGGTGCTCAGCTCGGTGCCTCGGACATGGTCTCCAAGCGCAAGCTGTACCTGCTTCGGCTGGCCGCCGCAGGCCTTCTGCAGCCTCTGCACGAGGTCGTTCTCGAATGCAAGGTCGGTGCCCTCGTTGGCGTCAAAGGTGAGCTGGGCAGGTGCGCTCAATGCCCTCTGCCTCAACGAGTCTGCGCCGTGGCGGAGGCCCGTGAAGGAGGAGCGATCGAGGTGGTCGGCCTCGACGACAACAAAGGTGTCCACAGCGCAGGATCCGCGTGATTCGGTCTTGTGAGAGAGGAGCCGCGATGCCAAGGCGGAGAGGGATGAGGAGGGGCCGAGGCTGGGCAAGAGGTCGGGGCCGGTCTGCGAGGAGCCGAATACGAGTACGGGGCTGCGTGCTGCGGCAGTTGCCGTCTGAGTGAGGGTGGCGAGAAGGCCGAGGCTGAGCGTCGAGAAGATCGATGCCTTCATGGTGGATGTTCCGCGGAAGGCTTGCCGGAGACGAGGGTGTGATGGATGCAGAGGGACGAAAGCCAAGGCGAGCGATGATGGATGAGCGACGGGCGGCCAGGCGTACCTGGGCTCGAGCTGGCTGGCTGGCCGGAGCAGCCCAAACCCTGCATCCGTGCGCTCAGGGGCGCCAGGCCAGGCCAACGATCAACGCCCGATTTGGGAAAAGGCAATCGCTCTTCTCGAGTCAATCGGGCGATGGCACTCGGATCCGCGGCCACGTGGCTGGCTGCAGGGAAAAAGGCTCAGCCAGCGCCTGGCCGAGTCAGTTGGCGCTCTGCGAGAAGAAGGGCGCGCTGCTCCACCTGGTTTGCCCATTCCCGCCTTCCTCTTTCTGGCTTGCAACACTGTACCCCCCCCCGCAAAACATCCTCCTAGATCCTACTACTGCTTACCGACCCCACCACCAGCACTCAACCTCTCACAATGAGCGCACCAGCACAGCGAGCGACGCTGACCTTTGTCACGGGCAACGCCAACAAGCTGCGAGAGGTCAAGGAGATCCTCGCCTCGTCGCCCGACTTTCCCTTTGACCTGACCAACCAGGACCTCGACCTGCCCGAGATCCAGGGCACCACGCAAGAAGTGGCCAGGGCAAAGTGCTCGGCCGCAGCCGCCGCGCTCAACGGTCCCTGCATCACCGAGGACACCGCCCTCTGCTTTGCCGCCCTCAACGGCCTGCCGGGACCTTATATCAAGGACTTCATGAAGGGCGTCGGCCACGCGGGCCTCAACTCGATGCTCGACGGCTTTTCCGACCGCACCGCCCACGCGCTCTGCACCTTTGCCTACTGCCGGGGCCCCGGCCAGGAGGTGCTCCTCTTTGAGGGCAGCACCGAGGGCACCATCGTCCCGGCCCGCGGCGACAAGAAGTTCGGCTGGGACCCCATCCTCGAAGTCAAGGGCACCGGGCTCACCTACGCCGAGATGGAGTCCACCCAGAAGAACACGCTCTCGCACCGCTACAAGGCCCTCAGTGCGCTCAAGGAGTACCTCTGCAGCAAGCCCTGATTCCTTTCCGAGGCGGTCGTGTCGACTCACCCGGCAACCGGCGCGGTCCCGAGCCGCACGGCCGAGCCCTCGCATCCGACGCGATGCTGGTCGCCCTGCTGTCGTACAGGACAGGAAACGGCACGACCCTCCCGGAAACAAGGCTGTCCGAGCGGGCCTTTCATCCGCTCTACCCCAGTTCTGCCTCCGCTCTGCCGCTGCAAAAAGCCCCGCTGCGCGAGATTGCCGGACAGCTTTCATGTCGTACTCAAGTTGCTCCTCCTGGAAGCAGCCAGCGACCAAAGAACACCGTCAATGCCCGACACGCTCGACATGCGCGCATCTACATGCTCGATCGCCGTCGCGGTCAACGAAGGCGCGCGGTGCGCGGAAGGTGCAGCATCGTCTGCCACGAAGAGGTACCATCGTTCGAGGAATGCGGACGAGCAAGAAGCCGCTGAGTCTGTAGCGGAGTCCTAGCCCTCGCCCGCCCTTGCCGACGTCGCCGGTGGGACGTGCAACGCTACGTCTCGCCCTGACCTCCTGTGCCTGTCAGCCAGCTCGTTCTGGACATCGTCTAGACATTGACCGTCCTGCCTAAGAGCGACAAAGGCAATACACATACGACCCTGACTCTTTGCCCTGAGACCGCAGGATCAGGACTTAGCACGCATGTACTCTAAATCCATCCATCAGGGCAACCGACGCTTTGCTCGGCGCACATGGCGAAAGGACGGCGGTCCTTGGTTCGGCAACGACATCATCGTGGCAGGTCCTGCCGCCATCCATCTCGTGGCAATTAGTACCATGGGCATGGCAGGCGTGGCGTGAGGTGTCGCTCTCGGGAATCTTTGCGGCCAGCTCGAGTCGACACTGTCGCTTCGGCTCAGGTTCCGAGCGAGGGCGGGGCGACAGCGGCGGGGCAGCGCGGAAGGGGTCCAGGTCGGAGGGGGCTTGCCAGCCAACGGTGCTTCATATGGCGAGCCTGCCGGGGCTTCGGCCAGGATTCCGTTCGAGGCAGCGAGGCCAGCGTGGTCCTTGACGATCTCGTTTCCGGCAATCTCTCTCTCCTCCCCTCTCACCGCCGTCGTTATCCTCGTCTCGTTGACGGAAGGGCTGGAACATACGGACGCGCACGCATGATCAAAGGTATCGGACCTCTTCATGCGGGTATCGTCATGACCGGATGTCAGGTGAGGAGGAAGCGGCGACCTGCCCGACAGCCATCGACGTCTGCTTCTGCCAGCGCCAGGGCGCGATCATCTGCAGGCCAGAACCTACCTGGTCAGGCAGGCCGCCTCGCTGCCATTTCCCCATGGAGCTCCATCGGCAATCTCTGCTCCGATGCGGAGCCTCGACCAGGCGGATTCCCTGCTTGCTTTGCCTATTCTCCGTCGTCTGCGGTCGGCCAACCCCGCCTCTCCCCCCCATTCTTATTCGTTACCCTCCGCTTTCGCCGAGTTCGTCGCGGATGCTGCATCACCGGTGTCATTCTGCCTCGTCCAGGCTGAAACCACAACGACGTACGTACGTACTCAACCAGTCTTGCACCGCTCGTCGTGAAAACGTCGACGGACCGCGCTTTGTCCTGGCTCCGGCGAAAGGTCATCAGCGGCATCCGGCCTCATTCGGCCTTGACGGACGACGATCCGGGCGAGAGGGCCCACTTTGAGCGCCGACGTCGACAGATCCGGTCCCAAATTGACTGCGGGGCGTCGTCGAGCGACGGACCGGCGTTGGATGGTCCTTGGGCGCCCTTTGTCCTCGAGCGTCCCTCTCCTCGTAACCCCGCAAACGTATGCCGTCGGCACCCTAGGCCTGTCTGTAAGCGAGTGCGTCCTTTGACGCTAGTCGGCTGGTGGACAGAACACGCAAGCAGCAGCAATCAAAGCACCTCGACCCTCTTCTTGCTTGCCTGGACGACTGCTCTGGTGTCGGTTCCCCACATGTCTCTCGCACAAGCGACCCCACCATCATCGAAGGCCCTGCCTGCCTGGGCAAGCCGGACTGCTCCCCGGTGCGCGCGACCGACCCACGTCGAGATTCCCGAGGGGGAGAGAGGGCGTTGCACGCTAAGCGCACTCACGCCCCGGACACCTTGCAACGCGCTCGCACAAAGAGCACCAGTGACCCGCCGGACACCTCTGGCCCCTTGCTCTAAGACCGCAGCTGGCAGCCAGTGAGCGGTCAAATGAGATTGCCGGTCCCTCTCGTCCTTTGTCGAGCTTGAGCATCGCGGCCGGCGTGGCCAACCTAGGTTCCACCATCGTAGCGAGGCGAAGTCCACTTGCCTCGTGGATCCCTAGCCTGTTCTCGACCTCGAGCGCGCGTGCCTTGTTCCCTCTTTCTCCTCTTTCATCGTCCGCAAGACACAGGCGCCCATATATAGCCATTCAAGCGTTGGCCAGGAGGAGCCCCGCAATCCTTGAAGTCACCCGGCGTCCCTTACCCCGTTCCAAACGTAGCCCCAGGCGCGTCTCATACGACCGCGACCGCAACGACCCATCATCATCCCCCCCTGGCGCAACGCAGACCCACCGTCGACCGTGCAGAGCCGCCCGTCCACCATGGCCGACACACACTCTCACAGCTCGGCTGAGCACAAGAACGAAAAGGAAGGCCTCGATGTCCTCGCCATCGGCGACGTCGACAGCGGCCGCTCCCTAGGCTACGAGGCTCCCGAGCCTTCCGCCATGACCCGGAGAGCCCAGCTGCTTGGCATTGCCATCTGCACGGGTGGATTCCTGTTTGGCTACGACATCGGCGTTGTTTCATGGTGAGGATGCTTCACACCGTGCCCGAAGCTCCGTCGACGGACCGCGCTGACCTGGCCTCGACAACGTTCTGTGCATCGCAGTGCCTTCATCATGAAGGACTTTGTGCTGCGTTTCGGTGGCGAGTGCATCGACGGCGTCTGCTCGCTGCCCTCCTCGCGCACCTCGCTCATCAACTCGACTCTGTCGGTCGGAACGTTCGTCGGCGCCTTGCTCCAGGCGCCCGTATCCGACTTCTTCGGCCGTCGCACTTCGATGGTCTTCTGGGCCTCGTGGTTCCTTCTCGGCGCCATCGTTCAGACGGCCACCATCTCGAGCTGGCAGCAGTTCGCCGTCGGCCGTGCTTTCGCTGGTCTCGGCGTCGGTGCTCTCTCCGGTCTCTGCCCGCTCTACCTCGGTGAGACGGCCCCCAAGCACGTCCGTGGTGCCATGGTCGCCGGCTACCAGCTTCTCATGTGAGTGGCATTGCACATCCAGGCTGGAGGGACGGGTCGACATGTAGAGTGTGCGCTGATCTCCACCGCCACCGTTTCTATTCTCGCCACCGCCGCTACACTGGACACGCGTCACCCGCAGCATTTTCGGCATCTTCGTCAGCTACGGCATCGGCTGGGCGACCCACACCATGGTCGACTCGGTCGCCTCCTGGAAAATCCCCGTCGGCCTCCAGCTGCTCTGGGGCGTCATCCTCATCGCGCTCATGACCGTCCTGCCCGAGTCGCCGCGCTGGAAGCTGCAACGCGGTGACGTGGTCGAGGCGCGCCGCGTCATGGCAGCCATGCGCAACATCGAGCTCCGCGACTTCCACGGCGAGCTTCGCGGCGACAAGTGGATGGAAGCCGAGCTCGCCGACATGAACGAGGGCATCCTCATCGAAAACGAGGCCTTCAAGGACCGCAACTACATCTCGGCCTACCTCCTTTGCTTCTCCAACAAGCAGCAGATGTGGAAGCGCACCCTCAACGGCATCATGCTTCAGACTATTCAGCAACTAAACGGCCAGAACTTCTACTATTACTATGGCCCTGTCTGTAAGTGTCCAGGGCGCTGTAGACGCTCATTCTGGGAGTATGGGATGCATAGGGGATGCTGACGTTGCTGCGGATTTGCCACCTCGCGATGGCGCGAATTTTTTTTCTACAGTCTTCAACAGCGCGGCGGTGTCGCTCGATGCGTACCAGATCCAGTTCCTTCTCGGCTCGGTCTCGCTGCTGGCCACCATCCCCGCCCTCATCTCGATCGAGAAGCTCGGCCGACGCCAGTCGCTCCTCATCGGCGCCGCCGCCGAGGCCAGCTGCGCGTTCATCGTTGCCTTTGTCGGACGCTACGCCCTCGCACCCCGCGGCACGCCCCCGGACCAGATCAGCTCGTCGCAGAAGCAGGCCGGCAACGCCTTCATCACGTTCGCCATCTTCCACGTCATGTTCTTCAGCATCTTCTGGGGCCCCACGCCCTGGGTCTTCCTCTCGGAGAACTACCCGCAGTACATCCGCGCGAAGTGCATCTCGCTCGGATCGGCCGCGAGTGAGTAGCTCTCCCGCCGCGCCGTCGGACGTCTTCGTCGATCCCGCTGGAGCGCATCATAGCTGATACGACTTGCCTCCTACCTCTGATCTCCTCGTCGTCCCGTCGCACAGACTGGATCTGGAACTTCCTCCTGTCCTACTTCTCGCCCGGCATCGCGGACAAGTACGACACCTTCATCCTGCTCATCTTCGGCTCGGTGCTCGTCTTCGGCTTCTTCTACACCTACTTCATGGTGCCCGAGGTCAAGGGACTCACGCTCGAGCAGGTCGACGAGCTCTACTCGCAGAACGTCGCTCCCTGGCGCTCGGCCTCGTGGGTCCCCACCATCGGCGAGACCAACCGCGGCTCGCCCAAGAAGAGGAAGAACCGCGTCGAGACGGCCTAATCTGGCCTTCTCGCATCGCCCGGCAGAAGGGGCCGCAGACATCGACCGCTCGCTCACGCGCCTTTCGGCAACATACCAGGTCGCTCTGTGTCCCCTTAGCTCGTCCCTTCTGTCTGTCTTGATGCTGGTCGGCCGCTGGCCGCTTCACGATATCCTCGCTTCGTCTTTCGACGTTCGCCAATGCCCCTTTCGAGGCCGTAGCTATCTCATGAGACGCAATGAAACTCTTCACCAAGACAAACACTGATCGCCGTTGCTCGGCAGCTCCGTTCGAGTTGGCCGGGACATGACTATGTCGGGCCGTAGTATTAATAAAGTTTGTGCAGGGCAGGCCGCCAAGACGACCTTGCAGGACTGCAACAGACCCCCGAGACTCTCCCTGTTGCGGAACTGTGGGCTCATCACCTCACTTTGTTTGATCAAGGACTGCTGCAGTGATGTCTCAGGCTTGTGCAGTGCTGGCTTTTCCAAGTGAGGCCTCAAACATCATCTACAACTGTCTGGCATCCTACAGCCAATTCACCCTACTGATGCTGATCAAGTGCCCTCACTGCAGGCTCATCTTTCGAGGCAAGCTAGGTGCCAATGGCAAGGTGCTCAAGTCTGTGGAAGAGCTCCTGCAGTCTTCTTTGCGGGAGTTTAGGGGTATCACCAACGAGCCCCTGTTCCTATCTGCAGCACCTGGCCTTGGCGGGCTGGCTGAACCTCCTCGCCCTCTCAGTGAGCAAAACATGCTCATTGCCCTCCAACAGATGTACAACGGAGCTGGTCTCAGCCGCTCCAGGGTCTATGTCTGGAGGCAAGCCAAAGGAGACAAGGCATGGATCGTCCTCGGCAGGGAGGCTGCCAGGGAGGCCTTCCACCACCAGGAGGGGAAAAAGAAGGATCATAGCTATACATCCTACAGCAGTGGTCTGGCCTCCCTGCTGGTGTCTGAGATCATGATGGACAAGTTCACAAGGAGCCTGGAGCTAGCAAGCTGTGTCCAACACCATCAGTTCCCACATGCCGTTGCTGTTGCCATCAAGAGCCAGCAAGAACATGAGATGGACACAGAGGCAAGCACAGCTGCTGCAGCATCAATTGGCAAGACTGAATGTGGACATCTGCACCAGGTGCCTACTCTTCATGACAAGCATGCTCTGCTGGCTAGTCTGCTTCTGCCTGTTTTCCTTCAGTCGGTAGTCCTGTTGAATCTGAATGCTTTTTGGCTGGCTGTTCAACAGGGACTGCTTGCTTGCCTGCAGCAGCAGCCTCAGACTCTTGCAAGCGCAGGCTGTTGACCTAGCGCAGCGCGGGCATTTTCCCGCCTGGCTCGCACGGGTGAGGGCTTCTCTTCTTTCATTCGCCATTTAGGGCGCAGAGACCGGCTTGCGCTGGATCCGGTGGGCAGGGTTGTTGGCTGGCCGAACCCGGAGCGGGCCACCGTTGCTATGCGCTTTGGCTGCTTTCCACCATTCGGCACGGCCGGTCGACGTCTGCCCCGCACACACACTCGACACTCGTCGCCCGCTCCTCGACCCGCCGACTGCCGTGGACCGGGCCGTTGTGCTGGACTTCTGCCTCGCCGCCTTGCTCGCCATCCCCGCCTTCCACCTGCCCGAACCCGTACCACACACGAGGCCCGTCCCCCCTCGCTTGTGCAAACAACTTTACCCGGCTACCTGGACAGGCTTCCTTGCCGGTTTCGCCAACGGAACCTCGTCCCGAAGACGTTCTATCCTCGTCCTCATCCCCTCTTCATAACGCATCTCCCCCCTTCATCAACGACAGCCCCTCACTGCCACTTCTGCTCCATCTACCAACCACGTCCCTCTAGATCGCCAGCCTCTCTTTGATCCAGCCCAGACCACAGCACCCCTTTCTGCCACCGCCATGGTCCTTGTCACTGCCCTCACCGAAGCCCTCGGCCTCCGCGTCCCACTGGTCCAGGGAGGCATGCAGTGGGTCGGCACGCCCGCCCTCGCCGCCGCCGTCACCAACGCCGGCGCCCTCGGCGTCCTCACCGCCCTGACGCAGCCCACCCCGGATGCGCTGCGCCAGGCCATCCGCGAGACGCGTGCCCTCATCTCGGACGACATCAAGGCCGAGAGGAAGGGCAAGTACGGCGAGATCGCCGTCAACCTCACGCTCCTCCCCTCGATCAACCCGCCGGACTACGAGGGCTTCACCCGCGCCGCCATCGAGGAGGGCTGCCGCATCTTTGAGACGGCCGGCTACAACCCGGGCCCCATCATCAAGATCGCAAAGCAGCACAACTGCTACGTCATCCACAAGTGCACCTCGGTCCGCCACGCCAAGAGCGCAGAGAAGCTCGGCGCCGACATGCTCAGCATCGACGGCTTCGAATGCGCCGGTCACCCGGGCGAGGACGACATCGGCGGCCTCGTCCTCATGGCCCGCGCCGCAGAGGAGCTCAAGGTGCCCTTTATCGCCTCCGGAGGCATCGCCAACGGCCAGGGCCTCGCCTCGGCCCTCGCCCTCGGCGCCGCCGGCGCCAACAGTGAGTCGAAGCAGCGGAGCGCGGCTGCGACGGTAGAGGCATGGCAGAGCTGACGCGCTGACGCCATCTCCCCTCGCTCGATTACCCGGCCCCCCCGCTCGCAGTGGGCACCCGCTTCATGTGCACAAAGGAGGCCGAGGTGCACGACAACGTCAAGAAGGCGATGGTCGACGCCGACGAGCGCAACACCACCCACATCTTCCGCACCCTCAGGAACACGGCCCGTGTCTACAAGTGAGTACCCGCTGCTTCGCTACCGTCTTCTCGTCTCTGCCCCGCAGTGTCCGCGATCTCGAAGTGGCCCGTGATTCGTGCTCGACGACTTCACACTCCGATGTGGCTGCAGCGCCGGCAAAAGCTGGGAAAGGGGACCCTTCCAGTCAAGGGCTATCTGGCACCTCGGATCGGCGGCTCGACGGGCATCTCCTATCGCCGTTGGAGCGTCTCTAATCAAGCGCCGGGCGAAGCTTGCACGCACCGTCTTCAGAGCGTCGCTGCGACCGTCACCATCGGACCCCTTTCCTTGCCTGTGAGTGGAGATCACGTCCTTGCAGTCACCATCCTCGACTCGCGCGCCCTGCTGCCACGCACCATACTTCAGAGGCCTGCACTCGATTTCGTGCTGACGCGGCCCTTTCCCCTCATCCTTCCCCGCTCACAGCTCCTCTCTTGAGGAGGACTGCGCCGCGGCCTCGGCTTCTTCGACGAGCGTCCCTATTCGCCGTCCTTCAGAGGTCAACTCGGTGGCAGCGGGCAAGGCACGCGCCTTGCGTGGCGATGGCGATGACATGGCCGCTGACAGCCCGCGCGACGACGCTGATGCCAACGGCTTGGCCATGCGTCCAGACTCCAAGGTCTCGATGCTCTCGTCCGCTCCCGAGGACCGCAGCAACGACCCGCCCGATCCCGGCTTGCTGCAGGTGGCCGCTGGCGAGCCGCGGCGCCCTCGGATGGCCTCGGCGGCGCTGTCCTACATGGACGACGCCATCGACCAGTCCGAGGCCACCGTCCCGCTCGCCTGGCAGGCCTTCCTGACGGGCATGATCGACATGATGCTCTATTCGCGCACCTCGGTCTGGCTGGGCTTCCAGACGGGCAACCTGGTCCAGCTTTCGGGCAACATTGCGCAGTACATGTTCCCGCAGGCCGAGCGGGATCCGCTGCAGACGCTGCTGCGCGGCCTCAGCATCTCGTCGTTTCTCGTGGGCAGCTTCGCCGGCTACCACGCCGGGCAGCGGCTGGGCCATAACAAGCGACGCTGGATGTTCCTCAGCAGCCTGATCCAGAGCGCGCTGCTGTTTGGATCGGCGGGCATCCTGCTCAGCCAGCCCGAGAACATGCAGCCCACGTTCCAATACTACCCGGCCATCATTGTGCTGCCCGCCATCTCGATGGGCATGCAGAGCATCGCCGCGCAGAAGCTCTCGTCGCCGACTTTCGCTACGACGGTAGCGTTCACGGCGACGCTGACGCAGCTGTCGTCGGACCCGTACCTCTTTGCGCTGCGCCCTTCGGCCAACACGCGCGGGCGCGACCGTCGGCTGCTCGCCGTTGCGATGCTCTGCCTCGGCGCTGGCGTCGGCGAGACGTTCCTCTACACCAAGGCCGGCTTCGCGGGCGGTGTGGCCATCTCGGCGGGCTTCAAGCTGCTGCTCGCCCTGTTGTGGCTCGTGCCGAAGGGCAAGAAGCCCTCGCCGCCGCCGGCGGTCCAGGCCGGCAGCGCCTAGTCGCCGTCTCAAGTCGCCGCCATCGCGGCAGTACTCCTGCCTTCCGCGTCTTGGGTCGCCATGACCCTGCAGCGGCTGCGTCCTTCTCCCCCTAGACTTGCCTACCCCGCCTTGCTGCTTCTTCTACCATCCCTCTCCGCCATTAGACCATCCCGTACTGACCCGCCGACTTCCTCACATGCTTCGCCACCGCCATCGCCCTCGATCGCCCCGTTTGCTCCGTCTTCAACCGCACCTTCGACACCACGCTTCCTCGACCCTGCCACCGCCGCCGCGTCCATCAGGAACAAGGTGGCCGTCGAGGTGGTTCGCCTCGAGAACCGACCGGGCGGAGCCAAGTTTGAGGACGTGCGCGAGCTGGTCTCGGGCGCGCGCGGCAAGAAGGTCTACGAGACCGGCGACATTGATGCTGGCGTCTGGAGCGCGGGCATCACCGTCGGTCTGATCCACGACATTGTGAGTTCATCCGCCTAGCAGGTCGTTCAGGACGCCACGTGGAGCGGTGCTGACTTCCCTGCACTCTCACACGCCTCGACGAGCAGCCTACGTGCAAGGAGCTGGTTGCCCAGATGGAGGCCGACGCTGAGAAGCACATCAGCCGCCTCGCCACGCTCGTCTCGCACAAGCAGAGCAACACCCAGGCGAGGCCCTCGAAGCTCTGAGGTGTGCCTTGTCGTCCGCAGCCGAGGAGGGATGGGCCGCACTTGCATGTGATCTGTACGGCCTTGTACGGGATGGTTGATGTGCTCAGTATCATGACGGATGTGGCTCTCATTCTGCTGTGGCCCACGCTGGAATCGAGGTGGTCGTTTGCGCCCTGCCTGGCCAGGCCCTGGCTCTTGCGGGCGTCGCGTGTGCGCGTTTCGAGGCTGTGGCGCAGAGTGCCAGGAACAAGTGTGGAGGGCGGCCAGGCGTGTTGGACCCAACTTTGGCAGGCGGCCCTTGACCCTGTGGCCTTCTTGCTTACTCCTCCTTGCCCGGCCCATTTCGCACCGCCACGCCTCGAGGCCATCATCCGCACCGTCCTCGTCGCCTCAACTCTAGACATCCCCATCGACCCGCTCTCCACGCTGTCAGCCTCACCCCCGACTCCACCATAACGCCAAATTGGCTCAGCGCCGCGAGACAGGGCGGTCGCTGGATACGCTCTCCGTCCGTCTTCCTCGCCACCGCCTCGGCGCATCTCCATACTAGAAGCCCACATCTCGGCAGGACCAATACAAGCATGCCTTCGTCATCACAAGCCTCCGGCACGACAGTGCGGAGCGCAGCGTCCGAAAAGCGCAAGGACCCGCCCAATGCTGCGCCACCGTCGTCTTCGGATGACGAGTATGTCCTCTCCATGCCCGCTCCCCCCTCTTCCGCCGCGGCAGCCACGGCGACGAGCAGCTCGGAAGCCACGACGCCAGACGCCGGAACGGCAAGCAAGAAGCCCAAGCTCGCTCCCATCTTCAACATGGGCAAGACTTCGACGACGACGACGAGCAGCGGCGTCCCCGGCGATGGCGCAGGTCCGTCATCTGCGGCGGGACAGTTCAACTGGCACGAACCCCTCGGCCCGGCCAAGTCGTGCCTGCACGCCTCGTTCCGCTCCCCGAAGCCCTCGACCAAACTCGCCCTGTTCGACCTCGACGGCACGCTCGTCCGCCCGAAATCGAACAAGCAGTTCCCATCGGCCAGGGACGAGTACGACTTCAAGTTCTGCTTCCAGAATGTCGTGTCCAAGGTCCAGCAGGCGCACGGCGAGGGGTACGCCATCGTCGTCGTGAGCAACCAGAAACAGACACAGTACTCGGGCAGCGTCAAGCTCGAGACGTGGCGCAAGAAGGTCGTGCACGTCGCCCGCGCCCTCGACGTGCCGCTGCGCATCTTTGCCGCCCTCGCCGACGACCAGTACCGCAAGCCGCGTCTCGGCATCTGGACGGAGCTCCAGGAGCGCTTCAACGGCGGCCTCGCTCCCGACCTCGCCAGCTCTTACTACGTTGGAGACGCCGCCGGTCGCAAGTCGATGACCGCCAAAGACCACAACGATACGGACTACAAGTGGGCGCTCAACGCCGGTCTGCGATTCCTCACGCCCGAGCAGTTCTTCGTCGACGCCAAGGAGCAGCTTGCCATACCGGCGCGGCCGTGGGAGGCCAAGCCGAGCAGCCTCGAGCGGCTACCCATCTTTGGCGGGTCCGGGCCCGAGGCCGATTTGAGCGACGCCGTCTTCCATCCATCCGACACGCCACTCGTGCCCGCCGACCGACATACCGAGGTGATTCTCTTCGTCGGCCCACCCGCGAGCGGCAAGACGGCCTTTTTCCGGCGACACCTCGATCCCGCCGGCTACATCTGGATCAACCAGGACACGCTCAAAACGCGCGACAAGTGCGTTGCGGCGGTCAGGGAGTGCATCGCGGAGGGGAAGAGCTGCGTCGTCGGTGAGTGGCTCACATTCGCGGGGCGTGTGTGGGCGTACCGCTCGAGCTGGAGGCTGACACCATCACGCCTCGTTCTTTCTCACCACTCGCGCCGACTTGGCAGACAACACGAATCGGTGAGCGCTTCGAGGGTTCGAGCGTGCTGCGAGATCCACACAGCAGCGTTACTGACACAGGCCCATACTCGCCATTCTCTCCGACGTTCCCGCCCCCCGCAGGGACAAGGCGACAAGGAGGCACTACATAGTGAGTATGCGAGCCGGTTCTCCTTTGTCCCTTGTCTATTGCGTGATCCTCGAATCTATCGCTCACTCCATTCACTCTCCCGCCTTGCTTCCCTCTCCCAGGCGCTGGCGCAAGCATCCTCAATACCGATTCGCGCTTTCTTTTTCGACGTTGCGAAGGCAACGTGCCAACACAACAACCAGTTCCGGGCCATGGGCGCTGGCCCAATCGACGAGGTGAGTATCGTTGGTGCCCGCTCCACCGTACTTCGACCCCGCACTGACGTTGCCTTCGCCCGACCTCGATACAGCCGCGGAGGGACGTGGTGCCACCCTCGGCCATCGAGGCCTTCTTTCGCGACGTCCAGCCGCCCAAGATCGACGAGGGCTTCGCAGAGGAGCCCAAGCGCATCCGCTGGAATTTTGAGTGAGTGCCGACGTGTCCGGCCCGTTTCACCTCGTCAACTGCGATTCGCCTTCACTGACCTGCTGCAGCGTTCGCCTCTACCGCCATCGCTGCGCCGCTCACCAGGGGCGACGAGGAGCTGCGAAGCCGGTACGAGCGGTACTACCTCTGAGGGCAACCCCGGCCCCTTTTGTCGCTGGGGATATCTATTCCACACCTCGACGCTGCCGTCATACCCAATACAGGTTCGTGCGATCGCCTCACTTTTGCGCCTGCTGGCTCTTGAGGTGGTTCTGGAACTCCTTTACGTTGGTCTCGAAGCCGCCCTGGTCGACCTTGAAGCCGAGCGAGAGGGCGTACGAGTTGTCAAACTCCTGCGGGAACGTGGCCACCAGGCGCTCGCACACCTCGTCGCGCTCAAACTTGATGAGCTTGACCGCGCTGTCGGAGGGGGGGACGAGGAGGCCAAGGAGGACAGGGCAGGAGCGAAGGGAGAGGACGAGGGAGAGGACCGGTCAGGCGTCAGTCGGAGCGAGCCTTTAATCTGGACGGCGGCCGGGCTGGTACCCACTCGTCGCCTGCGACTTTGCGGAGCGCCTCGATCTGCTGCTTGACCGAGACGGAGAAGCCGGGCAGGTTGACGACGCGGCTGTACCGCGGGAAGGACGAGGCGGGGACATTCTTGGCGTGGACGAAGCTGTTGGGGAGGGGCGAGGGGGCGAGGATGGAGTGTCAGACGACGCCACACGGGAGTTCCCGGCAACCACTGGGCGCGAGCTCGGCGTGCGGCACTCACTTTTCGAGGACTGTCGTCGGCGTCGAGACAAAGCTGCGCAGCTTGTCGAGGAGCGGGTCGTCGATGCCGGTTCCAATGGGGCAGACGGCCTCGAGGCCCTGTATGGGCTCACGGATGATGCCCGATACAAAGGCGGTGGTGGCAGCGGCGGGCGGACCGGGGCGCACCGTGATGGTGGGGAGGCGCACGACGCGGCCGTCGACAAAGCCCTTGCGCGAGTACTCGGTGACGAGGTACTCGCACATGACCTTGGCGGTGCCGTAGGCGCCCTCGGGCGTCGGCAGCGTGTTGGGCATGACGACCTTGGGCAGCTCGCCGCCAAAGACGCCGATGCTGCTGGCAAAGACAAACTTGACGCCGGGGACGTGGCGGTGCGCGCCATCGAGGAGGGCGCGCGTCGAGTCAAAGTTGACGCTGAAGCCGAATTGCCAGTTTTCCTCGCTGCCCTTGGACATGATGCCGTGCAGGCTGTAGATGACGTCCGGCTTGGCGTACTCGGTGCTAAAGACGGACTCGACGCCCTCGGGCTTGGTCAGGTCGGCCTTGAGGCACACGGCTGCCCGGGTGCCGCGCGGCGGCTTGGGCGCAGCGACGTCGACCAGGATGAAGCGGTAGTCGACGTCCGGCTCGAGGCGCAGGATGGTGTCGGCCAGCAGCGAGCCGAGGAAACCGCCGGCGCCGGTGATGAGGACGGTGGTGGGCTTGCTCATCGTGGTGTGGGTATGGCTAGGGAAGCTTGAGTTGCGTGTGTCGGTTGCGGGAGGGGCCAGTGGCTCGTGCGGTGGGTGGTCGGGCCGAGAGAAGGTGGAATTGGGGCAGTAGCCTGCTATATAGGCGCTCGTCTGTGGGCTGCTCGTCGTCGCCGTCGTCGTCTGTGGGGGGTCCCGGCAGCCCTCTCTCCTTGCCCACGCTGCCGGCCGCCTAAACGAGGCCGACCGACCAACACCGCAAATGCCCGCGCGCGTCCGCCCCGCCTCCACCTTCACCCCGCCTTCCTTCTCGCGCCCCCCACGTCGATGCACCCAGCTAGCCAACGCAGACAGCCAGAGCAGCATCAACGGCTGGCCCGCCCGGCCTTGCTTCTTCGCAACCGCTGTCGTTCGCACCGACCTCCAGACCTCCTGCTTTCACACCGACACACATACACAGACGAGCCCAAAGACCGGCTAGACCGGGAACAGGCTTCGGCCTACGACGCCGAGATTCGCTCCGGCCCTCACGACTCTGGTACAACCATGCCATACGACCAAGCCTTCGACCTCCAACGAATCTCTCCGGCCCGCTCCTCAGGCGCCCAGCTGCAACGCGTTCCACTCGGCGACGCTGCCCTTGTGCCGCGTGGTGTGCAGCGCACTCCGCACCTCGCGGTCCTCGCTCTCGCTCAGCGGCGCAATCACGCCCGTCGACGAGCTCGGATCGTTGAGCAGCGGCACCATGCGCGCAGACGCGTTGCGGCTGTTGACCGGATCCCGGTCGCCCTTCTGAGTCGCCGCAGACGAGGACGCCGCAGACTCGGTCGGGGCTCCCCAGCCACCTCCGCCGGGCGTGTGGATAATGATCCGGTCGTTGCGGCCCATCCTCGTCGTGTTCTGAAGGGGCGGATGCGGCGGCAGAGCAGGAGGTCAAGGATCAATGAGCGACTTGCTCCGCGAGATGGTGACACGGCCCACGTCCGAGAACTCACCTTTCCACCCAGATTGATGACACGCGGCGCCACCTTTCCCTCCTTCTCGCCGTCTCTCAGATCACCATCGGCCTCCCTCTTCTGCTTGATCCACAGATTGAGGCCGCGCTTGGCGTCCTCACCGCCTTCGAGACCGTACGGGCTGTACACTCGGCGCTCGCTCAGGATCGAGACCTGGATGCCCGGCGCCAGGAACTCAATGTCGCGCACGACGCCGTCGCCGCCGCGGAACTTGCCCTCGCCTCCCGACTCGTCCCGCAGCGAAAATTCGCGCAGTAGCACCGGATAGCGCCGCTCCATGATCTCGGGGTCCGTCATCCGCGTGTTGGTCATGTGCGTGTGCACGCCAGAGGTGCCGTGCCAGTAGGGCCCCGCCCCTGACCCTCCCGCGATGGTCTCGTAGTAGCCAAAGCCTTCGACGTGGTTGCCGTCCTTGTCCTTGCCCCCGAGGCCGAATGTCAAGCTGCGCGGCAGGATGGAGCCGCAGCGGGAGACGTCAGTCAGCACGCCCGCTCCCTGGCGGGGCCGTCTCGCTCTGCTCATCTGCTACTCACTTGTTGGTATCGCCCTGGCTGGCTGCGGCCGCATGGAACGCGCGGAAGACGACATCGGTGATGCGTTGGCTGGTCAGCACATTGCCACCGACGACGGCCGCCGTCTCCGAGGGGTCCAGGAGGCAGCCCTTGGGTATCTTGATGTCGACGGGCGTCAGGCAGCCCTGGTTCAGCGGAATATCCGCAGAGACCATGCAGCGGAGGCAGTAGATGATGGCGCTCGAGGCAACGCTGCGCGGGCAGTTGAAGTTGGCCGCCACCTCTGGGCCGGTCCCCTCAAAGTCAAACACGGCAGAGCCCTGGTCCGGGTCGATGGTGATGTTGAGCTCGATGGGAGTCCCGTCGTCCATGTACTCGACGGCGTGGAGCTTGTTGGAGCCCTGCTTCTTGGCCACGTCCTTGAGCAGGTTGCGCACGCTCAGCTCGGCATTGTGCCGGATGTACTCCATGTAGCGCTGCACCATATCGAGCCCCCACTCGTCGACGAGCATCTGAATAAGGTTGATGCCCTTCTGGTTGGCCGCGATCTGCGCCTGGAGGTCGCTCTCGACGTCGCGGAAGCAGCGCGAGCCCGAGCAGCCCGGGTGCTTGGCCGGCTCCTCGCACATGAGGCGCACCAGCTCGTCGCGGTCGTACTTGCCCTCGGAGACGATCTTGAACGACTTGATCTGGGCGCCCTCGTCGAACAGAGTCTTGGAAGTGGGCGGCATGGACCCGGCGGTGATGCCGCCAATGTCGGCGTGGTGGCCGCGGGAAGCGCAAAAGAAGATGATGTCGTCCGAGTCCTGGGCGTGGCACGGCGTGATGCAGGTGATGTCCGGAAGGTGCGAGCCGCCGGCCGAAGGCATGTTTGCCATGATGACGTCGCCGCGCTTGAAGCCCTGGCCGGTCCGCTTGAGGTGCTCGACCTGGAACTTGACGGCAAACGACATGGATCCGAGATGGACGGGGAGGTGCGGGGCGTTGGCGACGAGCGAGCCGTCCGGGCTGAAGAGCGCGCAGGAAAAGTCGAGGCGCTCCTTGATGTTTGTCGAGATCGACGTCTGCTGGAGCGACTTGCCCATCGACTCTGCCACCGACATGAAGCGGTTGGCGAAGAGCGAGAGGAGGATGGGGTCCGGGCCGTCGGCCTTGCTGCCGGACGACTTGTCCGCTGCTGGCATGGTGGGCAGGTCGAAGGTAGTGTGCAGCGACGTCGAGAAGGTCTACGGTGGTGACGGCGGTCGATCTGGTGTCGGATAGGTGGTGGTTAGGTAGGTGGCTGATGCGGTCAGGCTGGACGAAGAGGCAGAGGGTTGCCCTGCCTGCCCGACAGAGAGAGGGCGCGGGCCCAACGCTGACTTGCCTCCCCTCGAGAGACGCCGCCTTTTTCGCCGAGCGAGCGATCCGCCCCCTCACCGTCAATCGGGCAGGACCGGTCGACCCGGCGCCTCCCGATTCGCACCACCTGCCCCTCACGACGCCGAGACTTGGCTCTCTGGACGTTTTCGGCGACACGGGCCCACGCCCTCTGCCTTCGCCGTCCTATCGGCTTCTTTCAAGGCAATGACTGGGAGATATTTACAAAGTGAAGGCGAAGAAACGACTGTGCGGTTGTGCGTATCGTGGTATCTCGATGATGACGACGGAAACGAGAGAGGATCGAGGCGGCCGGCGGGCGCGTGGTGTCTATGGACGGGGTCGGATCTAGGTGTGCGTGCGCGTGTGCAGCGATAAGGGAGCCCGGCAAGCTTGTACAGCATGCGGCGGGAACGGACGTCTGAATGGCCGTCTCAGAGGAGCACGGCGAGGCCGAGGGCCACCACGGCGACCGAACCAAGAACAATGGAGCTCGAGGCGCGCGTGCCGGAGCTGGGCGCCGACGTAGCAGAGGGTGCGGCGCTGGAGCTCGCCGGCCTGCTGGCACTCGAAGTGGGGCGAGCAGAGCCAGTCGAAGTGGGAGCGGCAGTCGAGGCGGGAGCGGAAGACGAACCAGCGGCGCTCGACGTGGCCGAGGGAGCTGCGGTGCTCGCGGGACCGCCCTCGACCGAGCCGCTGATGACGGCAAACGGCGTGTCCTTGACCTCGCCCTTGTTCTGGATCAGGATGACGTCCGTGTAAGAGTCGATCGATGGGTTCTGCACCGAGGTCGCCCGCATCGAGTCTGCGGTTGCGGTGGACGGGGCCGTGTACCGAAGGGAGGAGTGGGGTCAGCACATGCGGGCGCCATGCGACGGTGTCAGCGCGCCGTGGATGCTCACAGTTGCCGTTGGCCCATGCGCTGGGGACGGTGAAGACGAAGCCACCGCAAGTCGTTCCAGGAACGGGGACGCCGTATCCCTGACCGGCATCGCACGTCTGCGAGACACCAGGAGCCCGCGCGATCGAGTAGGCCAGCTTGCTGGAGTTGTCGGTCACTGGGTTGCGGATGCGGGGCAAGGGAGGCAGAGGTCGGTGGGCACTCGTCAGCCAGCCTGATCAAACAGGTCTGTCATTCAGCGGGCGCGCTCGAGGACTCACTGAGATCGACCTGCACATCGCCGGGCGGCGCATTGAGCCAGTTGACGACGACCGGGTCTCCTGCGACGACGATGATCGAGCACTGGAAATAGTTGCAGAATGGCGAGTTGAGGAAAAGCGGCGTGTTGGGGTCCTGCTGCTGGCGCGCGACGAGGTCCATGTGCATGTGCTCCGAGAGCGAAGAGCCGGCAACACTCAGCGGCGCAGCGGCCAGGGCCGAGACGAGGACAAGCGACTTTTTGAGGGAGAGCATCGTTACTTGAAGGTGGCTCGAAAGGCTGAAAAGGGTGGCTGGAACGAAAGAGAAGAGGTCGAAGGGTGATGGGGAATGCGATAGACGGCGGCAGGGTATATGTAACGGGGCAAGGCAAAGGTGGGGGGACGAGGACAAGGCGAGGGTTGTCTGCGTGTGTCGTACTCGAGGCCAGAGTCAGCAACGGTCGAGGGAATCTCCTGGCCTGCTTGGACAAAAGGATCGGGGCCGCGGACTTCCAGGGCCCGGTTGCAGCGGCACCTCCGGA